CTGGACAGGTGTGAACAACAATGTCCCCTAGAACAATAGGTCCGCTGTAACAGCCCTGGGCAATTAGAGTGTCCAGTCGGAGTAATTAATGCACTGTCCACAGTCCGAATCTTTAACGAAGGCGCTAATTTTTGGTTCTCCTTGACTGCGAACGCTGATGTAGGTTGGCGACGATGTAGATCGTGAGATGAGAGGCTAAAGGAGGCTAATCGCCTTTAAGCTATCAGGAGGCTGAGCATGTTTGTCTTAAGTGGAGAGATGATTTTAAGGGCACGCTAATAGCTCAGTAGTGACCCAGCACAATGGCTCCTGAAAATTGAGATTTTCATGTAGGTGGGATTTCCTGGTTGTCGGACTTATAAATTGGACAATACCGGGGTCAGGGGGATGACCCGCGTCTTCGGAGTTCGTCTGGTCTGGTCAAAGCACGGGCCTATATCACCGTGGTCAAAGGTATAAGATAACAACCTTACGTCGTAATATCTGATATCACCTAGCTACGAATTGCTATATCGTATTAACAGTTGATTAGCGTGTGTCGAACTCGGAGTGACCTCAGAAACAGTTCGACTTATCATTGCATTTTGTTTACCAGGGCCCACTTGCACAAAACGATCTTAGCGCTAAGACTATCGTAAGCCTATGTTAAAGAATGGGAGTTATGGTCATCTTAGCGCTAAGATCGCTTTGTGCAAGTGGGCCCTGGTGTCATCAATGATTTTCAGTGATCCATTCATATATTTTTCACCTCTATTTTGCCTTTTACGCCCAATGTAATCTGTTTCGTCAGACAATCGTTTCATATATATTAATAAATAATATTTGCATTTGTCATTTAAAAATATAAAAATAAGTTCGACACAGCCGAAAATTCGACACATCAATCGCCTTATTAAAAGTCAAATAATGAAAGAAATTTAAGAAATTCTGCGGGACTGGACAATCAGTTTCACACAGCAGAGGATTTAACACACTGGTGTTCAACTAAACTGTCGGGCCCAAAAATGTATACTCGGTGGCGGAGTGTAGTGGGATGGGTGACCGTTCGGCAGCTTGGCTCCTGGTAGTTTCTAGGGACTCGGTCCTGCCTCACACTGAAGTACGCGTAACACATCTGTGTCTCTTTGGGCAAGTAACCTAACATATCTCTGTTTAGCCAGCAGTGAATGGGCTGCCGCGGTAAGAGGAGAAAGTAAAGTGACTTTTAACCTTCTGGCACCCCACTGGCTGCTTGAGTTGTATGTTCCCTAGGGAGCTGAGAATGAAAATGGAGGTCAGACTGATCCAGTGAACGTGCTGATAATATCTCTCATGGTCTAAGCGACTTTCAGCAGTTATAAATTAGAAAGTATGCGACACGCCTGCATTATGTAATACAGTGCTGGACAAAAGAAAGTAAACACTAGAAAATTCGATTTGACCAAAAACTACAAACGTTACCCAAACGTTACAAGGCTGAAAACAGTCGCCGAAACGCTACAAACTTAAGGTCCAAAATATAACCATAACCCGATACCCGTATCACATACATCACCATCGAATAACCATTTCCTATTTGTTTCATTCTTAGAGTGTATACTTTCTTTTGCCCGACTGTTTATATACTATGCCAGTTTCGATAGGGATAATCAGATATGCCATTCTATTCATAAATACACTTGATATATTACTTGATTATAATCTTTTTTGTATATATCATGGAAAGATAAAATACCTCTGTCGAAATGGAGTACTTGTGGTATATACAGATATATATATATACTCATAATAACGTGAAACAGGAGCTTGCTGTAACACCCAAACCCCGGGTTCGATTCTCAACATTGTTAAAATGTGTGAAGCCAATATAATTCGTCACACCGAGTACCCGGGTTCGATTCTCCACATGGGTACAATGTGTGAAGCCCATTTCTGGTGTCCCACGTCGTGATGTTGCTGGAATATTGCGAGAAACGTCGTAAAACCATACTCACTCATTCTGTAAACCGCAAAACCGCAGCTACTAGCCAACTGCGACTTAAACAATATATAATATCCATATTTATGTATGCGGCATTCCACGCCCCAGGGTATGCTCAAGGCGCTACAGTTTGAACATATCCAAGAAGTATACACTTGATGAATGTAAGTGAGGGGAAACAGTGTTAAGGGGAGTACTACAGAGAACCCAGAAGTGTTTTAAGACAGGAGCTGTACTGGAGATAGCCTAGTGATTAAAGCGTTCGGTCGTCACGCCGCAGATCTCCCCCCCCCCCCCCAAACAAACAAACGTGATAATGCTGGAATATTGCTAAAAGCGGCGTAAAACCATACTCACTCACTACTATAAGGGTCAAGCGATGTTGATATGACTGGCTCGTAGGTCACGCGTCCAATCAAATCCATATGTTAATATCTTGAATTACTTTGATCAGATAAGACCATTACTTACTGAGGGGTGGAGTAAAATTACTAAACAATCTATATGGTTCACCTACAATTTGCTATGTACTATATTATTAAATGGGTGAGCAGAAGTTTAAAGGAATGACAGTAGAATTTTAATCGTGTATCTGATCAGATTTGTTTTCCAAGAGTATGGGCAATATTTCAGTGTGTCGTTTGCGTCCAGTCTGCGAACATCACCTTGTTCGTGAAAACCTATATGTCACGACTCATCACAAGATTGAAAACACAGACAATCCCTTTTTCAGCAGATCACGCACGTTCGCAGGGCTTTAGGATACTTAAAAGGCAGTCCAAAATGTATTCAAACACGGCATTGACTTTCAGCTCGCAAGACCAGGGACAATAACGGTATATTGTCTCTGGAAAGCCCACACAGCATTGTCCTATTAGGGAAGAGTTCCGTCTTTAAACGCCGCATATCGTGCTGTAGATCATTCTCCTTAATCTGGAACCTCCAAGCTGAGAGCTCGACTGATCTTTTTTCAGGGCATTTCTGGAACAGTACCTCCTAGACACATCATACTTGGGAAATACCAATTTCGAGTGTTCAGTTTCACTTCCTGAATATCTTGCGTGGGGGTCGTAAGCTCATTACCTTTGTATGACTATATTTGTTAACACTGACCTCTCACCTATGTTGTCCCCACATCAAGTGTGACTGACATCGATAAGCTTAATGTTCTGCTCACACGCGTGATGTCGGCCGTCGGCTGTGTGATGCGGTGGTGGTTGCTGTACACAATACGCTGCATGAATGTACCCTGTAGCATGTGGGGAACCAATGAAGCACTTCAAACGAGGAGCTAATGTTGTGTTAACGATTTAATCACGGTCAAGTGAAATATAAGACTTATTTTTAAATCTGAAATTCTAAGAAATCTCACGATGATCCCAACGCACCTGTTGAAACACATTTGAACATAGTTAAAACGAGGACAAAACTTGTACACCGTTCTGTTGTTGTTGGCATTAGATATTTCATGGCTTATATTTATTGTTTTTCATTAGGTTATTTATGTTAATTAACCCCTTCCTTCAAGTCACCTCTGTAGTCAGTGGTAGAGCGTCCGCGCGGAGAGCGGAAGGTCCGGGGTTCGATCCCCGGCCGCGTCATACCAAAAGACGTTAAAAAATGGTACTTGTTGTTACCCTGTCTGGCGCTCGGCATTAAGGGGCTAAAACAAGGGCTGGTCGGCTCGGAGTCAGTATACTGTGTCTGAGTTGGATATTCATGTTAAACTGCGGCATGGTATCTCAGTGAGCTAGCACTAAAATCGGCATCAGTCCGGACTAGTACAAGCAGCCACTCACACACGTACATGCACGTCGCAATATAAGTGCAAAAATCTTGGACGCGACGTTAAACCCCATTTCACCTCACCTCAAGTCACCTTCTTCATCGTGGCATTCACAACGTGAAACAAGCATAAATACGAGGGCTGGTCAAATCGTTCTAAACCTAACAAACAAAACCAACAATTGTGAAAGTGTTTTTAATTTTAATTTTAACAAAACTCCCTGCTTTTTAATAAACTTGTTATATCGTTAGTGAAGCTTTTCAGTTCCAGTTAGGAAGGTTTCTGAAGCCACGCTGAAAAAAATATTCACGACAAATTTAAGGTCATCGTTGTCGGCACAACGCTTTCTACAAAGGTGATCTTTCAGGTTAGGAAACAGGTGGAAACCACTTGGTGCCAGGTCTGGCGAGTATGGAGGGTGAGGAAGCTCTTCGAACCCACATTGTCTCACAGCAGCCTTTGCACGTCGAGAGGTGTCAGAAGAGGCATTGTCATTAAGTAGTAGAACTCCAGCAGTAAGCATTCCTCGCCGCTTTTCTTTGATATAATCACTTAGGCGATGAAGCAAATCAACGTTGTAGGCACCGGTAATCGTCTTTTGGCTTTCTAAGTAATCAACAAGGATCACACCCTTTGCATCCCAGAATACAGTGGCCATAACTTTCTTCAGTGATCTTGGATTTATTTGGTGCCGAAGAAGTGGAATTGTGCCATTCCATGGATTGATGTTTTGACTCGGGATCATAGTGTCATATCACCTGTTACTAATGTCTTTTTTAATATGACGAAATCCTCCTCAAGTAGCTTTAAATTTTCTGGCAATGTCAGTTCTTTTTTCCTTGAGATCAGAATTTAGAAAGTTTGGCACCGAACGAGCAGATATCTTATTCGTCCGTAAATGTTCAAGTATAATAGTTTCAATGGATCCATGGCTCAGACCTGTCTCTTCCTCAAGTTCAGCAAAAGTAATACGTCTATCTGACTGTTTACGTTTTTCTATTTTTCTATGTTTGCTATTTAAGTTAATCAACACCTGTTAAAACTGCCAAGTGAAACCTGAAGCTACTCATATGACCCGAAGCGTTAAAAAACACAGTGTTCCCCAGTTTCAGGGCTTAAGGGTAGAATGTACCCCAGTGTTGGGACTTACGGGTAGGATATACCCCAGTGCTGGGCCCCTATGGCAGGATATACCCCCGGTGTAGGGCCCCAAGAGCAGGATATATCCCCAGTATTGGGCCCCAAGAGCAGGATATGCCCCAAGTGTTGGGCCCCAAGAGCAGGATATACCCCCAGTGTAGGGCCCCAAGAGCAGGATATACCCCCAGTGTAGGGCCCCAAGAGCAGGATATATCCCCAGTGTTGGGCCCAAGAGCAGGATATACCCCCAGTGTAGGGCCCCAAGAGCAGGATATATCCCCCAGTGTAGGGCCCCAAGAGCAGGATATATCCCCCAGTGTTGGGCCCAAGAGCAGGATATATCCCCAGTGTAGGGCCCCAAGAGCAGGATATATCCCCAGTGTTGGGCCCAAGAGCAGGATATACCCCCAGTGTAGGGCCCCAAGAGCAGGATATATCCCCAGTGTTGGGCCCAAGAGCAGGATATACCCCCAGTGTACGGCCCTAAGGGCAGGATATATCCCCAGTGTAGGACCCCCAAGGGCAGGATATACCCCCAGTGTTGGACCCCTAGGGCAGGATATACCCCCAGTGTAGGGCCCCAAGAGCAGGATATGCCCCCCGTGTAGGACCCCAAAAGCAAGATATATCCCCAGTGTAGGGCCCCAAGGGCAGGATATACCCCCAGTGTAGGGCCCCAAGAGCATGATATATCCCAAGTGTAGGGCCCCAAGGGCAAGATATACCCTCAGTGTAGGGCCCCTAGGACAGGATATACCCCAAGTGTAGGGCCCCAAGGGTAGGATATACCCCCAGTGTAGGGCCCCTAGGACAGGATATACACCCAGTGTTGGGCCCCTAGGGCAGGATATACCCCAAGTGCTAGGGCCCTATGGTAGGATATACCCCCAGTGTAGGGCCCCAAAGGGTAGGATGTGCCCCAGTGTAGGGCCCCAAAGGGCAGGATATACCCCCAGTGTAGGGCCCCAAAGGGCAGGATATACCCCCAGTGTTGGGCCCCTAGGGCAGGATATGCCCCCAGTGTAGGGCCCCAAAGGGTAGGACGTGCCCCCAGTGTAGGGCCCCAAAGGGTAGGACGTGCCCCCAGTGTAGGGCCCCAAAGGGTTGGACGTGCCCCCAGTTTAGGCCTCTAAGGGTAGGATGTGATTTCAGGATTAATATGTAGCAATCATCAATCCACAGTCGCCTGTGAATGATCAACCAGTAGCAAACTAGTGGTTAATATCATGAGCAATGCAACTCGACGTCGGGGTAAGATGACACACTACTAGGTCACATATTGTATCCACCCAATACCTCACTGGGGCTTGTAGGCAAAGCGATCCCTCGTATTTTCTGGTGTTCTGGCGTAGAACCATACTCACTCACGCACTCACCCGTCCATCCACCCAATCACTCACTCACTCACCCATCCACCCACCCACTCACTCACACACCCAATACCCACCCACTCACCCGTCCATCCACACACTCACTCACTCACTCACCCACCCACCCACTCACTCACACACCCAATACCCACCCTCACTGACCCATCCACCCTACCACCCACACACTATCTCGTCAGCTCGCTCGCTAACTCAAGCACTCACCCCATATCAACACACACACACACACACACACACACACACACACACACACACACACACACTCACTTACTCACTGACTCACTCACCCATACAAACTCACTCACTCACTCACTCACCCACCCACCCATACAAACTCACTCACTCACTCACTCACCCACCCACCCATACAAACTCACTCACTCACTCACTCATCCACCCACCCATACAAACTCACTCACTCACTCTTACGACAAGCAGGATGTTCTGCGAACGTTTTCTGACCCTGAATCACCAGGAGGTCGTACACATATAAACACCACTTTATATAAATGACAATACCATAACAATTATGTTATAAATTTCGGTCAATAGGAAAATGTCGTTCCACTACACTGACACTTCCAGCATAGAACAAATAGTTTGTTAGGCTGACAGGAGGAAAACTAGAATGTTTTGTTCCTTGTGCTCCGCCCTTCCTTCACTGACAACGCGGGAAGACATTTTTTCTGAATATCTTCTAATTCTAGGAAGTCGTTGTTTGTGTGACGTTATACCTTATTAGGGAGTGTGTGGAATTCGTAGCACGGGTCTAATACTTATACGAATATCTGAATATACTTCGGCGACATAAAAGTCATTTACCTGCTACGTAATATGTTTTATGCCCCACGTCATCCTTGACTTGGCAAATATTAATGTGGATTTATTGTGTGGGGAAAACGGCTAAACCAGTATGTTTTTGTAAAAGCGCATATTTAGTCGGGCATTTTTAATTATTGATTATTTAGTGAAATGTAAAATATTGAAATCAGAGTTATTCACAAATGTGGAGAAATGAAATTAAAACGCCGAAGAGAAACCAAAACAAACAAGACAAAGATATGCTGAGAGAGCAGTATAAATAAAACAATTTCAGGAATGAGCGAGAAAGATGAGATGGTGGCGAAAAAAACACATTAAACACAAGATGGTTTTTGAGAATATCCCAGCAATATGCACTAATATATATATATATATATATTAGTGTGTATATATATATATATATATATATATATATATATATATATATATATATATATATATATATATCATAAAGGGGGGCACTAAGACTGGGGTTATACAGTTTATCAAGGTGAGGATTCGAACATTGATCTTCAGCGCAACGAGCGAAAGTTTTATCCACGCGGCTACCTCATCGCCCCCTTATCAGGTCGTACAGAAAGAAGCGGACGAAACAGCATCAAGAGACGACCCCCCTAAATTACCATGACATATTGAGAATAATACCTTCCGGACTCCATAGAGGAGAAATGCATTGCAGCTTTTATACGCTTCATCTCCAGATATCTTCACTTCATCTTCAATCAATTATATTCGGAAAGGGGATAGGTTGCCGTCTTGCCGGAAGGCTGCTCTTTCAATCGGTCTCCACAGCTCACAGTATCTAAAAGTAATATCTAGCCATCCGTAACACGCCCGGGTGATCTAATTGTGGTTCAGTATCTCTAAAGAGAAAATTATATCAAGTGGCCGACGCTGTTGCCGTTTGGTAGTCTCGACAAGCAAATATATAGTGTTGGTGACGTATTCGTTGTAACCTGGTGACTTATTATTCACATCGCGCAGGTCACACATTTGGTGACTTCGGTCGTGTAGTGTAGTTGGATGGTTGACCGCGTTTGACTCCAGGGAGTTTCTAGGGCTTCGGTCCTGCCCTATACGCTGAAGCACATGGACAACTAGCTTAATGTGCCTCTGTTCACCCAGCAGTGAATGGGTACCCGGTAGGATGAGATGGTAATGTGACTGTTAACTTTCTGTTGCGCCTCACCCGCTGATGGGTTGTACACTCCCCAGGGAGCTGAGAATGAATGACCGCGGTGATAATAAAATAACGTGCAAATGAACAGTTATAATATCCCAGTTGGCAACGGTGAGGTGAGGTCAGTATACTGACTCCGAGCCGACCATTCCTTGTTTTAGCCCCTAAAATGCCGAGCGCCAGGCAGGGTAACAACAAGTACCATCTTGTAACGTCTTTTGGTATGCCGCGGCCGGGGATCGAACCCCGGACCTTCCGCTCTCCGGGCGGACGCTCTACCACTAGACCACGGAGGCGGTCCAGTTCGCCACGGGTTTCACATATATTGTATTATATATCAACATTAAGGCATACATGCTTGAATGTATAATAACCAACATAATAAATGTAATTTGTGTATACACACGCTTCTCTATGTAAAACTCTCGCAGTGTATCTCCTAGAGCTGAGTCTATACAGACTGGTGTATATCGTGTCGATATACACTTGTCCAAAATGCCTACTGGTATGAATATGACTGGCATAAAATATTGGAGTGTATTTCTGAACAACATTAATTTCAGTAAACATGTGCAAATGTTTGCAACAGACCACATAAGTTGTGCGTTTCAAATGTCAAAAGCGGAAATTATCGCTTATTATGAATTTGAAATTATTATGAAATTATGTCCTTGTAAAGGACCATGTACACAATACTATATTGCAGTGAGTTGGGTTTAACGCCGATTTGAACAGTATCCCAGTTATATCACGGCGTGTCAGCTTAATGTATGAGGAAAACCCGAAGTGATGCAGGTCTCAGACGTTTACTTCACAACCTTGGTGAAACCCAAGAGCACGGGTGTGGTGCTGACAAACCAAGAAACATAACCGAACCGGGATTTGATCCCACTGTCATAAGTTTCTGGGACGCAACTCTGCACAGCGAATTGCGCCGCTGTAGACGCTGGGTCGTAGGAAGCCTGACGTTACAGTTACATAACTATAACACGTTGTATAGTGGGCATTGTATAGCCACACTTCACTCTGTATATTGTAATTGCCATCCAGTGTTGGTCGTATTAAAGAGGTGACTATAAATTGGAAACCCGTGGGGCTTCCGGTTTAGAATTGGTCTCCAGCAATCAGGCTCGGTGACTTGGTTAATGGCGCTTCAACGCGTGTTTGTTTCTTTAACGCTGCAATCATCAATATACCAGCTATTTGACGGCTGTCTGTTGAGTCTGGATCAGACAATCTAGTGATTTATATCATGAGCATCGATCCACGCAATTGGGATCGATGACTTGCATCAACCAAGTCAGCGAGCCTGACCACCCGATCCCGTTCGTCGCCTCTTACGACAAGCGTAGTCACCTTTTACGGCAAGCATGGGTTGCTGGAGACCTATTCTACTCCGGAATCTTCACGGGTCCTGTAAATAATCGAATCTGGACCAGACAATCCAGTGATTGACATCCTGAGCATCGATCTAGGCAATTGGGATTCGGTGACATTCAACCAAGTCAGGGAGCTTGACCAACCGATACCGTTAGTCGCGTCTTATGAGAAGCACGGGGTGCTGAAGACATATTTGCACCTGGAATTTTCTCGGGAGAGCTTCAACGTACCCCGACTTTCTGGATCGCTGCTCATACTATCGATTCCTGGATTGTCTGGTTCAGACGTCACAAATCGTTCATGACATCACAAACTGGTAACATTTTCTGATCAATGACCTATAGAAAGTACACATTATCTGTCCCTTGTGAATAAATGCTGAAAGTCCCCCATCTACTTGCCGGGACACCCCGAAGATCCGGGGTAGAATTTGTCGTAAGAGACATGTTAGTTTCGCGCGACACAATTCATAATTCATGAATTGCTGGGAAAAATAAAAAACAACAACATGGATTTGACCTGAAAATTACAAGCGTTATCAAAACGTCACTAGGTTGAAAACGGGGCGGTCGGGTAGCCAAGTGGTTGCAGCGTTCGCTCGTCACGCCGAAGACGCGGGTCGATTCCCGACATGGGTACAATGTGTGAAGCCCATTTCTGGTGTCCCCCGCCGCGAAATTGCTGGAATATTGCTAAAAGAGGTGTAAAACAATACTCACTCACTAGGCTGAAAACAGTCCCCGAAACACTGCAAACTTAAGGTCCAAAACACAACTATGATACCCGAATCAATTCATCACCATCGAATAACGATTTCTTGTTTGTTTCATTTTTAGCCATCATCAAACATGGTCATGCTTTACTTTGCCCGGCAGTTTTCTTGACCGTATTTGGAGAATCAATGTACTGTTTTTAATTATGTAGCGTAATCCTCAATAAATAGTTGTTAAAACGGCACATAAAGTTATTTTGTCTGAAACAGGAAATACTTCCTCGATTTGCTTTGTTAAAATGTGATCTTAATCAATGTGATGTAGATGTGTCGTCTGGCTTGGTGAATACAGCATAAGGGAGGCTACTCAAACGCAGCGCTATATATTACCTCCCTTTACCATGCTCACGGGGTCGTCTCAACACGTCGATACTTCTTTTAAAGGGATAACTCGTTCAAAACTATGCCGTTTTCTGTTCGTTGTGGTTTACTGAATCAATATTTAGTTTACAAACTAATGTGACAGCTCCATAAATATGTTTAAAATTGATGCCGTTGATTTGATTTCGACTCAGTAAATTTACCTTTTGTGTGTAAATAAAGACAAGGTGAAAGTAACGGGACAAAAGTTATTATACAGTTTCTAGGAAAAAACAATCTAATACTAAATGTACATCCGTTGTAAATACACTTTTGCCAATAAAACGGTGACTTACATTTTACATTTTGTTGTCAGGAAACATGGTGACATAAAAGACATATTTTCTATAATCGCTTTATGGCAACCGCAAATGATCAAGATTTAGGCTAAAATCTGCTATGTTGTATTCACGTGCCTTCAAGAGCAGAAATGTACTTAAATGAATGTGTTTGCTGTTTAACGCCGCACTAAAATAATAAAACCCCTGAAGATCCGGGGTGGAATATGTCTTCAGCAACCCACACTTGCCGTAAAAGGCGACCATGCTTGTCGTAAGAGGCGACTAACGGGATCGGGTAGCCAGGCTCGCTGACTTGGTTGATTGTCATCGATCCTAACTGCGTGGAACGATGCTCGTGATATCAATCACTGGATTGTCTAGTCCAGACTCGATTATTTACAGACTGCCGTCATATAGCTGGAATATTGCTGAGTGTGGCGTTAAACAACAAACCAACCAACCAATTAAATAATTCAGTGTCGAGTAATTGATATCATGGGTATGGATCTACGCAATATGGATACGAGGCTGTGCATACATCAAGTTAGCGAACCTAACCACTCGACCCATAGCCGAGAGGGGGTCATACAGTCAAGACATGACCTTACATCACGGCCGAGAACACCCCCTTCATCAATCCAGAGACGAAAAAAATGGCGCTATTCTTGACTGTGGTTGCCGATTACTCTCGTATTTTGCTGAGAATTAAAAAAAAAAAAAATCCCGTGGGTTTGTGACTGAAAAGTTGATATCGCTGTTCTCCCAGATAATTCCCTGTCTATGCACGTGCTTGTCATAATTTTATAACCACAACTTGAGGGAATAATAGACCCGTAACACGTTCATTTCCTGTTTCGGCGATAGTCTGAGTAGGAATTATGAAGGTGGATTTCTCGGCCGTGATGTCGCCTTGACAGTAGGACCCCATCTTGGCTACCCGATCCGGTAAGTCGCCTCTTCAGACAAATATGGGTTGCTAAAGACCCAGTATTTTACAGGCCGTCGTGATCTCGATCGAATAACAACAAACGAACAAATATCTACGTTGACGGAGCCCTTATCTTTGTATCCGTCTGATGACTGTGTGTAAACACAGGCGAAATCGGTCGGGACACACGCACAACCTTCAAACGAATAGAAAGTGTGGTCAGCATACCTGGAACGCCCACGACGGTAGGTATAGAGAAGTGAGCATCACTGACTTGCATATACTGTAACAACACGATTCACAGTGACATAGGAGTCCATTAGTGCGTTATTTATATATTGTAATGGCATAATATAGGTTAATGCAGACAAGATAACAGTGGAAATGACGAAGATTAGATGTACACATTGTGACCGAGACTCTGTGTTTAGATAGAACATGGTGATTGTGCATTCGTGACCAACTCGTGTTATTCCGGGACAAGCCGAATAGCGACTCGTGCCCCTCATTCGTCACTACTCGCCCCTTTGCATAACCTGCAAGAAGACTCGTCCCCCTATAGAAGAAAGTTATGTGCGAAAATACGACAATCCAATCAGAATGCGTGTATGATATCAAGAATCAAAGAATCTCGAGGGATTAATTATTTATTTTACCCATGTCTTGCATCTAATGATATACCCTAGGTACAGTTAAATGTGTTCAGTCACACTGTAAAAAATAACGTAAGTCACGATGTGTTTTAAATAACATCTGGAATATATATGACATTGGGGAAATATACGTGAATCACTACGCAACGAGTTGACAATTCTTTTACTTATGTCCGTTTGCGCTTAGACGGAACCCAGTCGCAAATTGGCCACGAGAGGGGCACGAGTCGCTATTCGGCTTGTCCCGGAATAACACGAGTTGGTCACGAATGTCGTGCGCCTCTCGTGGCCATCAAAAATTATCTCTGAGGGATTCTTTGACCGAAGTACTTGATTGGTTTGTCGTATAGTTCGCACATAACATTCAAGGATAGGGGGGACGTGTCTTCTTGCAGGCAGGTTACAGAAAGGGTGAGTGGTGACGAATTGGTGATTGTGTTTTCGCGACACATTTACGAATATGCATTTTATGTAATTGAACATCTAGTGCTTACTGCATTAGGGTGTGCTGGAATATATATGTAAGTATAACCTAAAAACCATGTTTCATTATGCCTGATGATCGCACGCAATACCATGGGTGCGTGAAACTCGAGTTGCAAAATGATATTAGGGAAGTGTATCCAAATCTGTATTTATGCTCTACTTTGTATTGAGCACTCTCTTCTGCAATTGGATCATACTTGTGTATATATATATAGTTATAGTTATAGTTATAGTTATCTTTACAGTAATTGCGGGCGATTGGCTCGTGTTTTATCAACTTGTACATAGTTGAGTGCCGGCAAAAAGGTATTCTCATGCATATGTTTAAAGGGGCACTGATCTAAAGCAATTGCCCGGGACTGGTTGTTGCCTTTGTTAATTTCTTCAGCCTAAACAAACAGACAAAAAAAACGGCGGAGCTCATCGGTTGTCGTCATTTGGAAATACCCCTAATTGTTATAGTAAAAGTATCCGTGCAGTGAAAGCATTTTCGGATTTCGGATTGCGTCGATAATACGATTCTCATGTTGTCATCCACGTTTTCTGGTATAACCCTATACCTGTGTATTTGTCGTCATTCACATGATGCTCAGTTAATGAATTTATTACAGGTACAATTAGTGGTAGCACCACTCCGAATACTTGACGAAGGTTCCCATTTGGCATTTATTGTGTCTGGGGTAATTATTCAATCTAAATCCAGGTTTGAAGTGAGGTGAAATGTGTGTTATGTAATATGCACGTGGCAGCCTAGCAAGAGATGAATGATCAGTTGATTTACTTTTGTTGTAAATCAGCCGTTCGTTCGTAGTCATCAAAGGATTAACAGAAAATACATTGATTGATTAATCACTGTTATCTTGCACGGTGGATATCTCAAAAGTGAGTGTTTACATGTCTAGGTTTACTAAAACAAAGGGAATACACTCATATCCTTGCGTGAAGTGCCGTTATAAAAACAACATACTTTGTTCAAAGGGTTAACTGATAATACGTTGGTTAATTGCTCATTGTTATCTAACTCAATGGATTTTTTTAGGAACCGTCGACAAATGTACAAGGTAAATGCTTCCAGATCATATTCAACATGTATCAAGGCATAAAGTCGTGTATTGTTGCTAATGGTGAAAATTCATCGTTTTTCTCTAGTGATATCGGAGTTAGACAGGGGGAAAATCTATCGCCAATTCTCTTTGCCCTGTACTTAAATGACCTTGAAGAATATCTACAACAGAAAATGTGTAAAGGTATTGATGTTATATCGGAAGTTGAAGTAGATAGAATCTGTAAAAACATTATTGTTTTGCTATATGCAGATGATACTATTATACTTGCAGATAACGCCTATGACCTTCAAAATAACATGAATGTTTTTTATGAATATTGTAAACAGTGGAAGTTTAATATTAATATTGATAAAACTAAGGTGGTTGTATTTGGATCAAGAAAAAACAATGATGTGTTTAAGATAGGCGATAATGTTGTTGAAGTAGTAGATCAATATAAGTACTTGGGTCTGGTTTTTAAACGAACTGGAAACTTCCTAGCAGCCAAGATGTCGTTAGTGGCTCAAGCTAGAAAAGCTATGCATTTACTATATATTAGAATACGAAACCTTGACTTACCAATAGACTGCCAGCTATTATTATTTGATCAAACAATCGTGCCTATATTAACATATGGTTCCGAAATTTGGGGATTTGGTAAACTAGATATGATAGAAAAGGTTCACACGGACTTCTTAAAATATATACTAAGGGTAAAAAAAAGCACACCCCACTATTTTTTATATGGAGAGCTTGGAAGAACCCCTATTACGGATTTAATTAAACAAAGAATTTTGACTTACTGGTCTAAGATAATTTATAATAAACCAACGAAATTGTGTACTGTTATGTATAATATATTATTTGCAGACTCTGGTAACCATAAATACAGCTGGCTCGAATATGTTAAAGGACTATTTGATGGATTAGGCCTTAGTTTTATATGGACCCAACAATTCATGCCAAATATAAACGTATTAAAATGTGTTATTAAACAACGTATCTTTGATCAGTCCAGCCAGACTTGGACAAGTTGGATAAACAACTCTCCCAAGGCAGTATTTTACCGAATATTTAAACATAAAATCCAGTTAGAAAATTATCTGCTGTCGCTACCCTTAAGACTCAGTATCCCGATTACTAAAATAAGATCCACAAACCATAGATTACCAATAGAAAAGGGGCGATGGGAAAATATACCACGAGAAGACAGAATTTGTAGTCACTGTAATAAACATGACCTAGCTGACGAATATCACTATCTATTAATTTGTCCTTTTCTGCATAACTTGCGTAAGCAATATATTCAAAAGAATTACTTTACAAGACCTAGTACGATTACACTTGATATGCTACTAAATACTGAAAGTGTATTAGAACAAAGAAAACTAGCACAGTTTGTAAAAGAAATCCTCAAGATGTTTAATTAAATTTATGAGTCTGTTGCAGTTAAACGTATAGTTGACACACGTCCGTCTCCTGCCTCGTGTCACCATAAATTTCCATTTGTACCTTCAATATGTCATAGCTATGACCTTGAAGCGAAATAAACGTTTGTTGTTGTTGTTGTTGATATGAAAATAGTTGTCACGTGGGCTTTCTCAGCCGACCTTTGAGACTTGACATTAAAACATTATTGACATGGACATTATTAAACATAAAAATGTTTTGAATTCGTTGTCATAATACAGATGCACATATTTTTCAGTCAATTTGTAATATAACTGAATATTCAGGCGTTTAATAAATTTCCTAAGTGAAAATTGTGCACATTTTGACTGTAAAAATATAAACACGATAAAATAAGCAATGCTCAGGAGAAATATTTTCTTTGTGTTGCAAGTCAAAATAGTGTAAACGAAAATCGCACAATTACCAAGCAAGTGACTTAACAAAACTTCGTCACCATTACCGATGCTACCCACAAAGATACCTACATTTCTCTATTATTTCCTTTTTGTTGATCGATGTGACCATACGCCCTTATACTATCAATAAAAGTGACAAATGCGCTTACGAATTGCGCAGCACAGGTTGCGAACTAGTCTAGGTTTCTGCTATATCATCCGGGTACTCACGGGAAAAAACAATAACAAAGGCAACAACCAGTCCCGGGGAATTGCTTTATATCAGTGCCCCTTTTAATGGTGACTAAAATGATACAAACAAGATATGGCTATTCGATGGTGATGTATTTGATACGGGTATCATAGATGTGTTTTGGGCCTTACGTTTGCTGTGTTTCGGTAACTGTTTTCAGCCTTGTAACGGTTTGATAACGTTTGTAATGTTTTGGTCAAATCAAATTTTCAAGTGTATGCTTTTTTGCTCGTCAGTTTATTTCGAGATTTTCAACATATTGACAGAGCATGCAAAACATATTCCAACTTTCAAGTGCGTATAGTTTTGAAATACATAGATATAATGTAAACATAATGTTTCTTTGCAGCATTCCAAAATGTCTTCCCTGAAGAAGCTAACAGACAAGGGCGGTAACTCTGTATACACTCACTGTATTGACGGCCACTATTTCCCGCCCTTCCCGCTCGATGTCGAATTTGCCACGCACTTGGAGAACATTAAGAAAATGAACATAAGGGACGATGACGTCATCATAGTGGGCTACGCTAAGTCAGGTTTGAGACAATGCTTGCAGAAATAAAACAACTATTAAAGACGTCATGTCGAAAGATCACTGATTAGAGTGTGTGACTTTGGTTTAACGTCGTTTTTGACAATAATAGTTATACCACGGTGTGTCCGCTTAAATGAGTGAGGGAGTGAGCTGGGTTTAACGCCGCTTTGAACAGTATTACAGTTATATCATAGGGTTCCAGAATAATGTGGGAGGAAATCGCGAAGTGATGCAGATCTCAGACGTTTACCACGGGTATGGTGTTGACTAACCTAGAAACATAATCGGGGCGAACCGGGATTCGAACCCACCATCATTCTGGTGTGCCCAAGGGACGCAACTCTGCACGAATGGGCCACCCTCCCGCTTAAGTATGATAATGACGGAGCTTTACTGATAATAATCAACGAAACAAGTTTAATCTTTCAATCTCCACATTTTTAACAACTCTTGATAGAAAATAAGAAAGCAGATATTTTAATACACGACTCAGATTTAAAGCCGACTTATTCAAGGCAAATCTTATGGAAAATCATATCTGTTCAGACTCTGTGACTTACATAATCTCCTCGAATTAGATAAACTGGAAAGTACGGTATGTGAGAATTCATAATTAACAAAATTAATAATAATGTGATATAAGGTGCTGACAGTTGCGTGAAACAGCATGTAATTACACACTCATTTACAGTCTGGAGTGTAATCACAACAGAAATTCGCTGTTCTGATTTGCGTCCCATGGGCGTGCCAGGATCCGATGGTCAAGGGTTTAAATCACAGATTCGCCCTGATTAGGATCGAAAATTTTAAACGTCTAGGATCTGCAGCTACTGAAATGTTGTTTCAATTTGCGTGAAGATGACTCACTCCCTAGGGCGTGTTATATATGGTAGACATTTACATATTCATGTTCAGGTGAAAACAGTTACATATCCATGTTTAGGTACACACTGGATGTGGGAGGTGGCGGGAATGCTGGTGGCCGGAAGTACAGACTACATCCGGCAGCTCAAGGAACACCAGTTCATTGAGTCTAAGGAAGTGGCGGTGCTGGACGCTCTGACGTCACCCAGACTCCTCAACACACACATGGCGTTCAGGTAGTGAGTAAGTGAGCATGGTTTTACGCCGCTTTTAGCAATATTCCAGCAATATCATGGCGGGGGACACCAGAAATGGGCTTCACACATTGTACCCATGTCGGGAATCGAACCCGGGTCTTCGGCGTGACGAGCGAACGCTTTAACCACTAGGCTACCCGACCGCCCGTTCAGGTAGTGACCTTAACAGATTGAAGCATATTTATTTCCGTGGAATGAACGTTCTACTTCCTCTTAAAGTCTCTACTCTCCGCAGTCGGGAATCAGGTTAGAATTGGTCAACAGCAACCTATACAGCAAACTAGTTCATAACGAACAAGCTTAATATGAACGGATGTATATAACGAACTGTTTTCTTGGCCCCGTCCAGTTGCTGTATTTTTGCGGTATATATGCTTATAACGAACTACGGCTATAACGAAGCTTTTGAGTATAACCGTAGTTTACTGTATATGCTGGTCGTAAGAGGTGACCAAACAGATCGGGTGGTCTTGTCTCGTCGACTTGCGCGTTAATTGTGTGTCAACGTACCCCAACGACGTGGATCGTTGCTCATAACATCAATCACTGGAATATCTGGTCCAGACTCGAATATTTACAGGCAGTCTTCATTTTGCTGAAATATTGGCGATTGGGATAACAAACCTAACAAGGAACTGCAATTAATGTGTTATAATATCATATGTTAAATATGAAATCAAGAAATTCCTGTGAAGAGGGTGCAGGTTTGGGCTATTCTGGCAGACCTGATAAGTTAGATTCATGTCAAACTTTAGGGACAGAGACATGAGTTTCAAACTATACACGTATTACAACGTGGATACCTTTGCTAGAAATCATGGAATCCCAGCAATATAGATATGGTCTATAGATTTCAATTATTAGCCAATGAAACATCCACTGCAGGGTTTAATCGTGGATTCCAAACTAAGTGATGACAACTAAATTGGAAAAATAATACTTGTTTGTTTAAATCTGGGACTTATTTAAGTTAACATTTTCTTAATTTCAAAGGTATTTTAACATTGAATTTTAAAATTAAACCCAATACAGTCATGTAAATTATGAGTTAAAGCCTCTTGGTCTTTAATGGTCCTGCTTTCAGTGAAATACAAGTCAGCTTAGTTATTACTCTATTAAAGTCCCAACCGGACTATAAATAGCGCGGTATTTTGCGAGATCTTAGTGTTTGACAGACGTTGCGATGATCGGTCAGCCAGTAATCGGTGACCCAAAATCTTGAATAACTAAAGAACGAGACAACATTCACATCCAAATCTTGGCAGACAGATTTGCCCTACACCAGTCAGTGTAACAAAAGTCACACGATATAAAAAAATATTACATTCGATCTGATGTTTGGTTGTAAAAAATCCAGTCGTCTGTGAAACAACAGAAGTGGGAGGAGTTAGCCTTCGGTCAGCTGACATCTACTGCGCGAGCGAATCTAATTATAGTAAACCACGTGGCGAACTCGCACATGGCACAACTTCTCGAAGTGTTTGTTTACTTGCAACGAAACTGCCAAGAAACTACCAAATGGCATTACAAAGACGTTAAGTTCAGTACCACAATGAACACATACCCATACAGTTTACGACTGTTTTGTGCACCGCATTTGGCGAAAACATTGTAAACGGGACTATGCAAATTAACTTTTACAAAATAAATAAAAGTTATAATGTCGACAATATGTAGTTTATTTATACACAAATCTATCATCTTTGGTGGACATGTTAATATAACAGTTTACACATATACACAATATGAAGTAATTCTTGATTCGATTTCTACAAATCAGATGATCAATTTGAAATATGTAGACAGTGCTTGTTTATAGAAATATGCAGGTTATGAATAGTCGATGTTTACTTCAGGAGGCGTCTTACCTTTCAACTTATTTAGCATATTTATCACCACGTATGTTCCATAAAATCCATATTCAGAATATACAATGTATTTGAATCCACGAGCACATGCATGATTCAAAACACAATCAGGCATAATTTCACGGCGCACACTAGTCCGAATTATCATCAACAGTTTCGTACAGTCACGAGTCAACAGTCTTGAAAAGATCCCTCGATGATTCCTCAAATCATTCCTTCTGTCCAACATCGTCCAACAGTTCTTGGAAAGAGTTTTGAGGACTACCACCACCTATGTCCCATATAATCCCGATTAGGAATGTTTGGATATAATCCACGAACATGGTTCAAAACACAATTGGGCATAATTTCCCGGCGCACACAAACAACAGTTTCGTCCAAATGGTCACGATTCAACAGTCTTGTCTTGTTGGAAAGATACCTTGGATTCCTCCATGCATTTCGTCTATCCAACATCGACCAATAGTTCTTGTAAATAGTCCTGCGAACCCCACTATTTCTGTCGTGAGGGGCGGAGCCTCGGCCAAGCCATCTTTGAGGAAATGTTGTCACACACGGGCGGCAAAAACAAAATTCACATTCCTGAATTTCCTGGAAACGATCGTCGATACTGACATTCAGATCACAATCTAAAACGTTCACTTCATCCCCAGCATCAATAAAAGTAGGGGGTTTCTCTGACGAATCTTCTTCACCGGTGACATCTACACTTGCATCACTCAACTTGTCTTCCATGGCTTCGTCAATCGTTGCATCACTTTCCCGCGTCTGAACACTGGCATCACACGACGAAACGTCCTGCACTGCGGCATCGTAATCCCATCCCGAGTAATTGAATAAACTTCGAATGGCTTCTTGTTGCATTTCATCAACATTTAGTGTAATAGTGAACTTGGATGACATCATGAAAGCGTTGAAATATATAAGCAGTGAACGAACGTGAAAGCGACCTGTCAAAATTTTCTTGGTTGTAACACCCATTAGAAACCGATAGAATTTGGAAGCGCTCATTATATGAAAGATATATTACACATCATGAAAAAGTTTGATGAATATACGATTTGTAGCGATTTAAGGAATGTTTCATTATTTACCGTGAATAAGTATCATTTCACATTACAAATAAGCATATTTAGGCATGGCTAGTCGTCATAAATCAAAATTTCAACTTATGAAAAGCACCCTCTACAACCCTCAAAATAATGGTAGCGCGTTGTTTTGGTCAGCTGTTTCTTATGTCGCGTGACCCAAGCGTTGGTGGGTAGTCTAATACACGACGGGTTGGATGGGTTGTGTTGGTCTGGAGGGTTAATGGCATTCATTGCATTCAAACAATCAAAACCGACCAATTTTGTATTATATAAACAATATATATGCAACTCAAGTTAGGTTCTCGAAAAAGTCTCAAAGTTAAACTCTTATCAAAAGCGAAAGTCACCTGTCACACCCCTATGGGTTACATAAGCCACGCCCAATTTCCCGCTTTTCTCTATTTGTTGTCTGCTGATTTTATGCAACCGATCTGTAGATCTAGAGTGACGAATATTGTTAAAAATGGCAGGTATTGCTAGAATGTTAAGCGATAGTAACGGGATTAAGAGAAAATATTCAAAAGACAATCCAGAAGCTGTGAAACGAAGAAATTCGGAGAGAAAAACTTCACCACAAGGAAAAATTAACTTTTCAGCTGAAAACAGAGACGAGATTGATTTCATTTATGAACAAGCGAAGAAAATCAAAACTTTTCTTGGAGAAGGGAACCCTAATCTTGTGACAAACAAACAACTTCTCGATAATACTTTCTCATATTTTATTGAGAAAAATATCGATCCAGTCCGTGCAAACGTTTTAACAGATGATGCAAACGATGGGAATATTACTGACGAATCTTTTACGCGTGATTCTTCATTCTGCAAGTGTGAAAATACGGATGAATGCAATCAAAAGATGTTTTGTGCCTCTGAAAATGCTCTTGAAAAGCTCTGTGGTCGACTTTATTCGCACAGTTTGTCATGCTCGTTTCCTGCTCAGAAATTGGACATGAAAATGATTGGACATGTTGCCTATGTTACTTTCAGATGTGAAAAAGATCATGTGATAATATGGCCCAGTTCACCCTATCTTGGTAATAAATATTTGGTAAACTCTCGCATGTGTCATGGATACCTTGTGTCTGGAATGTTACCCAATCAGTACGACAGATTTGCGAAAGCAGCTGACATTGGAAGACTTGGTTCAGCTTACATATCTGACATGTTTTCAAACTATAAAGAAGTCGTTTGTGATTTAAGTCGTGAATCATGCGAGGATGCACTTTTAGAAGAAATTGTGACCTACCCGAATATGGATGGAATTAATATTCTCACTGACGCTCGCCATGCCACACGGAAAAACTCCCGTTTTACTGATGTTGTTTGCATTGGAGCTAACACTCACAAAGTTATCAGGACGGAAACTGTATCAAAAGTAGACAATGCCTGCACACAAAAACACGAACTTATTGGAACTCAGCGTATCTATGAATATCTTGATAGTGTTGACAATGGTGTCGGAGTACATGTGAAATTACATTGTCATGACAGGAATTCGGTCATAAATAAATTTATCAGGGAGGAGCGCCCTGATACAACGTCAACAAATGACACATGGCATGCTACGAAAAATGTTACAAAGGAGGTTAAATGTGTGTGTTTGGGTCCAAAATACAAAGAGGATGTGACGTGGCATCGCGAGTTATCGGACAAAGCAGGAAGTATCAAGACTCATTTTTATTGGTGCATTAGGAACTGCGATCAAGATGCCAACAAGCTCCGCGATAATATTATGAATGTGGTCAATCATTACAAGGATATCCATAATAACTGTTCAGAAACGTCGAGATGTAGACAAGACGCGCACTATGAATCATCCAAAACACTTATTTGTGACCCAAAGGCTGAGCTACTTCTGTGTCAAGCTTTGAAAAATACTGTTGTGTATAAACATACCGACGACTACGTTCATTGTATGGACACGTTTTTTGTTGAAAGTTTCAACAATTCACTGCTACAATATCATAACAAAAGAATTAATTTTTCTGACGATGTTTATCGTTTTCGGACGAATATGGCAGTATTAGACTGGAATGAACACGTAAATAGACCAACAACATCATCAAGATATGTCATGGATGCTAGAAACCCAAGACGTCAGGCCGAGACCAAAGTCCTCAAACGGAAAACTTACAACATGTGGGATCAGATTTGGAAGGACTATGTCGCCATTTTCCTCGAGTAAACGTAGGTAAAAATTTTTTAAATGATTTTAATAGATTAACAACGTTAATTTGTTACCTACGATGATGTGCATAATGGTGTTCACCTGTTGCCGATTACCACATGTATTTTAGATTGAGACACGTGGGTTACTATAAATAGTAAGCTCCGCCCATTTTCCTTATACGTAAAATATTTACTGCGCATGCACCCCGATTAGGCTGATCGGATGTTGGGGCTTTAACACGAATAGAAAATTAGGGAATTTTTAATTGACTTTTCCTGCAGACTATGGGCCGAATATCGGTATCAGCTGGAGCTGATCTAACTAAATCCCTGGCGATCAATTCCAGATTCCTGCCGTCAGAGGTCGTGTCCAAGAGAACCAAGGTCATCTACCTGTTGAGGAACCCCAAGGATGTGGCAGTGTCCTTGTACCACCACGTCTGGGGAATGAACAAGGATAACTGGGTGTACAACGGGACTTGGGACGACTTCCTTGACGCCTATCTTCAGGGAAACGGTTAGTTAGAATAGTTTCCTTACCAGTCACACCTACTGGGTGTAAAGTCCCACTAGATGTTGCTTTATGGTGCACACTTGTTATTCAGCACAGAGAAGCATAAGGAATGAACACAATATCCTCACCGTTGTGGTCGTGCGTAGTCCACTTATAAACCTACTGGCTGTTTGTGTAACTCGATATGGAGTTTTTGAAATTGTGGTAACACCTCACAGGAGGGCTTACAATCATTGAGAACCCTTGATAGAACAAAAACTACGAACAGCCTACGAGACGCACGTGCAGATTTCGCACCGTTGCGAAACCCACGTGCTGAGGTCACCGGTTTCATTGAACCGAGTTCACGACTGCAGGCGATATTTCATCTCCGATACAGGTTATACATTTGAGAGTTTTTATTACAGTTATTGTCCCCCGCCGCGCGAAAGCGCGAAGCGGGGGATATAGTATTCACGACCGTCCGTACGTACGTACGTACGTCCGTCCGTACGTCCCACCAGTTTGTTGCCGCGATATCTCAAGAACTGAACACTGGATTGTCTTCATATTTGGAAATATGGTGTATATACAGACTCCGCAGACACCAGTCGGTTTTGGTGACCTTGACCCCATTTTCAAGGTCACAGCAGGCAAATCTGCTTTTGGAGTTGGAAAACGGTGTTGCCGCGATATCTCAAGAACTAATCGCAGGATTGTCTTCATATTTGAAACTATGGTGTATATACAGACACCGCAGACACCAGTCGGTTTTGATGACCTTGATCCCATTTTCAAGGTCACAGCCGGCAAATCTGCTTTTGGAGTTGGAAAACGGTGTTGCCGCGATATCTCAAGAACTAATCGCTGGATTGTCTTCATATTTGGTACTATGGTGTATATACAGGCGGGGGACATTTCGTCACTTTGTGACAAATACGTTTTTAATTAAAAACGTTGTCTATGGGATGAGTCAGTTTATAAGTTGGAGAAACCATTTCTACGAGGGATTACCAGCGATTGTAAACCCTGACATGAGGTGACATACCGAGGGGTGAAGAAAAAGTAAGCATATGTAAGATATATATATATATACCACGTTCTGGACATTACGCCTTGTACGTGAAGAACAGTTTGATCATTGTTATCAAACCCAGATATCCTCTAAAACTAATGCAAGAAGCAAACACGAGAATATTGAACCACTTCATCAACGTTCCACACTGGTAGCTGGGTCGATCTGTAAATTAAGCAAAGATCATGTTTGTTTGTTTGTTGTTTATCGCCGCACTCAGCAATAATCCAGCTACTTGACGGTGGCCTGTAAATAACCGTGTCTGGACCAGACAATCCAGGGATTGACATAATGAGCATCGATCTACGCAATTGTGATACGATGACATGCATCGACCAAGTCAACGAGCCTGACCACCCGATCCCGTTAGTCGCCTCTTACGACAAGCATAGTCGTCTTTTACGACAAGCATGAGTTGCTGAAGACCTATTCTACCCCGATCCTCTCAGGTCCGGAGATCATGTAGCTATAACAAACGACTGAAAAAAGAACACACCAAGTACACGTTTTTAAAACTTTATTATAATATCGATTTTAATGTGCATGCACTTGATCTTTGTGCTGCGTAGTCGTTACGCAACTGAAAGGAAATCAACATTTCAGTGCTTTAGATTTATACCTGTGATCCGGGAATAGTCACCTCTGATTTGTCTGTTGTGTATCGCCGCACTCAGCAATATTCCCGCTATATGCCCCTCTAAATTCTTCCAGCAATATTGATTCTGAAACCTAAATCATGCTTTTCCGTGTAAGGGGTCGTTTGAATCTGAATCTTTGCTTTGCGTGTGTCGTTGTTAGCTGGTGTGCCTGGTCGAGACTCGACCACTGACAACTCGCTCGATACTGCTGGGGTAATGCAGACTTCAGCTTTAAACAACATACACCAACTTCTTGTTACGCGTACGTCATTCTCTCATCTTATATATGGAATAAAACTAGTCCTAAAACGTCAGTGGGAAAGAGAAAAGGCCGGAAACATTTTGTGACATTAACTTTAATTATTTTGATGGTTTGTTTCATGATCTTCAGTATGGTGTGGGTCTTGGTTCGACAGTGTTTTAGACTGGGAGAAAACACGCCCTGCCCGCTCGGAAATGCCCGTATTTACTTTGCACTATGAAGACATGAAAAAGGTACGTATTTCGTTTACCAGATTTCAAATAAAACTTTCTTTCACGCCAAGCATTCCTTGCATATAATGAAAACTTTTTAAAATGGTGATTGACTTAGAACTTATAACTTATGCAAACTTATTTCTTACTATATAAATGACGTTTTGCAAAGTCGAAACTGACAGATTAAAAATATCTTGACAACAGAATATAAGAAAAATGGTTATGTGCAAGTGTAACTGAAATGAATCGCCTGGTGCTATATTTACCAAATTACCAACACATCTTGGAGATCGACGGTCCAGTTGTCTTGGTCGTCGCAGAGTTGCATTCCAGGATTTTATGATCGTGGATTCGAACCTCTGATAAGCCCTGATTATAACCCTTGGATTGTCAGCAGACTCAGCGCCATACCCGTGCTCGTGCGTTTTATCTTCAAGTCCACGTCTTCACTATCGGCTCACACATCCTGAAATATCTCAAATACTGTTGAAAGCTGAGTTGAATCCAATGCAGCCACTCACTGTTACATCAATATATCCAATAATCGTGATGCTGGCTGCTGACTTTCCAACCAGTGTTGTATTCATGGCGCTGTTCGACAGACACTATTAGTAACATAACCTCCCCCCCACTAGCCTTGGATATTCCCTAGTCCGCTACCCCGAGACTACTAAATTAAGCTGAGGACAAGTAAAAATCCAATGATGGTAGTTCTCTTTGACTAGTAGCATTTGAGGGCTATTATTCTGAACCAGTTCTCGATGTTTCAAATATGCTACAAATTGGAACTGTATAAAACTGACAGAGAATGTGATATAGATGCAATGTATAGATGCAATACGTCTTTGGTTTACACAAGTCTTCGGAACTCGTCTATAAAAACAACTAGCAATTTTTTCAGATGTTGATTAAGTATCTCACAAATTTCAGGATCCCTTATCAAATGTACAACGTCTGTCGGAGTTCCTTGAGGCACCGGCAAGTTCCGAGTTCTGCCAACGAGTGGTGGAAGCATGTAGTTTTAAGAAACTCAAGCAGGCCAAGGATAATATGGAAGAAAACTTTCTGCGAGACATATGGAAACCCGGCTGCGAGGGCTTCTACAGGAAAGGTACCACAAACATTTATGTATATCATGATAGTCCTTGGGTATTGTTGTAGACATCTGAGCGCCTCCGCGGTCATACCAAAAAACGTTAAAAGATGGTTCCTTATTGTTACCCTGTCTGGCGCTCGGCATTAAGGGACTGAAACAAGGACTGGTCGGCTCGGAGTCAGTTAACTGTGTCTGAGTGGGGTATTCATGTTAAACTGCGGCATGGTATCTCAGTGTGCTAGCACTATAAATCGGCATCAGTCCGGACTAGTACAAGCAGCCACACACACACACACACATACACGTCGCTATATAAGTGCAATAATCTCTATTTCACCTTACCTTGTAGACATCTATTTATGGAAAAGCATTGACACCCAAAGGCGTCTTATAACATGCTGAAAAAAACTGGATCTTTCATTCATATACGTGCGTTACTGTTAGAGACAGGTTCTTCATATGTCTGGATTACTCAAGATTGTGGTAACGTTAATTTCTTTCTTAATCTGTTCAACCAGAGATGTAAGGATATAGAGTTTCAGAATTGGCATGATAGATTTCTGGATCTTCTTTATTGAATTTGTAAAGTGGTTATATATCTGCCATATAAATTGATTAATATGTCACGGAAATATTTAATTGTAAGGATTTATTGCGATTATTTTGTAAGTGAGTGAGTATGGTTTTACGCCGCTTTTAGCAATATTCCAGCAATATCATGGCGGAGGACCCCAGAAATTGTCTTCACACAATGTAACCATGTGGGGAATCGAACCCGGGTCTTCGGCGTGACGAGCGAACGCTTTAACCACTAGGTTACCCGACCGCCCCTATTTTGTAAGTTTCATTCGTCATCCCAGAAGTTGAAAATACAACATAAACGTTTTAAGAAGCATGTTGATCCAAAATTGTAATGTACAGCTTCATTTCCTTCTTATTGGTCGCCTTTACAAGTCAAGCAGAGAAAAGTTATATACCACTTTATTACTCTGCTTATCCCAGTATACATACTTTTTGCAGCGTCATCGTCATCACAAAAATCTTGTCATATTAAAAGAGGTTTTTTTATACCTTTTTGCAATACAAATATATTGTACACCAAACTTCGTCGGACTTAAAGCCTTAAGTTTGAGTTGTATTTGATGACAACAAATTGCGCAAAGATACCGGTCAGTGTATGAAAGGACATGCCCAACAAAAGCATTGGCTAAAAAAGATTTATCGGAAGCACAGTACGGAATACGTGTACCTCAAACCATACAATCTATTATAGAACGGCTATGATGCAGTAGGGGTACACTTCCTAAACCTTCGTTAGGGAACACAGTGTGCACACAACCCGATTAGTGGCGCGTTTCAATTAAAGAGGATGTCTTTTTAGTGAATTAAAAATATATGGAGGTTATAATTTTTTATGAATACAGTTCTAGAGAGTAGATGAAATATATATCAGGATATGAAAAAAGGAAGATGGTCCACAGAAACGTTGATGTTCGGATCTGCACCGTGATTGAGTGTATCATGCATTTTTCCACAATGTTCTAAGATTGCAATTAAGAGATTGTTTGCGATATTTCAATAGGACTGTAAATGTTTTAAGTGAGTAAAAGAATTTTTTGTGTGTTTCAGGGGAAGTTGGGGACTGGAAGAACTGGTTCACTGTGGCCCAGAACGAGAGATTTGATGCTGTGTATGGAGAGAAGATGAAACATTCCAAATTGAAAATGCAGTTTGAATAAAGTTAACAGTTAAAACTGGGATTACCTTCAAAACGTTCTGTTTGAGTGCTCTTCCCGCTATATCAGCTGCTATATCAACAGGGATGGAAATTGGCACTATCCTCCTAGCACGGACCAGTTTTCGGGCTAATAGAATTTCAAACATTTTGGATGGTGCTGCCATATGTTAGCACTATTTGGGCCAGTAGACGTTCTTTGTTAACTTCCATCCCTGTATCAGGGCGGTTTTCTCTACGTAGGTTTCCCCCTGATTTGAAGAGATGAACTTGAAAAAAACCGATTGATGCGCACGATTATTAAGTATACAAATATGTTTATTTTCCTCTGATTCTGTTCCTGGTTTTGTCGGCACCAAACACGTGGGAGTTTCACTGAATCGGTAAACGTTTGAGACCTGTATCAGTTCGCGATTTCCTCCCTCATTAAGCTGACACGCTGTAATATAACTGAAATGCGGGGTAAAAACAAACTCACTCACTTAATTGTCACCAACACATCATGCCACATTATCACTTGGACCTTGTCCTTGTGAGCTAAGAAAACGAGAGAAAATGCAAAATTCGAAAAAACAACAGATTTAATTAGCGCCAAATATATTGTCCAAAAATGTCCAAAACGTAAAGAGCACTGTGATCCAAATAAGACAATGTCACAAGATGTCACTGATTCAAAGTCCATCTTGCGAGCACGGAACACACTCCTGAAGAAGCCGGTCACACGAGATCTGATGGTTCTCACAGTGGACTGGGGCTGTGTGACTTCCTCGTGGAGGTCAATCTCTTCGAAGTGGGAGGCATCAGGGAGGGTGGGGCTGGTGAGGGACACGGAGGTGGACACGGGGGTAGGGGTGTGGGAGGCGGGCAGTTCAGACAAGGGGTCAAGGATGGTGAAGTATCTGCACGTAGCACGCTGATGGGAAGGTGGAGAAGAATTTATAGACAGAGATAGAAAGTGGTGGACGTGTATGTTACAAGCAGCATTGGATGAGTGTTATGCTGTTAGAGAAATGTGAGAGGAAGACACAGTGAACAGAACTGCCTGGTGTCACTAGCTATCGATAGTACTTATTACGTACCATGGTGTCAAGAATACAAATCTCAGGCAAAGATTGTGTTAAAAATATATGCACTTAGGTGAAATAAAATAGTCAACAAACATGATGTTATTATTCCCGATTCAACCTACTTGGCGGGGAGGGGCCCAGATATCAAAGTTCAGGGGGAATCTGATGATCAGATCTACAGGTGCAACAGCAAAGAAGAGAGACATGTGAGAAAGGGGGACAGAATGTGTGATAAGGATTAATTGTTAATGGTAAAGGAAAAGTCACATGAGAGAGAGAGAGGTACAGAATGTATGATTAGGATTAATAGTTTATGGTAAAATAAAAGTCACATGTGAGAAAGGGGGAAAGAATGTATGATTAGGATTAACTGTTCATGGTAAAGGAAAAGTCACATGTGAGAAAGGGGGAAAGAATGTATGATTAGGATTAATTGTTAATGGTAAAGGAAAAGTCACATGTGAGAAAGGGGGAAAGAATGTATGATTAGGATTAATTGTTAATGGTAAAGGAAAAGTCACATGAGAGAGAGAGGTACAGAATGTATGATTAGGATTAATTGTTAATGGTAAAGGAAAAGTCACATGAGAGAGAGAGGTACAGAATGTATGATTAGGATTAATAGTTTATGGTAAAGGAAAAGTCACATGTGAGAAAGGGGGAAAGAATGTATGATTAGGATTAATTGTTAATGGTAAAGGAAAAGTCACATGTGAGAAAGGGGGAAAGAATGTATGATTAGGATTAATTGTTAATGGTAAAGGAAAAGTCACATGTGAGAAAGGGGGACAGAATGTATGATTAGGATTAATTGTTAATGGTAAAGGAAAAGTCACATAGGAGAAAAGGCAGCGGTAGAAACTAAAAGTATTTGTCCACTAGTCATTATAATGATAACATATAGTAAAACCCTTAAAGGGAAAAATGTCTTCTAGCCCTTATGATTGCTTAACTATAATTTTTTTAAACATAAACTAAGGAGCAAAAAAAACCCAAAAAACACTGCAAGTCTCAGTTTACTTTATCATTATTATGATGTTCCACTGAAGATGTCTTAAATTTGCGATGATATATCCAATAAATGAACTGTACTGGCACTTTGTCATCAGTCAAAGAATGCGTGTACATGGTTGTTATAAAAAAAATATAATTTGATTTAAAACTTTTAAAAACAAAAAATAATAATTTCGCATAATACACAACTGCTGATGGGTATCTTTGACATCTTATATTTGAAAATCAATAAATTTGCTTTTTTTCAGCACAATTCTACAACGCTTCAAACATGGCAGGGGTCATGTGGTTGCAAATACATTTCTGAGCCCAATCTTCATTGAACCAATCTCTTTTCGCACAAATTTATTAGTTACAAGCTTTAGCAAGAATGGATGATAGTTAAATAGACATAAATACAATTAACAACAGTTCTGTAAATTTTCAATTACATAAAAAACAAACTGGTATACTTTCGTTTGTTCCCCAGTCTATCTTAAACAAAATGACTCATGGGTCACAATTTTGAAAATCTGAAAACTAATGTCGTGTGGCTTAAGTACTGTACAGATAACAGTTCCAAATATCATCATGTATGTTGATGGTTTTGGAAGAGTTCATCATAGTGAACAAATACATTGAATCTGAAGGTTGCATGGGGTTATGGGTTTCATAGTAAACATACGAATGTTGGAAACTGAGAAGGTTGGACCAGAATACTACTTTTATGTTGGTAATTTCAGGGTCAGGAACAGACCAAGTAAGGCAGAATAATTGAAAGCGTATGTTGTATGTTTTTTTCAATCCTAGGTATACTTGAACAATCTCTGTCTTTTATGTACCAGAGCATGATCGTCCTTTGCAATAACTCATAGATTAATTTGTAAAATGGTGTATGTGAGTTGTGAATGGGATGATCTATTCGTTAGGGCTAGTTATCAAACGCAGAGACCGGCACGTCTCGTATATTTGGCGGTTGGCCACGGGTTGTATATATATGCCAGGGAATAGTCACAGCTAATGGAATTAACAAAAAAACAAATACTTCGGGACCCAGTATTCTTTATGCCGGCCAACTGAACTTATGTCCATTTCGGATAGCCTATATTTACAACTGTTGGAAACTGTTGTTCAGTGATCTAAACTGCCGGACAAGAGAACGTATACACCCATGTTTGATTGTGGCTAAACATGAAACAAACAATAAATGATTTTGAGATGGTGATATATTTCATACGGGTATCATAGTTGTATGTTTTACCTAAAGTTTGCAGTGTTTCGGCGTCTATTTTCAACCGAGTAGGCTTAACGTTTTCAAAACGCATTTGAACTTGTGTGATATCTTTGTCAAATCCAATTTTCAGTGTGTACATTCATTTGCCAGCGGTTTAGCCTATATGAGATTGATTCCGAGATAAATTCAACAAATATTTTAATGTCAAAGAAATGGCAACAACTTCAGCTCAAAAACTGAAATATAGAATCGAAATGTTAGGCCTATTGAAATTCTATTTATTTTTTTTAGTTGCACTTGAGTTGCACTGCTATGCATGGATAAAACAAAGAAATAAGGGTGTAATGAGACGAAATTTCCGAACCAATGAGACCTAGATACCTTTATCGTACTGGTTCATATTAGCGTAGGTAGACATGATCCCAATACAACGTAGACAAGTGATGAATACTGAGTGTGGCAAGTTCAATGACAGCAATGGCGATGAGCGTTTTCATCGAGAGTGAACCGTCGTCAAGGCGACGCCATGAATCTCGCGAGAATCGCGTGACTATTGGCTAAACTGGTCCCGCTTTGGGTACGCGACGCAAGCTTAACGCGATTTACTTCTTGTGAAACGATCAGGAGCCCAGTTGCGTTAATGTTTGGTTAGCGCGTAGTTGAAATAAATATAATGATGTATATTCGCGACATTGTAAAGGACTGCATTTTCATTAATACGAGGGAACTCAGTCACTATTGAAGATGTACTCAGGTTTATCAAGACAGTGATATTATTTTACTATGAAAATGAGCGCTTTCGGAAATCTGCTTGATGTAGATCAAGATCTAAAAGGTGCAAGAAAACCCATAACCCGGCCACAAACGTCATTGACGTAAAACTTCACGTGAAAAGAGGTGATGTGACTCTTACCAAAATTGAAAAATATTGTTTGCTATCCAAAAAATCACAAAATCAATTTAAATGTTTCACCTTAAAATAACAGTCATCAAAAATGTTTGATTTGATGTTAATATTTTGATAACCAAGGTGTTTGTTATCATAATATATGATTTAACATTGGGAAAGGAAAAGGAAAAGTCACATGCAAGAAAGGGGGACAGAATGTATGATAAGGATTAAATGTTTATGGTTAAGGAAAAGTCACATGTGAGAAAGGGGGACAGAATGTGTGATTAGGATTAATTGTTTATGGTAAGGAAAAGTCACATGCAAGAAAGGGGGACAGATGTATAATTAGGATTAATTGTTTATGGTTAAGGAAAAGTCACATGTGAGAAAGGGAGGCAGAATGTGTGATTAGGATTAACTGTTTATGGTAAAGGAAAAGTCACATGCGAGAAAGGGGGGACAGAATGTGTGATTAGGATTAATTGTTTATGGTAAAGGAAAAGTCACATGCGAGAAAGGGGGGACAGAATGTGTGATTAGGATTAATTGTTAATGGTAAAGGAAAAGTCACATGTGGGAAAGGGGGACAGAATGTATGATAAGGATTAATTGTTTATGGTAAAGGAAAAGTCACATAGGAGAAAGGTGTACAGAATGTATAATTAGGATTAATTGTTTATGGTAAAGGAAAAGTCCCATGTGAGAAAGGGAGACAGAATGTGTGATTAGGATTAATTGTTTATGGTAAAGGAAAAGTCACATGCGAGAAAGGGGGACAGAATGTATAATTAGGATTAATTGTTTATGGTTAAGGAAAAGTCCCATGTGAGAAAGGGAGGCAGAATGTGTGATTAGGATTAACTGTTTATGGTAAAGGAAAAGTCACATGCGAGAAAGGGGGGACAGAATGTGTGATTAGGATTAATTGTTTATGGTAAAGGAAAAGTCACATGTGGGAAAGGGGGACAGAATGTATGATAAGGATTAATTGTTTATGGTAAAGGAAAAGTCACATAGGAGAAAGGTGTACAGAATGTATAATTAGGATTAATTGTTTATGGTAAAGGAAAAGTCCCATGTGAGAAAGGGAGACAGAATGTGTGATTAGGATTAATTGTTTATGGTAAAGGAAAAGTCACATGCGAGAAAGGGGGACAGAATGTGTGATTAGGATTAATTGTTTATGGTAAAGGAAAAGTCACATGTGGGAAAGGGGGACAGAATGTGTGATTAGGATTAACTGTTTATGGTAAAGGAAAAGTCACATGTGGGAAAGGGGGACAGAATGTATGATGAGGATTAATTGTTAATGGTAAAAGAAAAGTCACATGGGAGAAAGGCAGCAGTAGAAACTAACAGTTGTTGTCCACTTGTCCTTTTATAACATATAGAAAAACCCTTAAAAAGGACAAATGTCTACTAGCCCTTATGATACCTTAACTAATATTTTTTTAACATAAACTAAGGAGCAAAAAAACAAAACACACTGCACCTCTCAGTTTACTTTATCATTATTATGATTTTCCATTGAAAATGTCTTACATTTGTGATGATATATCCAATAAATGAACTGTAGTGGCACTTAGTCATCAGTCAGAGAATGCGTGTACATGGTTGTTTTAAAAATAAATATAATTTGATTTAAAACTTTTAAAAATAAAAAATAATAATTTCGCATAATATACAACTGCTGATGGGTATCTTTGACATCTTATATTTGAAAATCAATAAATTTGTTTTTTTTCAGCACAATTCTACAACGCTTCAAATATGGCAGGGGTCATATGGTTGAAAATTCATTTCATAGCCCAATCTTCATTGAACCAATCTGTTTTCACACAAATTTACCCAGCCACAGGTTAGTTACAAACTTTAGCAAGAATGGGTGATAATTAAATAAAATTAACAACACTTCAGTAAATTTTCAATAACATTAAAAACCAAACTGGTATGCTTTCATTTGTTCCCCAGTCGATATTAAACAAAATGCCTCATGGGTCACAATTTTGAAAATCTAAAAACTAATGTCGTGTGGCTTAAGTACTGTACAGATGACAGTTCCAAGTATCATGTATGTTGATGGTTTTGGAAGAGTTCATCATAGTGAACAAATACATTGAATCTGAAGGTTGCATGGGGTTATGGGTTTCATAGTAAACATACGAATGTTTGAAACTGAGAAAGTTGGACGAGAATACTACTTTTATGTTGGTAATTTCAGGGTCAGGAACAGACCAAGTAAGACAGAATAACTGAAAGCGTATGTTGTATGTTTTTTTCAATCCTAGTTATACTTGACCAATCTCTGTCTTTTATGTACCAGAGCATGATCGTCTTTTGCAATAACTCATAGATTAATTTGTAAAATGGTGTATGTGAGTTGTGAATGGGATGATCTATTCGTTAGGGCTAGTTATCAAACGCAGAGACCGGCACGTCTCGTATATTTGGCGGTTGGCCACGGGTTGTATATATATGCCAGGGAATAGTCACAGCTAATGGAATTAACAAAAAACAAATAATTCGGGACCCAGTATTCTTTATGCTGGCCAACTGAGCTTATGTCCATTTTGGATAGCCTATATTTACAACTGTTGGAAACTTGTTCAGTGATCTAAACTGCCGGGCAAGAGAACGTATACACCCATGTTTGATTGTGGCTAAACATGAAACAAACAATAAATGCTTTTGAGATGGGGATATATTTTCATACGGGTATCATTTTTGTATTTTTCCCCTAAAGTTTGCAGTGTTTCGGCGACTATTTTCAACCGAGTAGGCCTAACGTTTGCAAAACGCATTTGAGGGAACTTGTGTGATATCTTGGTCAAATTCAATTTTCAGTGGGTACATTCATTTGCCAGCGGTTTAGCCTATATGAGATTGATTCCGAGATAAATTCAACAAACATTTTAATGTCAAAGAAATGGCAACAACTTCAGCTCAAAAACTGAAATATAGAATCGAAATGTTAGGCCTATTGAAATTCGAATTTTGTTTTGAGTTGCACTGCTATGCATGGATAAAACAAAGAAATAAGGGAGCTGTGAGACGAAATTTCCGAACCAATGAGACCCAGATACCTTTATCGTACTGGTTCATATTAGCGTAGGTAGACATGATCCCAATACGACGTAGACAAGTGATGAATACTGAGTGTGGCAAGTTCAATGACAGCAATGGCGATGAGCGTTTACATCGAGAGTGAACCGTCGTCAAGGCGACGTCATGAATCTCGCGAGAATCGCGTGACTATCGTCTAAACTGGTTCCGCTTTGGGAACGCGACGCAAGCTTAGCGCGATTTACTTCTTGTGAAACCATCAGAAGCCCAGTCGCATCAATGTTGGGTTAGCGCGTAGTTTGAAATGAATATAATTATATGATGTATATTCGCGACATTGTAAAGGACTGCATTTTCATTAATACGAGGGAACTCAGTCACTATTGAAGATGTACTCAGGTTTATCAAGACAGTGATATTATTTTACTATGAAAATGAGCGCTTTCGGAAATCTGCTTGATGTAGATCAAGATCTAAAAGGTGCAAGAATACCCATAACCCGGTCAAAAACGTCATTGACGTAAAACTTCACGTAAAAAGAGGTGATGTGACTCTTACCAAAATTGAAAAATATTGTTTGCATACCCTAAAATCACAAAATCAATTTAAATGTTTCACCTTAAAATAACAGTCATCAAAAATGTTTGATTTGATGTTAATATTTTGATAACCAAAGAGTAACATTGTGATTTAATATAGATGTATCTTGTGTATGGTAATAAAATTATAATACGTGGTACATGGCATAGGTCGTTGTTGAATGACAAGATGAGCTAATCAGCCGATTGGGGACGGTCGGGTAGCCTAGTGGTTAAATTAAAGCGTTCGCTCATCACGCCGAGACCCGGGTTCGATTCCCGACATGGGTACAATGTGTGAAGCCCATTTCTGGTGTCCCCCGCCGTGATTAGCTGGAATATTGCTAAAAGCGGCGTAAATCCATATTCACTCACTCACAAATCAGCCGATTAGCTGTGAAGCAAAAAGAGCATACCCATTTTATGCCATTAATAAATACTTGAAACGAGCTTCTTAAGCAATCGTGCAATTGTTAAACTGGATTCAGAAAATAAGTACACGACACTATGACTCTTGAAGAAATACATTGAAACTGAAACATGATTTAATTGTTACAAAATATACAACGTTGGCAACCTTGCATACGCTTGGATACAGATACAAAAAGATAAGTGGTGACAATAGGGCTGTGTTATGTGGACGATCTGACGTCCTTTGTCTCGGAAATCATTATCTTTGAACCATCAAGTAGAAACGTGAAGTCAATATGATCCTGTTCTCCTAGATGAGTCGTGGTCTCGCACATCCAGCACTCAGTGGTGAAAGACTTATCGTTCTCCATGCTGGCTGTGCTAGTCAGGTTTTCTCCAAGGCTGTGATCTTGACTCTCGAGCCAAGGCCAAGGACAACAGGGAGTTTCACACAGAAATGAACGGAAAGGTATTTCTGGAGTGGGGAAAAATAAATTGGTCCCTGCTTTGCCTGCCAAGTCCCTTATCATGGACAATGCACCCCATCACAGTATGCAGGATCTAGACAGCAAGACCCCGACGTCTAATAGCCTTAAAGGAGATGTGGTGACGTTGATGCAACGGATGAATACGACCTTTCCTTCCAGGGCTATAAAGCCACAACCCTTTGAAGTCATCAAGTCTAACAAACCTGAGCCCCTATATATGGTTGACAATTACCTCAAAGGTCAAGGTCACGTCGTCTTACGACTTCCCCCTTACCACTGCGATCTCAACACATTAAAGTTAATATGGGGTATCACAGCGTTTAAATAGCGGGATGTTGAAAAGCTAGTAAATGAATCCCTTGGTCATGTAACAATGAAGACATGGCAGCGTTGAGTTACCACAGTCAACGAGATAGAGTCAAGATACTGGTCACGTGATGGACCTCAGCAAGCAACAGTCCCACCTATAGACCATCGGCAGTGACACAAGCAATTCCGACGACGAGGGCTGTGACATGGTCTAGTCAGAATGCGATAACAATTATCATGAGGCAACCCCTCTTATGCTGTCATTCCCTGTACCGTTGTGTGTAGCACGTGCAATACGTGTTTGCGCTGTTCCCCCGTTGTCAAGATGTCAAGTTGTGCACATAACAACGTGATAGTTTCTTAAACAACTTTATCAAGTGATGTGACTAAAAATAACAAACAGCAGATATTGTTGGGTACATTTTATTCATTGCCTTGTACCGTTTTGACTAGACTAACATCTAGTCTCTGAAATGAACATATCGTACAGAAAAAAACACAACAGTTGTTCAGTTATCTTAATAAGAATATAATAAAAGGGAGCCCAGTGACTCTCTTCATTTCCTGATACTGCAGTAATCTAGACTTGCCAAACATTATAGACTTGCATGGGCTGTATTTGATATATATTTGTATCAGGGTCTGTAAGACAGACTACGTTTTAACATTTAATAGACTATCTCCGATTTTGAGTTAATTTGTAATTCATCTTTCTCATTTGTAGCCAAACGGACTGAAAGTGCAAAATATTTAACGGGCCACTAAAGCTAAAATATTGAGAGTTATCTCCCTTTGAAACAATTCTTGAAACTGCGGGAAATTCAACACACATTGAACGTCAACACAAACGAAGTATTTGAAAACTATGGTGAGTGCAGGCTAGTACATATAATGTCCCGACAGATACATATCTGTGTCCGCATATGTGTGACTTACATTCTGATAGTAATTAGACTCAACCACGGTTGGAGCTTTGCCAGAGACTGGCCGAAACAGATATCGATAGACGATACCTCTGAGTCTGACCTTACTAGGGTGTCAGCAGGATCAGGCTCATTGCTGACCAACCCCTCTCTTCTCTACTCTCGTCAGGCTAGCCTAAAACGACCATGCAAATGATGATTGAGTCAGTGAGCTTATGGCAAAGGTTTCAGATTACGTGGCGTTAATTTCTTCAGTTGTCACTTTCATCGTAGATACTGTCAGTGTAAACAGGAAAATGTCACTGAATGTAGCTCACTTTTATTGAACAGCTGATAACAACAAACAGTTAAATGCAAATGGCCACATATTCTATCTGTTTACCAACTATCTTAGCCATTCAAAAAAAAAAAAGAAAACAGATTTTATGTTTGATGTTTTGTTGTTGAGTGTTTGGCCTACAAATATTATGTTAGATTGTTTACATCTTGTAGATCTAAAAGTGAAAAGCCAAATAGATTTCAACATTTTAATCTTTTTCTCATTCAACCTTAGTCAAGGAAAAAAGGTCTGAGTGTGGATGAGAAGCGGTCACGGATGATGGACTTCTTTTATGAAAAGGTGGGTGACAAATTTGATCATAATTTAATGTTAAAAGAGAATAATTAAATTTTCGTTGTGTTCATTGAAATTCCTGTATTCTGATTAGCTGAATTGGTCACGTGTTATTGCATTCATTTCCCAATGAATGTAAAAAATTAAGCCACGCCCACCGCGGCGCACTACTTTTATTACTGCGGAATGTCAGGGAATCCCAATATTACAGTCGAGGGAATTCCCTTCCTGCTCACGTGTATTGTCATGCACAGGACATTTAGCGACTTTCATGCATAATCATTGTCCAAACTACCCTTTGAAACCGATGGCCGAGAATGAATGAAACAGCAAACGTGCAGGCTCGCTCGCCTGTTTTTTTTCTGATTGCCCCGGTTCAACTTTCATGTCTTTGGGTTTCCTTCCTAACTAGAATTTTTCCAACTGTGTTTTACCGTAATCAGGGAAGTAATGTTTGAATCTGGCGGTAAATGACCATGTAATTTGAAACAGCCACCTTCTCCCGGACATATTTCATCAAGTTCATTACAGTCTGACTGTTGCAGTTCATTTCGCCTCTTGTCTTAACTGACAGGTCCAATGAACATTGTTTTGATCCTGCTCTCCATTGATTGGCTACTGACAGTGTAGGCGTGTCAATTTATGTGCATAAATTAAACAATCACCTGATTCATGTCACGCCACAGTATGTATTCCTACACCTGGAATGTTTATAAATCTCGTCATTTTTTTCTGTTTTGATATATACAACTGTTTTTGGTTAAACTATTGTAAACAAAACATGTTTTATGCTGTCGAATTTAATTATAAGCATTGACTGTGTATTTTTTTCGGTTCATTGAGGTATGAATCGAAAAACCAATGTGCAAACTTTTGTAAGAATCTGCTACGTGGATTAATACAGTTTGCACATTGGTTTTTCGATTCATACCTCAATGAACCGAAAAAAATACACAGTCAATCCTTAAATATTTTGGAAAGAATCACGTATAAGGCTATACTTGTTTCATTAAAACAAGACTGTGACATCATGATTCATATCTTATCTATTTTTATTTAATATTATTATGTAACAATGTAGAAAACAAATTAAGGTACACGAAGAGGTACAACAATATAATGAACAAAACAAGATAGCAATACTGAGAATTCTTGTAGCATTAGTTAAAAATCAAACATAGTAATGCAGGCACTGTGTGTTTCAATATCTTGCGATTAGGAGATAAGCAGCAAGTGTTTTCAGATGTGTGGTTGTTATTGAGTATTTGATGCCTGGAAATTTCATTTGAAACTGACAACGTAAACCAGAGGTATCAAATGTTAAAATGTCTGCGTATCAAACACTAAAAACACCTGCAATTATGAAAATCTTCCCCACTATGCATAATCTCCCCAAAGACCTTGTTTGACATGTACTTGACATGTGTTAGCTCAAACAAGAGAGTATCGAGTGCAGCTTGGGTCACGTGATGCCTGGTGGTTGGGCATGTTTGGACTATTTGGTTTGGGCAATGTTTCTTTCTGGATGAGAGATTTCCAATGGGAGCAAGCGATTTCATTTATTCTATGTAATGCTTGATAAGTATATAATGATCAAATAATTTAGATATTAATCAGATATCCGTGTTTTCAGAAAGACTTCTTCCAGCTGAAGGAGCTAGAGAGGATGTGTCAGAAGGAGAAAGGCATCACGTCCATGTCGGTCAAGGACATCCTGACCAGCCTGGTGGACGACGGAATGGTGGACACAGACAAGATTGGGACCTCTGTCTACTTCTGGGCCTTCCCTAGTAAAGCCAGTCAAAATGTAGGGGTCTTTCAGTCATGTCAGTGTTCCTGTTGACCAGTAATTTACTGGTAGCATAGACCATGTACCAGTAAGACATAACCCTTCCAGTCCAAAATGTTGAATGTGCCGGTATTTTTAAATTCAGCTAGTCCAGTGAACCAGTAGTTTTATAATTGAACAGAAACACTGCAGTAAGCAGAGCTTCAGATAAATCAACACAATCTAATATTTCAGTTGCTTGTGCATACAAATACACTTGAAGAAATTTGATAACCCAATTGTATAACCAGACCTAAACGAGCCTCCTGGTGGTAATGAAGGCCGGGAATCACCCAAGCGCTAACGGTGAAGTGACACCAATACACAGGATATTCAAAGTCCTTTTACACGCGCTTCAATGACTTTGCCCACGCACGCGAAAAACCGGGTCCTGCAGTAGGAATTGAAAATCCACATCCCAAAGAGACCACCCTGACTGATAACAACACTATGTGCAATTAACCAACTTAGCCTTTTCCACTTGTGTCCACGCATGTTTACAAATCTTTTGTTGATAACTAAATGCAGGCATCACATATACTTGGACTCTATCATGTTTTCATTATTCCTTGTTTACGATGACGAATGCTCTTGTTCTCTGTATTCATTCCATGTATTCCGTATCATACAGCACATGGCCCCCATCATGCCATTCTCTCCTTGCTTCCGCTTCTTAAAACACGGACCACTTCCGTCTTTTAAAATTGGACACAACAAACTGAAGTGAGTCATGCACATATGATCAACATCAGGAGCATGTTGCAAGCCAAGAATCCCTTAGAGCAAGCAAAATAATCGTTCACCCAGGGGTCTCCAACAGCTCGAAACGTTCGCACTTTCTTCCAAAATGACGGGTCAACTACCACTTGGTTGCCTTGTCCTAATGAAGAACGTAACAGAAGAGGCTCGATGAAGAATTTATGACTACTTAGAAGATGTGAAGCAGACTGAGGATTACTGGGTGTAAGCTGCCTTTGGCCATTTCCTAGTTTATCCAGTCCTGAAATTGTTGTTCCGCTGTCAAACTCAGCCGCCATTTTGGTTTGAGAATGAAATGACCCCAGCTAGTGATTGTTGCGATTGCAAGTGGCTAAAAGTTAGAGCCCTGTTGTAAGATGAATCGCTGTACATGGCTCGCAAGCAGTTGGCGCTTTTCGACGCATCCCTGGTTTATTGTAACTTAGACATGTATCACTGTTATGAGGTGATGTGACATGTGACTTACTTGGGGCAGCAGACAAACATGCTAATTAGAAGTTACCTGAAACGCCATTGACGTAGTTTGTATCAACTTTTTGCCTGCTGTTTTGATGTTATGAAAATCTTATTTTCATTTAATTTTAAGCGAAAAAGAAAAATCAGTGACCTGACAAGTCGCTTGAATGAACTTGAGGGCAGACAGAAATCACTTGAAGGTCAAGTTGTCAAGGCCAAGGTTGGCAAGGAGGAAAGTGTAAGTATTTTGGGTCTTAAAGAAGAAAATTAAAAATAAATAATAAAACGGGCTTGGTTTTTGTTTTGTTTGTTTTTAACGTCGCACTCAGCACTATTCCAGCTATATGACGGCGGTGTGTAAATAATCGAGTCTGGACCAGACAATCCAGTGATTGACATCATAAGCATCGATCCATGCAATTGGAATCGATGACATGCATCAACCAAGTCAGCGAGCTGACCACCTGATCCCGTTAGTCGCCTTTTACGGCAACTTGGGTTGCTGAAGACCTATTCTACCCCGGATCTTTAATGGTAGAAGAAAATAAATAATTTTTTATATATATCTGGTGAGTGTTGAGCAGCGAAAAACCTATGCAGATACGTGACTCCGTGATCTGACAGTTCTCATGTCTTCCACAGAGTGAGAGAGAGGAAGTGCTATCAAGACTGACCGACGTCCGAGGGAAGCGTCAGTCTCTCGTTACTGAGCTGGAACAGTACAAAGAGTGTGATCCAGAAGTTCTTCAGCAGGTCAAGGTTGACACAGTCGTTGCAAAGGATGCAGCCAATCGGTGGACAGGTGCGTGTAACCCAATTTCTAACCCAATTTGATTGGTGAACTGGGAAAGTCAAGTGAGCTCATTTCGTGGCCTGTTTGCCTGGCATCCACTATATATTATAAAGATCTTCACTTCAGAAACCACTGGACTAATGATGCCCAAACCTCCAGTGCTTGTTTCCTCCAACGATGACATCAATTTGTTCCGAATCAGCTACATTCAAAAACCTATTCAGGCCATTACTCAAACATATTTTTATCCAACATGGAATGAAATTATTATCTAGTTGGTAGTGGGGCTCAACATGTGTTCCATATTTTGCGAGGTTTTAAATTTTGACCTTGTTATGACCTTTGCCCTTTGACTGTGGTCCTAAATTTTCTCCCAATGCCTTTCCTTGCACTATAAGCATCACCTCCTCAGAAGCAAAAACTGGACCAATGAAGCTGAAACTTCACGTCTGTTTCAATGAGGTTCGAATCCAAATTTCAAAATGGCCTCCACAGCAGCCATATTGAAAAGACTATTCATGGCCATAATTCAGCCATTTCTGTTAAAAATTGGAATACAATTTGGCACATGTGTAGTTAGTAGTGTTGCTGAACATACGTTCAATTTTTTGTGAGGTTTTAAATTTTGACGTTGATTTGACCACATTCAAAGCTGAAACATTTTATGGACATAACTCTGCCATTTCTTCTAAAAATGTCATGAAATTTGGTACCTAGTAGTTACTTATGGGCCAAAACACATTTGTCCTGTTTTTCACGATATTTTGAGTTTTGACCTTCGTTTGACTTTTGACCTTTGTTTGACTTTTGCACTTCAAGCTTGCTCCTAAATTCTCCCGAGAGGTATTTCCTTGCATTTCATCTCTTTTTAAATTGACAGACTGAGAAAGCTGAACTTTGGCATGAATGTTTCTCCTTTTGAGGACATTAGACTTTGCATTTATGCAAAAAATATTTGGATATCAATGCTGAGAGACTTGTGTCCGTAGTTGACATTTTAAACTGTTGACTACATATCCAGGTGAGTTACAGTGCCTGTGGCACTATTATTTATTGGACATTAAACTATTGAACCACCCCCCTGAATTCCTTGCTCTTCTGTTGCTGTTGCAGACAACATCTTCTCCACCAAATCCTGGATCAAACGCAAGTTCAGTTTTGAGGACACAATGATTGACAAACAGTTTGGCCTGCCAGATGATTTTGACTACGTGGAGTGACCATGGCATGATGGACGTTATCTGATTGGTTGTCCACTGCAACAAGTGACTCAAGGAAATCTACACAGGGCCGATTGTTGGCTGGATAGCTCAAAAGCCCCTGAAAGGTTTTCAAATCAAGAAGACGTTATCATTATTACCCTCATGTTGATGTAACGTGTGATGAAATTATTTTTCTATTTTGTCAAATTGTACATAGACGTATACAGCCAGGGTAGACATGTGATTCATATCCAACAAGTCTCCATCTTCCCGAGGCAAGAGAGTTAACTGACTATATAAGTCCAGTTTCCACCCTTGCCGAACTAGGCTGGTATTATGGAGTTACATTTTGGCTGGACTAATGAGTCTATGCATAGTCCAATCAAATTCGCGCACAAAAATTGAAATCCGGTTGGTAAACTGTCATGCAGATTTCGGTCAATTGCAGGATTTGCAAAGCATGTGCACCGCCAACTCATTGTCAGCATATATTTTCCAAATCCTTTCATGTTCTTAATCAAGGAGCTCACGTGATTTGATGCATTTCGCGATGTAAGACCCGTTTTGTCACAATATAGATCTTGATTATCGATCAGATCGTTTTGACTGGGCGCCACAATTTTGTGTGAAGCAAATGTGATTGCGATCTGATTGGTCCATTCGAGAGGCTTAGAAGGGACATACCTGGTAATAGCCACTGGTGGCGCTACGATCGAGCCCAGTAATTCCAGCCTAGTTGGGCAAGGTTGAGAACTGGTCTTTTATAGTCAGTTAACTCTCTTGCCATTGGAAGATGACAAGTCTCATTCACAGAGCTCCAGATAAGCTTTTGGTGTTGTGGGTATTTTACCCATGCATTTTAAAATCATTGGGTATCAGTAATTCTATCTGGGTATTCAAATTTCTGTTACCCACTAGTTTTTACACATGTGGGTATTTAAGTTAAATGATTAAAAACACTATTCATCTAGTCCCTGCAAACTGGTGTCGTGAGGCTTTATAGGACTCAAAAATACCACGATACTTCCACAAGAAATGATCATGATGTAACTGTCATCGTGGAGTTTGGCAAGGTTGACGGATTGCCCGTTTATAATTTCAAAATAAGTTTCTGATTTGCTAATCGAATACGCAGTGTTACTTCACAATATTTTGATGATACGCACAAGTTTTATTTTTGTAGCGTATCTGTAATGTTCGTTGCATATTTGATACACTTGGATTTTATTTTACTGCATATTTCTGCATTTCTGATGCATATTTTACGCAGATACGCAGCTTATCTGGAGCTCTGCATTCACATTGACAGTAATATAACGAATGAGGCTAAGTAATGTTGGTGACGGCGAGTTATTTGGATTGGTGACCATGATCGGCAGCTGAGAGTGTCCAGGGCCTCAGTCCTTCCCCACACTGAAACACATGGAGTGTTTCCTTCAGCAAATAACTGTTCGAAATGTGCCTCTGTTCACCCAGCAGTGAATGGGTACCCGGTAGGATGAGATGGTAATGTGGCTGTTAACCTTCTAGCACCTCACAGGCATATGGGTGTATACTCCTTGGGGAGCTGAGAATGAAAATTGAGTGCACACTGATCTATTGAACGGAGTAATAATGTCTCGCTTTGAACATGGATTAACCATGTTTGGTGCTTCATTAATATGCACATTATTTTTATTAATTTTTTTTCCACTGTTAGTTGTGTCCCTTTTGTATGCCTGCAACCTATTATTGTGGGTTCGAATACCAGTTCGCCCTGATTATGTTTCTAGGGCTGTCACAATTGTCGGCAACATGTAATATTATAAATCTAAACATTCTTCTTCTCTTCTCCTTGAAGAGTTCACAAGTCTCTGGACGAGGATCTGTGTCTAACCCTGATTTTGTTTTCATTATATAAAACAAAACATAATAGTTTCTTCATTTGTTTATTATTTCATTTCAGCTTAAAAAAGATAATAGTCTTGGTTCTCAGGCACCGCCTGCTTCATCATAACGTTAACCGCACGTTTCATTTTTATTTCCGTTTTAAAAAAAGCAAGACAAAATCCTTAAATATTCCAAGTCCAACAGTAGTCAAATACTGTATTCCAGTATTTTACTCATCAAGGAGGAAGGCACTTTCCCAGGTTGATTGTACTCAACTGTTTATTTGGTTACATACTAATTTGAACGAAAAAGAGGGGAAAAGACAGTGCCCGCCCGCACTATGGTTTGAAAACACTTTGCCTGAGAACCAATTCTTTTACTTTTTAAAGCCTTCTGTTTGTGTCTTGCGCCTATACATTGCACGCTTTACATCACTGCCAATATACAAAACTGTACACAAGCAATAGTACTGTATACAAGCAATAGTACGGTACACAAGCAATAGTACTGTACACAAGCAATAGTACAGTACACAAGCACTAGTACAGTACACAAGCACTAGTACTGTATACAAGCACTAGTACTGTACACACGGAATAGTACTGTACACAAGCACTAGTACGGTACACAAGCAATAGTACTGTACACAAGCAATAGTTCGGTACACAAGCACTAGTACTGTATACAAGCAATAGTACGGTACACAAGCAACAGTACTGTACACAAGCACTAGTACAGTACACAAGCACTAGTACAGTACACAAGCACTAGTACTGTATACAAGCACTAGTACTGTACACGGAATAGTACTGTACACGGAATAGTACTGTACACAAGCAATAGTTCGGTACACAAGCACTAGTACTGTATACAAGCAATTGTACGGTACACAAGCAACAGTACTGTACACAAGCACTAGTACTGTACACACGGAATAGTACTGTACACAAGCACTAGTACTGTACACAAGCAATAGTTCGGTACACAAGCACTAGTACTGTATACAAGCAATAGTACGGTACACAAGCAATAGTACTGTACACAAGCAATTGTACTGTACACAAGCACTAGTACAGTACACAAGCACTAGTACTGTACACACGGAATAGTACTGTACACAAGCAATAGTATGTACATCAACCGAATATTAACAGTACACATATCTGTACATACATAATACAAGCAAACAAGTGGTTACTGAGTATAACAAGATTAATTTCATTTGGCACATCTGGAGATGTCTAAAAGTTGACACATAGTAGAGGTGTGGAAAATCAATGCCGAGTTGGCGCATCATGAGACTGTCTGACAAACAAACAAAATGAGCTTACGTTGTCCACAGATGTTAAAATGTTGAAAGCCTTTGATCACTTTGGATAAAATATTTGTAACAATTACTGAAGATGGTGGACACATCCCAAGTATGACAACTCCAACTGATGGCAGTGAACAGTTTACTTCCAAGTTCTGAGTTTGACCAAGTTGGTTGATCGGAGTGCAAAGTTGTCAGCTGAGCAACATGTTGTAAGAAGTTATGGCAGATCAGTGTCCAAACAAAAGTCGTCAGTAGTAACATACTGATTTCGTGATAAAAACACTATTTTGGGTCAAGTAGACATCTTTGCATAAGTGAATTTTTACAGTTTAATTGTCCTGGGACGAGTTCACAATTTTGATATTTTGGATAATCCACATCCCTGCATAGGATTTGTAATGCCATTGACGGAAGTTTGTTCCCTCTTGGGTGTTCTTATGTCAAGTTGGACAATTGAGTGAGTTTTACGCCGCTTACAGTATTCCAGTTATATCACGGCGTGTCAGCTTAATGTTTGAGGAAAGCCTGAAGTGATGCAGGTCTCAGACGTTTACCACTTCGGTGAAACCCACGAGCACAGGTATGGTGCTGACAAACCTAGAAACATAATCGGGGTGAACCGGGATTCAAACCCACCATCATAGGTTTCTGGCGTGCCCAAGGGACGCAACTCTGCACAGCGAATCGTGGCACCTTAGACGACTGGGCCACCCGTGCCCCTGTCAAGTTGAACTAAGCATGCTAATTATTACATCCATGTGGACATAAGTTAACACCAATCTTAGGCCTTATATTAGCTTGTTTACAAAATTCAATGCAGATGGTCAAAAATAAAATATAACAATTTTATTTCAACATCCAGATTGGTACTGCTACTAATGGGAAATGAAAAAAACAAAACAAGTGTTTTGGGTTTTTTTACAAAATGAAGCTTGTGTTTTTACATTATAATTTTTTTGGTATGTATTTGTCACGAACATCGATGATAACATCAAAGTTTTTTCCATTTCACCTAATTGTAAAACAGTTGGCCAAAAGTAATTTTTCTTTCTTTCCAATTTCAATTTTTTTTCATCGGGTGATCAGTCTTGTAAACCAACTAAAATCAACTATAAGGCCTCATTGAACAATAACACATGGAGTGAATGCCACAGTCAGCAATATTACAGCTGTATCACAATTAAATCCAAACAAACAGTGGTCAGTAGTGTGGTCTACAGTCCATCCGTGCTGGGCACGGTGAAACAGGTCACACACTGTCACAACCAATGACCTCTTTAACTAATTGTATGCTATGACAAGCACAAGGTGCTAGGGGGACATCTGTGACATGGAGTCACCACAATGTCAAAAATACAATATAAAGAGCTTTAAGAATCTGCCCGATTAAGAGCCCTGAACCTCTCCACACAATCAGTCCAGAAATTGTCAACCTGTCAACATTCTCTCCTCCACAATCAGTCCAGAAATAGTTAACTTAACATTCTCACCTCCACAATCAGTCCAGAAATAGTTAACTCAACATTCTCACCTCCACAATCAGTCCTTAAATTGTCAACATTCTCACCTCCACAATCAGTCCAGAAATAGTTAACTCAACATTCTCACCTCCACAATCAGTCCTTAAATTGTCAACACTCTCTCCTCCACAATCAGTCCAGAAACTGTCAACCTGTTAACATTCTCTTCTCCACAATCAGTCCTTAAATTGTCAACATTCTCTCCTCGATAATCAGACCAGAAACTGTCAACATTCTCTCCTAATCAGTCCAGAAACTGTCAACTTGTCAACATTTTCTTCTCAAAAATCAGTCCAGAAATTGTCAACCTGTTGTCAAGATTCACTCCTCCACATAATTAGTCCAGAATTGTGTCAACCTGTTGTCCGCGTTAGAGCAGAACACCCGGAAGTCTGCAAGCATCTTGTCCTGAAAGTGTTCATCTCCCGTGTTGCCAGAGCGCCATCTCTTGGACAACATGAAGTTCCATGACCACAGAAAGCCAATCTCAGACTGAGGCTCATCGGTGAGTGTACTGCTTGTCTGCCGAGCGATGTAGTCCTTATGGAGGTCAGAGGAGGATGTCTTGCCAAAACTGGAGGAATAAGGAGCCTCGATAGTTATGGGAGAGGATGTCTTGATGTCAGGAACCAGGATAAACATGCCGCCAGTGCAGTGGACAAACTGATAGCGGTATTCATCCGGGGTTCGAACTCGGTGTAGATCTGTTTTTGACTCGGGCATCTCAACGACAGCTCGAAGAAATCCGAACCTACAAAGAATACAGCTGTCATCAAATACAGAAAGGACGGGGGAGGTTTATCTGCTGAAGTATATTTAGAGTGGATTCATTACATTTTTTGTGTTTACTATTTTAAAAGTTTGCTTTATTTAACCCAACCAACATTTGACCAGATATATTGATATTTGCTGCATGCATGCTTTAGAATGACATTTGTTGTGTTATCTATATAGGATATTTTTTATTGGTACTAATAGTTGGTATATATCAAGTTTTGCCTGACAAGCCCAGTTTTCTTGCCTGGGTTTCTTTGTACTGACCAATTAAAGACACTGTTTCTTTTATTGTGCTTTCCAAAGATAAGTACATTAATAACAACCAATTTGTACTTAACACCAATTCTCTCCTCCCATAGCTTACACTTCCTTCCTCTGCACATAACATCATATTGCGGGGAGCTATTGATGCTCTGCAGCAATCTCTACTTGTCTGCTTTAGTCAGCAGTATCTTGATGTTTTTGTTTTGTATTTCATCTTCAAACCAACCATAAATCCATAAACCAAGAGATAACAAGAAAACCGTTATCACTATCCCCCACCATGGGAAGCACACTAGAAGTTTGTCTGTTCATATAGAAGTGAATATACATGGACAAAGGGTGGGTTACTCAAGAACAAAATTACGGCATAATATTTTTAACACTGTCTTGACAAATATCTCAAATACGCAATGTTTCAGTTATGTAAACTTGTCAATAATAATAATAAAAATGGATCAAGGGTGCTAACTTTGGAAAAAAAGGTTTTCATGGCACCAATCTCTTAGCTCAGTGTATACAAGAAGCTCTTATAAGCATGCAAACTTCCATGTAGTTTCTCAGGATACCTTGAAGACAGGACGCACAAAAACTAAAAATGTAGCAAGGGACGTAACTTTTAAAAAAATAAAATTGATAGCACCAATTTTCGAACTCAATCTTGACCAGTATGTCTTAGATAAGCTTGCAAAGTTTTATTCATGTCACTTCAGGAGTTTCTGAGAAAACTTGTTCCCATTACAGATACTATGCACTATGTTATCAACATGTTATCAAGGGCCGTGAAAAAAACCCAATAATGATTGGGCTAAAAAAATAATAATAGTCTTGGTTCTCAGGCACCGCCCGCATCATCATAAAGTTCGCTGCACGTTTTATTTTTATTTAAATTTAAAAAAAAATATATATAAAAAATCCTTAAATATTCCAAGTCCAAGTCCAACTCATCGAGAAATACATTTATGTAGGGAGGCCCTTTCCCAGGTTGAATGTACACAATTGTTTTATTGGTTACACAACTGTTTATTGGTTACATACTAGTTTGAACACCCTTCCAAAAAAAACACTGCCCGCCCGCAATATATTTTCAAAAACCGTTGCCTGAGAACCAATTCTTTTATTTTTTTAAGCCTTGGCAAGAACTTTTTAACCATCTTGACAAATATCTCTAAGATAATAAAAGCAGTAGTTTCTGAGGACACCGTTCTTGTGCAGTATGCATTAAGTTGAAAAGCATGGAGCAAGGGCAATAACTCTGTAAAAAATTAATTTGAGACACCAAAGTTTGAACGCATTTGAGATCGTGACCAGTATCTGTGTAGAATTTCATTTCTTTTACTAAATAGTTTTTTTAGGAAACTTGTCCCCATTGAGAAGCAGACAGCTGGAAACACATGGAAGAACTCGGTTCCCATACCCCCTGACCTACTTCATGGTAGGGGATAAACAGGTACGGAGGTTCTCCTTTATTCAGCGGTATAACAGTTAAAGACGTGCCAAAGTAAATATTTTGTATAAAAAGACATAACATCCGATAATTGGACACAAAATATTTTCTTAAAATCCTCAAAGGATATATTCATACAAATCGAAAGTGATTCAAACATTATTAATTCACGGAATCCACTAGCAGTGTCGCTGACCTCTGAATGATGGCCAGTTGAAACTGGATGGTTTTTGTCTGCTGAGTCTGCTCATCATGCTCTGTGAACAGAAATAACAACAACAATAATAATGATAACAGTAATAGTAAATTGTATCATGCATGATTTAAAAACCCAGAACCATCGACGTACTGTCCCTTAAACAGGCAGTTCCAAATGGAAATTAAGACAGCACTAACAGGGTGTTCTATACATGTTATGGATTTTGATACACGCTGTCGTTTCTGAGCACCATGGTATCTAGATCCAATAGGATCTACTATGGAGGGAACACTGGTACTCTGTGTGAGTGATCAAAATTTTGATATAAGGCAATTTCATTAAAATCTCATCCTAGTTCTCGCTATCGCTAAACAAAGATCTGAGGACATCCCATTAAGGGTCACGTCAGAACGACCTTTCATCCAACCAATCAGAGTGACGCTTACCAGATCATGAAAGTGATAGTTGGAATGTGTCTTCTAATCATGCAACCACGAAATATTTAACAAGGGGTATTCCGAACGATAGTAATGGGTTTTATGATTATATCCATACAATCTAGGCTATCTATAAGCCATTCCAGAATGTTCTTATCAGTTTTAATTTTTTTAATCGAGAATACGTCAAAATATGTTTCGAAGCGTAGTCACCAGTTTGAAACAAGGGTCGTAAAGCTAGAGAAAGCTGCCTTCTGATTGGCTAATGTCGATTTCTTGTCAGTCATTTCATTGGTCGGTCAAAATTCGCGAAAGGTCGTTCTGACGTGACCCGTAATGGGATGTCCCCAGATCTTTGTTTAGCGGTAGTGAAAACTAAGATCTGATTTTAATGAGATTGGATATAAGGATACACACATCATCTGAGCACATCACATTACAAAGCATCTGACCTGAGAATAAACCGTTCTCCTGAAGACTGTTGACATTGAGTGGTACAAAGATAGGTCCTCGTAGTGGGTCAGAGTTCTGTGTGTAGGGCAGAGCGAAGGGATCAACCGGAACAGGCAGAAGGTGGAAGCCGCACGATGTCGCCTTACGAGCCCAGCTGTACACCTGGTAGGATCAACAAAGGGAGTTAATCGGAGTCACAGCAGTTCGTTGTGCAGAGTTGCGTCCCTTGGCTGTACCAGAAACCTATGACTGGGTTCGAATCCCAGCTTTCCCCTGATTGTGTTTTTTGTTTTGTCAGCAACAAATGAACTATCGTTGGTTTCACCAAAGTGGAAAGTGTTTAAGACTTGAATCACATCAGTGAGTGAGTGAGGGAGTTGGGTTTAACGCCGCTTTTAACAGTTCCAGTTATATCACACACTCATAGGTTTCTGGCGTGCCCAAGGGACGCAACTCTGTACAGCGAATCATGGCGCCTTAGATGACTGGGCCACCCTTCACATCAAACTTTCCTTGGATTATAAACTGACATCTAAACATAATGGTGAGTGAGTTGGGTTTAACGCCGCCTTTAACAGTATTCCAGTTATATCACGGCGTGTCAGCTCAATGTGGGAGGAAATCCCGAAGTGATGCAGGTCTCAGACGTTTACCACTTCAGTGAAACCCACGAGCACGGGTGTGGTCCTGACACTAGTGACAGATCTAACAACATAATCAGGCTGAACTGGGATTCAAACCTACAATCAGGTTTCTGGTGTGTCCAAGGGATGCAACTCTGTACAGTGAATGTAACAACAACAACAATTTGCATATTAATAATGCACCAAATCGAGTTAACTCACACCCTAAACCTTGCTCAAAGTGCTACATAAATTCACGGGTCAAAAGATCAGCGTGCAGTGGACTTTCATTCTCAGCTCCCTGGGGAGTATACAACCTAAGCTGCTCTGATGTAACTGAAATACTGTTCAGAGGGACATTAAAAAAAACTAACTTACCCACATAAGTACTGTCAGAAATAGAATCAAACTGATTTTGTCCTTCAATCATTTAGAATTTAATTAGTAGCATATTTCCCAATAACAATTTCTAATTTGGCCTTTGATCTAAACTATCAAAGCATGTATGGTATATCACATAGCATATGGGTACACATCTTCCCGGGGCAAGACAGTTAACTGACTATAAAAGTCCAGTTTCCACCCTTGCCGAACTAGGCTGGTATTATGGAGTTACGTTTTGGCTGGACTAACGAGTCTATGCATAGTCCAATCAAAATCTCGCAACGAAATCGAAATCCTGTTCGTGGGATTTGGATCTATTGCAAGATTTGCAAAGCATGTATATCAATTTGTTTATTATCACAAAACTACATTATGATATGATCATGGGTTTGATTCCAAGATCGGTGATTTCATACAGCCTCTATTCTAAAAATAGTCTGCTTGTAAATAGCATAACTTCATACGCCATGCATGCTCGAAGTGCTGCATTATTTTTACCCCAATGAAAGGATCATTGTGCACTAGTTTTTTTAATTCTCAGCACCCTGGGGAGTATGCTTGTGAGTTGCTAGAAGGTTGATAGTCACAGTTCCATCTCATCCTACCGGGTACCCATTCACTGATGGGTGAACAGGGGCAATTTCGAACAAGTTCATTTGCCTAGGGAGACAGCACATGTGCTACATGTGCTTCAGTGGAACTAACCCAGGATCTCACCTTTTGGCGTATCATGTTTTTTCACAATACATCATTATTTAAGAAATAAATGAGGGCACTCTGCGTGATTTATTCTCCCTGCAGTGTTTTATTGTACAATAACAATTCACACTAATCGGTTATTTCTAATATGAGATATCAACATTATGCATAGCCTCTTTAAGGATGTTAGTAAAAAGTACACACTTTTGTAATATTTTCCCGTATTTACAGAGCTGCAGATATGCGTAAAATGCATAAAATACACCCCCAAAATATTCAAAACCCAATTACTTTCAATTAACTTGCGTACAGAAACACATGCATCAAATGAAAAACTCAAATGTATAAAAACAGCACGCGTAAATACCCAATGACTCCCTGATTACAATCCAACCTCGGCAAATTCAGACAAGTCCATTTTATGAACAGGGGGCTACATTTGGTATTTCCTGCATATTCTCACAATTCTCATGGCGTTTTTGTGTATTGCCCTGCTACATCTATGGGGAACAACTCATTAGACACTCCCCTCTCAAAATAATGTTGTCCAATCTACGCCACCAAGTTGCAAGCACATGTTTAAATCTCCAGAAATGACATCATGTCAGAACAGTGTTTTATCGTGTAATAAACCATGCTCCGTTCTTCATTGTTCTTTGCGATTTATCGTGTAGACATCTTATATTATATGAAAACAGGTTTGAATCCCAGATATGTGATGTCACGCGGCCCCTCGTCTCACCAGGTCACCAAGAAGCCCGCCTGTCGCCACCATCCACTGTATCTGTAGTTCGAAGGCACAGTGGGGACTGTAGTAGGCATGGTACCTTGCCGTTGCCCACTCTGTCCGCTCGCTCCGACTGCTGGTGTCTACGTCCACATTGACGTACTTGTGATTGCGTGTTGCTGTAATAATAATAATAATAATAATAATAATAATAATGTACATACACATCATGTGATAATTCCACATCCTAATGTATGCTACATTATTAACCCTGTCAATGGATGTACAGTGTGCACTTGATTTTCATTCTCAGCTCCCTGGGGCGCATACCTTACTACCCATAATGCACTCAGCAATTGCCTGCCAGAAGTACTGAGTTTACAATCAGGGATATATCCCTGGCAATATTCCAGCTATAAGACGGCCAGTAATTAATCAAGTCTGGACCAGACGAGCTAGTGGTTGACATCATGAGCAACGATAGGCTTACCGTATTCGACGTAATAAGTGCCCACGGTGATATTTGCTAATATATTAGTGAACATTCCCATTTAGCACTCCTTCCGATTGATCAATGTACATAAGACTTATTTATTCGTGTATAATTACACTTGTGTGTTATATGTACCCTTAATAAGGAGCAATTGAATTCTGGAAAATATATCTGTCGTGTATAATAAGCACAGACTTTTCTTTTGTATCATTTCAGGCTGTCAGCATAAACAACAAAATTTACTATCTTTCAACTCAACATTTTATTCTAATAAGGGCCCCCTGTTTCTAATTTTGAAAGTGCCCTGGGCGCTTATTACGTCAAATACGGTGTCAAAATGGACTGTAGGTGATGTGCTATTTGTTCCATGGATGTAACAAACATGGATATAGTGTTATAACAACAACAAACAGATTTAGTGCACAAGTCATTAAGACAAATTATATTAGAAGTCCTAAATGCTCTATTCACGTAAATGAAATATATGTATATATTGTACATTCATTTAACATTAACAGATCATTTAGGACTTTTTTGGTCCCAAATTTCAGTAGATCATCGAAGAAAAAAATTCTAAAAACTTTTTGATTCCTCCAAAATGTTAAAGAGGTCGAAAAGAAAAAGAAAGAATTTTGGGTGGGAGTTTTTAAGTCAGATTTTCTACAGGCTTTTTTAATCATTTCTTTACATCGGTAACACCATGAAGGGGTGTTTTTTAAACACTGATTTCGGTCTGCAGAAGAACAAACGCTGACAATTTTTTTCACATTTAATTTTTTAGCAATCTCTTAAAGATCTTAGTTCTCATTACTGCTGAACAAAGATCAGAATGACCTTTCATCAGATGAGTCAGAACGAATGAATATGCATGAACTTCTCTAAAAAGTCCTGTCGGTCAATCTAAGTCAATCAAACAACGTTAATGTGCAGTGCCAAGTAAAAAACAGTTAGATCATGCGATACAATACACCACAGATGTAGTGTAACTGTTGCTTTCATGTCTACTGCATGATGAGTTATTACAGTGAGTGAGTGAGTTGGGTTTAACGCCACTTTTAACAGTATTCCAGTTATATCGCAGCGTCAGCTTAATGGGGGGGGGGGGGGAAGCCCGAAGTGATGCAGGTCTCAGATGTTTACCACTTCGGTGAAACCCACGAGCACAGGTATGGTGCTGACAAACCTAGAAACATAATCGGGGCGAACCGTGATTCGACCCCACAATCATAGGTTTCTGGCGGGTCCAAGGGACGCAACTCTGCACGGGAATCACAGCGCCTTTGACGACTGGGCCACCCATGCCCCTGGGTTATTACAGACAACCAGGACAAAGAGGTGATATCACAAGAAGAACCCATACTAACTACCAAACCTTTATGTATTGAATTGCAAGCATTAGACTGAAATCCCCAAAACATTGTCAACACCATATTGTTAGAATTGATAGAAACAAAACCTCTTGAAAAGTCAGAAAACATCAAAATATTTTTTATATATTGGCTGATACACATACATGGGCAGAAGTCAAAAGCTTACATAGTCTAAACTATTTTCAAAGCTTTGTAGAAAAATCCTTGCAACTAAAAAAGATGAGAAAAATACATCCAACATTGAAGACGCTCACAACATCCTCCATGCAGAAGAAATGCTAAACAAAATCTTGGTGCATAATTTACAGATCTATGTGTAGGAGTGGTTAATGGCTGAATTCATTTCAGATAATTTATTCTCTGGTAGATTCAAGTCCAGCTATAGCTGATGGACAATTCCAATATCTTGACGAATGCACCCCCACCTCACAAATCAACTCCCATCCTTCCCCCATCTCATCAAACCTATATCCATTACCCCCACCCATCCCCTCCTTCCCTATCCCCACCCACCCTATCCCCATCCATCCCTATCTCCTCCTTCCCTATCCCCACCTATCCCCTTCTTCCCTATCCTCACCCCTCCCCTCCTTCCCTTTTCCCACCCATCCCCTCCTTCCCTATCCCCACCCACCCTATCTCCACCCATCCCTATCTCCACCCCCACCTACCCTATCCCCACCCATCCCCTCCTTCCCTATCCCCACCCCCTCCTTCCCTATCCCCACCAATCCCCTCCTTCCCTATCCCCACCCATCCCCTCCTTCCCTATCCCCACCCCCTCCTTCCCTATCCCCACCCATCCCCTCCTTCCCTATCCCCACCCATCCCCTCCTTCCCTATCCCCACCCATCCCCTCCTTCCCTATCCCCACCCACCCCCTCCTTCCCTATCTCCTCCTTCCCTATCCCCACCCATCCCCTCCTTCCCAATCCCCACCCATCCCCTCCTTTCCTATCCCCACCCCTTCCTTCCCTATCCCCACCCATCCCCTCCTTCCCTATCCCAACCAATCCCCTCCTTCCCTATCCCCACCCCCTCCTTCCCTATCCCAACCAATCCCCTCCTTCCCTATCCCCACCCACCCTATCCCCTCCTTCCCTATCCCCACAATCCCCTCCTTCCCTATCCCCACCCACCCTATCCTCACCCATCCCCTCCTTCCCTATCTCCTCCTTCCCTATCCCCACCCATCCCCTCCTTCCCTATCCCCACCCATCCCCTCCTTCCCTATCTCCTCCTTCCCTATCCCCACCCATCCCCTCCTTCCCTATCTCCTCCTTCCCTATCCCCACCCATCCCCTCCTTCCCTATCCCCTCCTTCCCTATCTCCTCCTTCCCTATCCTCACCCATCCCCTCCTTCCCTATCTCCTCCTTCCCTATCTCCTCCTTCCCTATCCTCACCCATCCCCTCCTTCCCTATCTCCTCCTTCCCTATCCCCAACCATCCCCTCCTTCCCTATCCCCTCCTTCCCTATCTCCTCCTTCCCTATCCCCACCCATCCCCTCCTTCCCTATCCTCACCCCTCCCCTCCTTCCCTATCCCCACCCATCCCCTCCTTCCCTATCCTCACCCCTCCCCTCCTTCCCTATCCTCACCCCTCCCCTCCTTCCCTATCTCCTCCTTCCCTATCCCCACCCATCCCCTCCTTCCCTATCCTCACCCCTCCCCTCCTTCCCTATCCCCACCTATCCCCTTCTTCCCTATCCTCACCCCTCCCCTCATTCCCTATCTCCACCCATCCCCTCCTTCCCTATCCCCACCCCCTCCTTCCTTATCTCCACCCACCTATCCCTACCCCATCCTACCCTATCCCCATCCCACCCATCCCCATCTACAACACTACAAATCATCAGAATATTTATTGTTTTTCTATTCATACAGACACAAGAATTGACAGGGTATTAAATATTTGTCTTAACCGTCATTCATATTTTACATCAAAATACACATATGAACATCACCTATGCAAAAGCCATTACTAAAAAGAACACAACACAACTGATACTGTCATTGATGGACACAGAAGTAACACACATTGTTACTGTGTAACCATCAACCTGAAGCACTTACAGAAATGGCTAATATCCTGACAACATACACGATCTAATCTACCACACCAAAATGCACCCTTCCTAAAGCAGTGTCATGAATGTCAGATGGTAGTCCATACACCCTTCACCAAAAATAGACTCTCCCATTTTCAAAAATTGCATTATATTTGGCTATACCCAATGTTTCTAGGTGTACTAGGGTAGCATCTCCTCTGTCTATTACATCTTCTATATCGCCACTACCATCTACACTAGCACCCTCCAACCAGCAGTACTCCACCTACCCCTGCCATGCTCTGCTAATATAATCATTCCATCTGTCAATATTCTTGAATTTCAGAGTAAGGCTGCCACACATAGGGAGAATCTCTTCTGGGTGTATTTTGATATATTTTATATCAAAAGACACAAGGGTGAGATTCTACTTTTATCATCCAAAACTAGCTCCCACAGGAGATATCGCTTGGGTGAGATCAAGTGAGTGAGTGAGTGAGTTGGGTTTTACGCCGCCTTTAACAGTATTCCAGTTATATCACGGCGTGTCAGCTTAATGTGGGAGGAAAGCCCGAAGTGATGGAGGTCTCAGACATTTACCACTTCGGTGAAACCCACGAGCACGGGTTTGGTGCTGACAAACCTAGAAACATAATCGGGGCGAACCGGGATTCGAACCCACAATCATAGGTTTCTGGCGTGTCCAAGGGACGCAACTCTGCACAGCGAATCGCTGCGCCTTAGACGACTGGGCCACCCGTGCCCCCGGGGTGAGATCAAGCGATATCTACACTGCAGATATCGCTGCAATGAAATTGCATCACAATGCTTTGCAGACCATTGTGACATCATTGGTTACCATGACATCACAATCAAATGACATCACTAATGGCTCTGCTACTGAAGCTGTTAGCAGTGCTTTTTACACTTTAAACTTATTACTGTCTACAAACTTAAAAAGTTTGCAGAATGATGTTGGATGATAAATAGAATCTCACCCTTGTGTCTTTTGATATCAAATATAGCAACACTCTTCGATAAAGTTTAAAACTCCTCGGCAAGCCTCCGAATTAAACTTTTATCGACTCGTGTAGATATATTTGACATCAAAAGTCACTTGGGTGAGATTCTCCATATCAACCCAAATCATTCTTTGAATAAACGCTGCCATTTAGAAAGTGATCAAATGTAACAAATGTTATATTTGGGATAACGCTCTCTTTGTTTAGTACAAATTCTAGTATGTTTTGGGTTGAGTGCCGTCCGTCTAACCCACTCAGCCACCGAGGCTCCCACAAAAATGAAAGTCTGACAACTGGTAGTCTAGATCATGTACTTTGCATACCCCTCTGAGAAGTGCAAATTGGCATGGCTTCTAGGCAGAAAGCTGTGAACACACAATGCAATCCAAGTTGTCGGACTTTCATTTTTGTGGAAGAAAAGTGGGTTAGATCACTGACGTTGTGCTCTGGTGATGAGGTGCCTCACTCTGAGAAGTGTGGGTTCGAATCCTGGAGATGACTCAACCCCAAAAGTACTAGAATCTGTTCTTTACAAAGAGAGTGTTTTCACAAATATAACATTGGTTATAAAATCATTCTTCTAACTCTTTTGACATTGTAATGTAAAAAAATGTGTCTTGAGTGTAAAAAGTAGAGCTAACCTGCTTCAGTGGCAATGAGATTACTGTTGTTTTTTTATTGTGACATCACAGTAACTGATAACATCACAAAGGTTGGCAAGGACTTATCGATATCGCCTGTGGAAGCCAGTTTTGGGTGATAACAGACATCGCCCATTCATTGTCTACTTTGTCTTGATCAATATTTTTACATATTTTCTCACATACCTAGTCACAAGAGGCTATTCGTGAGGGTTGATTTGTTATTAATTTACTACAGAAAATAAAAACAAAAATATATAATAAAACATAGTTTCAATCCCCGCTTTGTTTTTTCTATTGTGTGTGTTGCAATGTTCATTAGCCAACCTTGCTCGTTTAATGTTCTGTATGCAGAATAGAGTAACATGGTGCGGAATGAGAGTAACCTCCCTTCATACATGTCTGAACATGCTGGAAAAAGACAGACTTCAAACGAAAAAGTTTTCTTCAATCATTGACCATGTTGTGTATTTACAATATCATCTAGCAAATCTATTGGGGCGAAAACATGTAAGTTTGCATTTAAGGGAATAATTAGTCTGTCATACAGACCCTGACACAAATATATCCTATACAGCCCATGCAAGTCTATAATGTTTGGCAAGTCTAGATTACTGCAGTATCAGGATGAAGAGAGTCTCTGGGCTCCTTAATATTATATTTTTGTAAAGATAATTTAACAACTGTTTTTCTTCTGTAAGATAGGTTAATTTCAAAGACTAGATGTTAGTCTAGGGAATAATATTTTTCCCAATTTAATTTGTGTTCCTTTTTCCATTGTGTTAGGAATATCGGATCTGTAAACAGATCAAGGGATATCAACAAATTGTCTCATGGAGCTAGAACAGCTCTAACATATATAATACTGAAAAGAAGTTAAAGAAAAAAAAAAATTCATATTAATATTCTTAATCTAAGATTACTTAATCTTAGTCTCTTACTTAGTCTAGACAATGACAGATTAACTATAGTAATATGAAAGAATCGGTGGTTTTTAACTTCTTTTCAGTAGTATATAACATGTAACATTGTGTAGCCAGGGATTGGACAAAAAGTATGCAAGTTCCCTCAGACTAGGAACACAACAGTGGACGATAAAGACAACAATACCGTTGTGCAATAAAACAGATCCTGTGGCTAGACAGCTAGACAGGTAGACAGGTAAGCGTGTCTAGACACCATGTAAGTAAAGGTGTGAGTTAGCTTACCCTCCCGATTAGATAATGCTTACCTTTCTGAGCACAAATGTTCAACTTGCCTGCAAACAACAGCTTAATGATCACACAGTTGAACATCACCACACAATCAGCATTAGGTCAAACAATACAACACGTCTAAGATATTTCTGTTTGAACCGGACATTAAATCAGACAACAAGATGACAAAGACATTTACCTGCATGAACTTAATAGTTTAGAAGGTATTAACCTGTCAGGGATTTATCTAGACTTGCTCAGAGGCTGATATTCGGCCTCAAGTCTGCAGCATGTTGATATGGCCAGCGTTAGAAACAAACTGTTTTAGTCCACTAGTCCTTGTAATGATAACATACAGCTTGCTTGTTGTTTGTTTGTTGTTTAACGCCGCACTCAGCAATATTCCAGCTATATGACGGCGGTCTGTAAATAATCGAGTCTGGACCAGACAATCCAGTGATCAATATCATGAGCATCGATCCACGCAATTGGGATCGATGACAACCAAGTCAGCGAGCCTGACCACCCGATCTCGTTAGTCGCCTTTTACGACAAGCACAGTCACCTTTTACGGCAAGCATGGGTTGCTGAAGACCTATTCTACCCCGGAATCTTCACGGGTGTTTAACATATAGCAAAACCTTGGCAAAAAGGTGAATTTCTATTAGTCCTAATGATACCTTAACTATTGGGCAGTTGGGCAACGACTATAGGACTAGTGCCATTTTCTAATGCTGATGGTAAAAACTAGGTCGACTTGTATTTCACTGAAAGCAGGTCCAATAAATAGAGTGAGTGAGTTGGGTTTAACGCCACTTTTAACAGTCTTCCAGTTATATCACGGCGTGTCGGCTTAATGTGGGAGGAAAGCCTGAAGTGATGCAGGTGTCAGACGTTTACCACTTTGGTGAGACCCAAGAGCACGGGTATGGTGCTGACAAACCTAGAAACATAATCGGGGCGAACTGGTATTCGAACCCACAATCAAAGGTTTTTGGCGTGCCCAAGTGACGCAACTCTGCACAGCGAATCACAGTGCCTTAGACTACTGGGCCACCTGTCCCTGTAGGTCCAATTAAGAAGAAGAGGTGCAATGTCAAAATAAAATGTTAAAATACCTTTGAAAATTAGAAAATAACTTCAGAACATCCCAATTTTGAATAAAATAGCATTTGTTTCCCCAATTACTTGCCAGGGCATTTAGTTTCAAATTTAAAATAAAACCCTGTCTGAATTAGATTAGTTCAGATGACATGGTTATTTACCTGTCTGAATGAAGTTCCTAGTTCAGACTCGAGTATTAATGTCTAAATCAGACTAGTTCAGGCAAAGATATTTAGTTGTTGAATGAAGTTGCTAGTTCAGACAAGTATTAATCTATCTAAATCTCTCAATCAGACTAGTTCAGTCAAAGATATTTAGTTGTTGAATGAAGCTTATATCAGTTCATACAAGAGTATTTGTTGCTTTAATTCAGAATAGTTCAGATGAGGATATTTTCCTGTCTGTATGAAGGTGATATTAGACATACTGTCGGAAACTGATGTTAGTCCAAGTGGCAGGGATGTGACAGACGCTTCAGATGCCATCAGTAACTGTGACTGAACAGGACAGGTTCAGACAACATGGATATTTGTGTCTGACAGGATTAATTAGTTCAGACGATGAACAGATCAACCAAACAGGCATTTTCAAATTGCATTGAACTGAATATTACTTGGCTTGATAATTGCCAATCTGAATAGATGTCGTATGAACTCGACGAATGAATCAACCATCAGTAGTTCACACCTTCATCCAGATGACGGAGAACTTAATCAGTATGGACTGACTGAATATTTCACACTTACAGATATTTCTGGGAACCAACATGTCCACAAAACATTTTGAAATAGTCAATCTCATTTGTAGATGAGAGGGTTGGATTATGAAGGGACTGCGTGAGACAGAATTGTCTCATTTGTGACCAACTCGTGTTATTCCGGGACAACCTGAATAGTGACTCGTGCCCCTCTCGTGGCCAATTTGCGACTGGGTTCCGTCTAAGCGCAAACGGACATAAGTAAAAGAATTGTCAACTCGTTGCGTAACGATTCACGTATATTTCCCCCATGTCATATATATTCCAGATGTTATTTAAAACACATCGTGACTTACAGTATTTTTTACAGTGTGACTGAACACATTTAACTGTACCTAGGGTATATCATTAGATGCAAGACATGGGTAAAATAAAAAATTAATCCCTCGAGATTTTTTGATTGAAGTTCTTGATGTCATACACACATTCTGATTGGATTGTCATATTTTCGCTCATAACTTTCTTCGATAGGGGGATGTGTCTTCTTGAAGGTTACGGAAAGAGGCGAGTGGTGACGAATGAGAATTGACTTTCATTGAGACTAGACTTACAAATTATGGATATCAAAAGTTAAACAAACATGGCTGTTAATAGCACTGAAACTGCATGCTGTACAACTAGTTATCAACCTTAAAAACAACATACCGGTGCCATCTTAACTTTTAATTAACTATCAATTTTACACAAAACAGGTGATCTAGACCTGCTTTGATTCCAATATTTGGCCTCAAGTCTGCAGCAAATGTCAGTAAAAATTTGTAAATTGGAATTATAAATGTCCCAATTCACATGTAAATTATCTGGTACTTATAACTAATGTTATGGGTTGTAGAGGTAACTGTATATCACTGATAATAGGGCCAATACAGAGGGAGAGGCTTTGATGCTTAGTTTAACATTATTGCATTGAATTTAAACGATAAAATACCTCAGAATTTAGGAAAATAACTTTAAAAAATTGTTCATATTAACTGACAAACAAGATGTGTTCATACCAGAGTCTATGAAAATTTAGTTCTTAGTGATTATTTTGATTGATTTGCATATTATTTGCGTGAATTAAGGTAGAAATGGTATTTTTGTATTTGAGTAGAAAATTCATAACAAACATAAAAAGTTTGGGAGTGAGTAAGTGAATATGGTTTTACGCCACTTTTAGCAATATTTCAGCAATATCACGGCTGGGGGACACCAGAAATGGGCTTCACACATTGTACCCATGTCGGGAATCAAACCCGGGTCTTCGGCGTGACAAGCGAACACTTTAACCACTAGGCTACCCGACGGCCCCTGAAAAGTCTTGGACATTTGGCAGCCATGGTCTCAACAATGACTGGCTTTCCACCTCTTGATTGTACCGGTCACATGTTGGTTGTACCGGTCACATGTTGGTTGTACCGGTCACATGTTGGTTGTACCGGTCACATGTTGGTTGTAGCAGGTCGACTCACCTAGCTGTTGTCCCCAGCCCTGCTTGTTCAGGTCAGACTCGACCCGCCAGTCAACGTGGGCTTGGAACTCTCGCTCCGGGCTGTTGCCACTCGGGAGGTAGAACGTGTCCCGTTTCGGGGCTTCTTGATCAACATGGAGCACGGTCACCTCACAGAACTCGTTCTGGAAGCACATGTTGTAGGGGCACGATGTGTTGGGCAGGTTCAGAATGTCTGGAACAGACAATGAAGAAAAACGTATGACATGTCAACCCTACACAGAAACTGAACTGAAGTCACGCTGTTCTGATGAAATAATTTTACCAACTTGTGTGTGCGTGTGCGTGCATGCGAGCGTACATGTGGGGTTTAACACCACTTTAAGTCCAAAAAAATAATAAACCTGGATCTCAAGCACCGCTCACATCATCACAAAGTTGGCCGCACGTTTCGTTTTTATTTCCAATTTAAAAAAAGATTTAAAAAAAAAGACACTGCCCGCCTGCACTATATTTTCAAAAAACATTTCCTGAGAACCAGTTCTTTTATTTTATTAAGGCTTATCAATATTCATCCCCGGCCGCGTCATACCAAAAGATGTTAAAAGATGGTACTTGTTGTTACCCTGTCTGGCGCTCGGCATTAAGGGGCTAAAACAAGGACTGGTCGGCTCGCAGTCAGTATACTGTGTCTGAGTGGAGTATTCATGTTAAACTGCGGCATGGTATCTCAGTGAGCTAGCACTATAAATCATCCTCAATCCAGACTAGTACAAGCAGCCACTCACACACGTACATGCACGTCGCTATATAAGTGCAATAATTCTTTGAGGCGACGTTAAACCCAATTTCACCTCACATTACCTTATCAATATTCAACTACCGGTAAATGATGGCAGCCTCCCACTAATCGAGTTGGAAGCAGACGATCCAGTGAATGATAAAGTAAACAAAAAGCCATGCCATCAACCAGTGTGACCCCGTGTGTGACTCACCAGGCTTCCCTTTAGCAGGCGGGATGAAGTACAGATAGAATCCGAAGATGAACTTGTGTTTGGGGTTACCGGATGCATGGAGGATCAATTTATCATCCACCAGTTCCTGCAAGGGATACAAGCAATATAACAGCAATACAAATATACACATCCACACAAGCAGCTGCATAGTCAAATGTGGAAAGGTTGTCACTGAAGAAATATGAGGGTTGATAGATAGTTCTAAGCCTAGTATAGAAGGAATTGTGTATTAAATAGTGAAATCTTTTGTTGTGAACATTACATGATGTCATAGAGGTATATCCACAAAAACTTGAGTCAACTGAGCAAACTGTTTTGATGTGACAAGTTTGCAAAATAGGCAGGGGTCTGTGACCTTTTGAAAATGGACAAACCACACAAGCAGACGCTCTATCCACTACACCACAGAGTTGGTCCCCGGGCAGACGCTCTATCCACTACACCACGGAGGCCGTCTCTGGGCAGACGCTCTATCCACTACACCACGGAGGCCGTCTCTGGGCAGACGCTCTATCCACTACACCACGGAGGCCGTCTCTGGGCAGACGCTCTATCCACTACACCACGGAGGCCGTCTCTGGGCAGACGCTCTATCCACTACACCACGGAGGCCGTCTCTGGGCAGACACTCTATCCACTACACCACGGAGGCCGTCTCTGGGCAGACGCTCTATCCATTACACCACAGAGGTGGTCTCCGGTCAGATGCTCTATCCGCTTCACCATAGAGGCGCTCTCTGGGCAGACACTCTATACATTACACTACGGAGGTGGTCTCCGGTCAGACGCTCTATCCACTACACCACGGAGGCCGTCTCTGGGCAGACACTCTATCCACTACACCACGGAGGCCGTCTCTAGGCAGACGCTCTATCCACTACACCACGGATGTGGTCCCCGGGCAGACGCTCTATCCGCTTCACCATAGAGGCGCTCTCTGGGCAGACGCTCTATACATTACACCACGGAGGTGGTCTCCGGTCAGACGCTGTATCCACTTCACCATAGAGGCGCTCTCTGGGCAGATCCTCTATCCACTACACCAGGGAGGTGGTTCTCTAATTTGCGTGTAACCCAGTGAGACAGCTGACATACCTGCAGTTTGTCCACAGCATCCTTAGTGGTCTCAATGCCAGCCACATTCATCTGGCACCACAACACTGCCTCCGCCGAGATGAAGGTGTTGATGGCCAGACCGGGCTGCTTGGGCAGGAAGGCCAAACCAGTTCTAGAACAATGACAAAGAAAGGTGAGTGAGTTGGGTTTAATGTCCCTTCAGTTATATCACGGCATTACAGCTTGATTTGAGAGGAAGTTCAAAGTGATGCTGGTCATAGTCAATAAGAACTTATATATGCTTGAATGGGGTTGAAAGATCATGGATCATAATGCAGGCCAATCTGGGATTCAAACCCATGATCACTGTATCCTTGCATGGATAAGGGAAGCAACTCTGCACAGCAAGGTACAGCACCCTAAACCACTGGGCCACCTGTTCCCCCTACTCTAGTTGCCAGGTGTCAATACATTCCCTGTTCAAAGTTTCACTTTAATGAAAGAGTGACCTACTTCAACAGGTATAGAGGTTTAAATAAACTACAAGTACCTGCCGTATCCCAATTGTGTAGATCGATGCTCATGATGTCAATCATTTAATTGCCTGGTTTAGACTCGACTATTTACAGACCGCCATCATAGAGCTGGAATATTGCTGTGTGTGGCATTAAATAACAAACATCAAAATGAGTCCTCAGCAACTTACTGTGCATCTGTGAAGGCCTCTATCAACTTGGCTGCGGAGGTGGCTCGAGACAGACCGTCTTCCTTGGTGCTGCCCTTCTGACTGCAACAGCCCCAAGTCACCATACACACACAGATACAAGTGACTACCATAGGTAATACCCACATTTCAAATATTTGACTACCGTTGGACTTGGAATATTTAAGGATTTTTAATTTTTTTGTTTAAATGGAAATAAAAACGAAATGTGCTGCAAACTTTATGATGATGCGGGCGGTGCCTGAAAACCAAGACTATTATTTTTTTAGCCTTAACACTGAGATCTCCTGAAAATGATGTCAACTGACAGGTTCAGGCTTGTAGACTCAAAGGTTCTTAGCACAGAGTTAGAAATTAGAATTGTGTCACTTGTGTTCATGAATTAAAACACATAACTCACAACAAACATCATACAATAACCAGCGTATCATCCTACTTTGGCCGTTGACACAGCTGCAAAGAGTGGGGCCATATATCCTTCTCAAAAGAACACCCAATTCGTTCATATGACCATAGTTAATCTTTCATGACTTTTGATTTCATCTTATATGAAAAAAATCAGGTTTTATTTTGAGTAGTATATATTGACTGAGGGGACCAAGAAAATATTCTCTGAAGATGATTATAATTATCTAGTTTAAAACGGGGATAACTACAGTCCATTTGCTGCAAAATCGTACCGATGAAATGCAAAAAATATATATATACTGTATTCGAAGTAATAATTGCCCACAGCGATAGTTATCTGAAATCAACAATATGTCTTAAATGGTGTGAAAGTCATTTTATGTCCATTTCAGACATTGTCATGAAGTAGAGAAAAAGTTGTTTAACAAACAATCATGTAATTGTTGGTGTTTTAATACAGGTTGTTACAAGGGGCACTGCACTGTAAACTGAACAGCCCAACATTCGCACGTGAAATTCGCATGCGTCAGGCAAACCTACTACTGCCTTTTCTGTAATAAAATCCTGTCAAATGAAAAGTCTAAATCAGAAGCGTGAATTAAATGATAGTTTGTTGAACAACGTTTTCTACACTTCATGACAATGTCTGAAATTATGGTGATGAGTTGGTAGGGACAAATAAATAACTTTCATGACAGAGGCAAATTGTTGCTGTCGGATTTATATCTGTTTTGCATTTCATTGGTACGATTTTGCAGCAAAAGGACTGTAAATATGGATAAGTTCAGACACAACAACAGTATCTACATATCCGATGTTTCTAGTTATCTATTTCTACTCAACAAGAGTTGACTACTAAAGTACTAATGTTCTACAGGTCTCTGTGTGTGGCCTATTGCTGATGTGGCTCTAAGCAATACTCCCTCCCTCCCTCCCTCACACATTCACTCACTCACTCACTCACCCACCCACCCACCTGTCTGCCTCCTGCTTGCCGGGGCTGGTCTCTCCACTGCTGGCTGACCCGTCCGGCTGGAGCTGTCAATGCCATCAGTCAGTATACACACATGTATGCATACATCTTCACGAGGCAAGAGAATTAAGTAACTATAAAAGTCCAGTTTCCACCCTTGCCGAACTAGGCTGGTATTATGGAGTTACATTTTGGCTGTACTAATGAGTCTATGCATAGTCCAATCAAAGTCGTGCAACGAAATCGAAAACCAGTTCGTTTCGTTTTTTCGGATTTCGGTCGATTGCAGGATTTGCAAAGCATGTCCACCGCCAACTTGGTGTCAACAGATATTTTCTAAATCTTTTTGTGTTTTTAATCAAGGTGCTCACATGATTTAATGCACTTTATGATGAAAGACCCGTTTCATCACAATATAGATTTTGATTATGGATCAGATTGTCTTGACTGGGGCCGCCATTTTGTTTGAAACAAATGCAAGTGATACGAAAGGTGGAATCTGATTGGTCCATGGGAGAGGTTAAGAAAGGACATAACTCGTAATAACCACTGGTGGCGCTACAATCGAGCCCAGGAATTCCAACCTCGTTCAGCAAGGGTGGAAACTGGACTTTTATAGTCAGTTAACTCCCTTGCCTTGGGAAGATGGTATGCATAACAGTCTATACAGTTCGAGACTTTAGGAGATAAATATTTGTTTTTAAGGACCCGAAAAAGCAGCATTGACCTCATATAAAATCTACAATTGTTTTATTACATACTGAACAAAAATGATAGGGATAATTAACTATTTTTACATATACACATTTAAAGAAAATCTTCACTACAAAAATATCCCCCGAAATATTCATGACCACTAGCCTTTTTTAGTTCAGAATATACAAAACAGGCAAAAGCTGATTTAACATATCAAACCATGATAGCTAGACATTTGATTGGCTTAAACTTCGGGTTAATTTCGATTCTATTTTTAGTACCTCAAGTCAATATCAGACCTCACTTGGAATCAATATGCATTTCTGTCGAATGAGATGTGATTGCTTCTGGGCTAATGAAAACGAGTGTGCTTCCCTATCGTAAATATCAAATGTTAGGAATTAAAATGCATTATGTTTGCCAACTGCTCACATAATACAAATATTATTCCTAATCTGTGATATTTATGATATGGTTGCATATCTGTTGTCTTGCGAGGTAGCAGGGATATTCCAGCTTGTGGATGGTGGTCTGTAAATAATCAGTCTGGACAAACCAGTGATTGATATATTTCAGATCTGAGTCTAAATACAAGCACCTAACTTTGTTTTGATTACCAACTAAGCACATGAAATAATCAGTAATGGATGACACAGGTTTGAGACTTTGCGATGATACAATACACGATAACTTTTACTGTATTGATACCCGACAATACACTTTCAAAAATAAATTACTTACTACTCATTTAGTGACCCCCCCACTGATTTTTTTAGTCAAATATCACAAAGTGTATTGTAATTAGCGTTTCAAGTTCACTCCTAAGAATACATGTTACAAATACCTACTGCAAAATATTTATAGTCAAAAGGTTTCAAAATATGTGTATCATGAAATGTATCATACCGTGACCTAGGTATCATGATACGTATCGTATCATAACTTTGATGTATCGTTTCACCCCGAGTTTTTTGTCTACTGCTGCACTTAGCAATATTCCAGCTATGTGACGGTTGGGGTGGTACTGACTGACCTTTGACCTGCGAGCTTGGTGGGTGCGCTTGAGCTTGTTGATAGTCTCCAGGTAGCGGACGAAGCCTGAGATGAGTGTCTTTACCTCCTGTCCGGACCTCTTCTCATAGATGTCGCATCTGACAATATACATTATTGCATGTTTGTTTGCAATATTCCAGCTATATGACGACGGTCTGTAAAATAATCGAGTCTGGACCAGACAATCCAGTGATTGACATCATGAGCATCGATCTACGCAATTGGGATCGATGACATGTATCAACCAAGTCAGCGAGCTTGACCACCCGATCCTGTTAGTCGCCTTTTACGACAAGAATTGTCACCTTTTACAGCAAGTATGGGTTGCTGAAGACCTATTCTACCCCGGACTCTTCACGGGTCCATTTTTGCATGTACCAGGGAATCTCAATGATAACAATAACAAGAAAACAGCATCAGAAATTTGTTTGTTAATATAGTAGTGAATAATATGAAGTTAATGTTGAAAAGCATGTAGCATAGGACATAACGAATATATTTATGGCACAAATTTTGAACTTAGTCTTAATAAGTATCTCTTAGATAAGCCTGTAAAGTTTCAGTCATTTCACTTCAGTAGTTTCTGGGAAAACTCAGGCCTCAAAGTTTAAATTTTTACAAAGTATTTTTTTCCAGGTAGCCAGTGGCAAAATTAAGAAGTCAAACCAATTGTGTAGGTAGCCAAAGGCATTTGAAATTATCTTTTATCAAATAACTATTACATGTATATGTCATAGCACTAGTCTTGAAATTGTATATTAGTGGAAACTGTACTTGAGTTTTGTTATTAGTGACTCGAACAATGATGCAGTTTATGTTACTAGATGCAGACGTGTTTATTTTTATATCTACAGATGTGTAGCAATAGATTTAGTCGCCACAAGATTTTTTTCAAGGTAGTCATTTGGCTACCTCTGAATTTTAGACAGTAGACAAATTGAATTTTAGGTCCCATTAGCGATCCTTTTAATCGCAACTTTAAGGCCTGAAACCTGTCCCCCATTGCACACACGATGCACTTAGTAGAAATACCAAAACATCAAAAGGCACCAATTCAGCATGTGTTTTATGCATATGCAAAGTTTCATAACGAAATATTAAACAGTTTCCGAGTTATGCTCTGGAAAAGAGATGTGACAGACAGACAGAGGGAAGGACAGACAGCACCCACCACTTCATTGCAGGGATAATAATAATGCACTGATGCATGCTCACAGCTCTACAATGTTATTACCCCAGTAAATGGACCAGTTTCCTTCTCCCTGGGGAGTATACAACTCATGCTGCCTGTGAGATGCTAGAAGGCTTACAATCACATTACCATAGAATAGGTCTTCAGCAACCCATTCTTACTGTAAAAGGCGACTATGCTTGTTGTAAGAGGCGACTAACGAGATAAGGTGGTCAGGCTCGCTGACTTGGGTGATGCATGTCATCATATCCCAATTGCGTGGATCGAGGCTCATGATGTTAATCACTGGATTGTCTGGACCAGACTTGGTTATTTACAGACCGCCGTCAAATAGCTGGAATGCTGCTGAGTGCGGCGTTAAACAATAAACAAATAAACCATCTAATCCTTCCGGGTACCCATTCAATGCTGGGTGAATTGAGGTGTATTTCCTCAAGAGACACAACATGTAACATGTAGGACCACACTGCCCTAGATACTCTCAGGAGTCCAGCTTGTCAGACAGTCAAATGACCAACTACTCCCAACGACCAACTACTCTCAACGACCAACTACTCTCAATGACCAACTACTCCCAACGACCAACTTCTCACAACGACCAACTACTCATAACAACCAACTACTCTCAACAACCAACTACTCTCGACGACCAACTACTCACAACGACCAACTACTCTCGACGACCAACTACTCTCGACGACCAACTACTCCCAACGACCAACTTCTCACAATGACCAACTACTCACAACGACCAACTACTCTCAACAACCAACTACTCTCGACGACCAACTACTCACGACGACCAACTACTCTCGACGACCAACTACTCCCAATGACCAACTACTCTCGACGACCAACTACTCACAATGACCAACTACTCTCGACGACCAACTACTCTCGATGACCAACTACTCTTGACGACCAACTACTCTCAATGACCAACTGCTCTCAATGACCAACTGCTCTCGACGACCAACTACTCTCGACGACCAACTACTCTCGACACCCAACTACTCACAACAACCAACTACTCTCGACGACCAACTACTCACAACTACCAACTACTCTCGACGACCAACTACTCTCGACGACCAACTACTCACAACAACCAACTACTCTCAACGACCAACTACTCTCGACGACCAACTACTCACAACTACCAACTACTCTCGACGACCAACTACTCACAACTACCAACTACTCTCGACGACCAACTACTCTCGACAACCAACTACTCTCGACGACCAACTACTCACAACAACCAACTACTCTCAACGACCAACTACTCTCGACGACCAACTACTCACAACTACCAACTACTCTCGACGACCAACTACTCTCGACAACCAACTACTCTCGACGACCAACTACTCACAACAACCAACTACTCTTGACAACCAACTACTCTCGACGACCAACTACTCACAACAACCAACTACTCTCAACGACCAACTACTCTCGACGACCAACTACTCTCGACACCCAACTACTCACAACAACCAACTACTCTCGACGACCAACTACTCACAACTACCAACTACTCTCGACGACCAACTACTCTCGACAACCAACTACTCTCGACGACCAACTACTCACAACAACCAACTACTCTCAACGACCAACTACTCTCGACGACCAACTACTCACAACTACCAACTACTCTCGACGACCAACTACTCACAACTACCAACTACTCTCGACGACCAACTACTCTTGACAACCAACTACTCTCGACGACCAACTACTCACAACAACCAACTACTCTCAACGACCAACTACTCTCGACGACCAACTACTCACAACTACCAACTACTCTTGACGACCAACTACTCTTGACAACCAACTACTCTCGACGACCAACTACTCACAACAACCAACTACTCACAACAACCAACTACTCTCAACGACCAACTACTCTCGACGACCAACTACTCACAACTACCAACTACTCTCGACGACCAACTACTCTCGACAACCAACTACTCTCGACGACCAACTACTCACAACAACCAACTACTCTCGACACTCAACTACTCACAACTACCAACTACTCTCGACGACCAACTACTCTCGACAACCAACTACTCACAACGACCAACTACTCACAACAACCAACTACTCTCAACGACCAACTACTCTCAACGACCCCCAGCTGTGAATGGGTACCTGGTAGGATGAGTGTCAACCATCTACCGCCTCACAGGCTTGGATTGTATACTCCCCATGGAGGTGATAATGAAAATCAAGTGCACACTGATCCATTGACTTGAGTAATAAAATCTCTCCTGGTCTTAGTGTATTTGAGCAGTTATAAACTGGAATGTGGGCTATATAAACTCATAATAAATAATAATGTAAGTCCATGTATCAACCACAATATTTTCAGATGAGGGCAAAAGAAAGGCAAAGGTAGGTACTGTGAAACCTTGACAATCTGGACCCTGTTAATCTGCGGTCCAGACCAGAGTATGGAACCGTTCAGATAAACATGGTTTCATTTTATAAGTTAGAAGACAAGAAGTCTTCACTATTGATGAAATTAGTGAGTGAGTATGGTTTTACGCCACTTTTAGCAATATTCCAGCAATATCACAGCGGGGGACACATAAAATGATCAATGGCATTAAGTGCACAACATTTTACCTGACTTGTGGCAATATTCCAGACATCATGTGTTCCCCATCATATCACGTGTCAACTCACCTATGATGTCCCTCTATGATTTTCTTGGTTGCAGAGTTGTTGCTGGGCAACAGGAAAAAGCGACTTCGCCAGTACTTGAGTGACTGTAGCAGAAGAAGAAGGGTCTCAATCAGAAACAGTTTACTCAAGATTTAATTAAAAAAATAAAAAATTCGTTTTTCAATTCACATATCAGTCAGTATTTTTGCAATAAATGCCATTTAATATAATATGTCATGTTTATTAATCGTCTTATTCAACTCAAAACACAACACCTATTAAGGAGTACTACTTTGCATTGATAGAGGCCATTATTCATGTCAATGTCTCCAGGTTAATGTTCTGTCATATCCAAAAGTGGTTAAGGTTAAGATAATAATGGGAGGCAGTTTCTGTTGGAATGCCCCAGACCACTATTCCTATGCCCCTGGCCTTCACTGATCCTATGTCCATGACCTCCACAAGATATATTTCCCAGACCTGCACTAGTCCTATGTCCATGACCTCCACAAGATATATTTCCCAGACCTGCACTAGTCCTATGTCCATGACCTCCATAAGTCCAATGGCCTAGACCCCCATGCCCCCAACCTCCAGAAGATCTATGCCCTTCAAATCCACCCCAGAAGTCCTATGTCCATGACCTTCATGAGACTTATGGCACTGACCTCCATGAGTCCTATGCAATGACCTCCACGAGCCTTATGTCCATGACTTCCGTGAAACCTATGGCACTGACCTCTATGAGACATTTGGTCCTGACCACCATGAGACCTATGGTCCTGACCTCCATGAGACCTATAGTCCTGACCTCTATGAGACCTTTGGTCCTGACCACCATGAGACCTATGGTCCTGACCACCATGAGACCTATGGTCCTGACCACCATGAGACCTTTGGTCCTGACCACCATGATACCTATGGTCCTGACCTCCATGAGACCTATAGTCCTGACCACCATGAGACCTATGGTCCTGACCTCCATGAGACCTATGGTCCTGACCTCCATAAGACCCATAGTCCTGACCATCATGAGACCTATGGTCCTGACCTCCATGAGACCTATGGTCCTGACCACCATGAGACCTATGGTCCTGACCTCCATGAGACTTATGGTCCTGACCACCATGAGACCTATGGTCCTGACCTCCATGAGACCTATAGTCCTGACCACCATGAGACCTATGGTCCTGACCTCCATGAGATTTATGGTCCTGACCTCCATGAGACCTATGGTCCTGACCTCCATGAGACCTATAGTCCTGACCACCATGAGTCCTATTGTCCTGACCTCCATGAGACCTATAGTCCTGACCACCATGAGACCTATGGTCCTGACCACCATCAGACCTATGGTCCTGACCTCCATGAGACCTATGGTCCTGACCTCCATGAGACCTAAAGTCCTGACCACCATGAGTCCTATGGTCCTGACCTCCATGAGACCTATAGTCCTGACCTCCATGAGACCTATGGTCCTGACCACCATGAGACCTATAGTCCTGACCACCATGAGTCCTATTGTCCTGACCTCCATGAGACCTATAGTCCTGACCTCCATCAGACATATGGTCCTGGCCTCCATGAAACCTATGGTCCTGACCTCCATGAAACCTATGTCCATGACCTACATGAGACCTATGTCCATGACCTCCATGAGCCCTATACCCCTCACCTCCATGAGACCTATGTCAATGACCTCCATGAAACCTATGGTCCTGACCTCCATGAGACCTATGGTCCTGGCCTCAATGAAACCTATGTCCATGACCTCCATGAAACCTATGGTCCTGACCTCCTCGAAACCTATGGTCCTGGCCTCCATGAGACCTATGGTCCTGGCTTTCATGAAACTTATGTCCATGACCTCCATGAAACCTATGGTCCTGACCTCCATGAAACCTATGGTCCTGGCCTCCATGAGACTTATGGTCCTGACCTCCATGAGACCTATGGTCCTGACCTCCATGAGACCTATGTCCCTGACCTCCATGAGCCCTATGTCCCTGACCTCCATGAGCCCTACGCCCCTGACCTCCATGAGCCCTACGCCCCTGACCTCCACGAGTCCTATGCCCCGACTCTCACAAGCCCTACGCCCCTGACCTCCACAAGCCCTATACCCCTGACCTCCATGAGCCCTATGCCCCGACTCTCACAAGCCCTTTGTCCCTGACCTCCATGAGCCCTATGTCCCTGACCTCCATGAGCCCTATCCCCCGACTCTCACAAGCCCTTTGTCCCTGACCTCCACAAGCCCTATACCCCTGACCTCCATGGGCCCTATGTCCCTGACCTCCATGAGTCCTATACCCCTGACCTCCACGAGTCCTATGCCCCGACTCTCACAAGCCCTACGCCCCTGACCTCCACAAGCCCTATACCCCTGACCTCCACGAGTCCTATGCCCCGACTCTCACAAGCCCTTTGTCCCTGACCTCCACGAGTCCGAAGTCGCCCTCCCCGCGGGTACAGATGTAGTGGTCCAGGTGATTCCACACATAGTTCTCTAGCTTCTCGTTGCTGAACTCCGTCCACGACACGTCGTAGCAGTAGGAGTCTGGCGCCTGGAACCGGTACTGGTACTTGAAGTGCAGCTGGGGCTGGTTGTGTCTGGAACACAGGGGAGGGGTTAATGTTTAGTGAGGTGTTAACAACCATCAGATCCTGACAAGGGAAGCAACTCAGCAACACCACCTCCTCCTCACCTGGGTCTGTATCTGGTCACAGTGATGGTCGGGCCCGTCAAGTTCAACTTGTGGAAGATGCGGCCAATACTGAGGTAATACTCTTCCTGCAAACAGAAACGGTGTCACTGCAGTTTCGTATTGTGAGTGAGTGAGTGAGTGAGTGAGTGAGCGAGCAAATTAGAAATCAGTTCATTGATTCATTGAGCGTTGGTGAATACCACAGTCTTTGCAGTATTCTAGCTATATGACAACAGACTGTAATACCTGTTTCTGGACAAACCAGTGATTGATAGTATGAGTAATAGCATCAGGTCGTCAGGTGACATGGTTGACTGTGTCTTGTAGCCTATCAGTGTGGATCATAGCTAAAATAGCAGGGCGTGGAGTCATCCCACATATGACATCCTTACATCTAAGCTTGTTGATGGGGTTTACCTCTTTGATCATTTGGACAAGGCGTCCGACCTTATATCAGAAGGTACATGGTTTGAACCCCATCAAAAGATTTGGAAAATTATATACAGGCCCTATCATTGGTCAAATTCATGACAGGGTACAAGTGCATTTACCGATTGTTCCACACGAGGCCGGGCCCGAGTTAGAACTGTTGCATGATGGTATTGCGGACTTGACCCAAGTGTCGTATTCTCCCTCGGAGAGCTAGATCTCGAGATCTTGATCAACTGGAACCCCTGGACATAAACAAGTACATCTTAACATGGAAATGTCATAGCAATCCTAAAAAATCTTTCACATTAGTCAGCCTCCGAAGCCCGAGACAATTAAATTGAGCTGAGCACAAGTAAACATCCAAAGATTGTTTGTTTGTTTGTTGTCTAACGCTGCACTCAGCAATATTTCAGCTATATGACGACGGTCTTAAAATAACCCAGTCTGGACCAGACAATCCAGTGATTGATATCATGAGCATCAATCCTTGCATGTACCACAATATATTGCCTGTGTTCTTTCACCTGTGATTTGTTACAAACCTGAATAAAAACAACCCAACTGACACAAAAGAGCCAGCGTTTGCACACTGTGATGCTATCTTCCTTTTCTGATCCAGTTTTCTTTCCAGGGTGAGGTGAGGTGAGGTGAAATTGGGTTTAACGTCCAAGATTATTGCACTTATATAGCCATGCACGTGCATGTACGTGTGTGTGTGTGGCTGCTTGTACTAGTCCGGGCTGATGCCGATTTATAGTGCTAGCACACTGAGATACCATGCCGCAGTTTAACATGAATATCCCACTCAGACATACACGTAGTATACTGACTCCGAGCCGACCAGTTCTTGTTTTAGCCCCTTAATGCCGAGCGCCAGACAGGGTAACGACAAGTACCATCTTTTAACGTCTTTAGGTATGACGCGGCCGGGGATCGAACCCCGAACCTTCCGCTCTACCAATAGACCCCAGAGGCGGTCTCTTTTCAAGGAATAGGGGATCTGCATAATACAAAATACTGCCTCCCAAAGAAGGGGTTGCAAATTATGCCTTGGTGCAGACTATACTTAAGAAAAAATGGTATACAACGTCCGGTTTTCACCTATTCTGTTTTTCACCTTAAACCTTCACCTTGCTACATGTTATATCTACTCTGATGATCAAGACTACGTAAATCCAAGTTTTAAACTTCCAGAACATCTTGGTACTGATACCTGAGCCAGTCGCTGGTACACCAGCTCCCGGAACACATGCACAGTACTGAGTGGCTTGCGGCGGTAGAACGCCTCGTCCTCTGATGGGGGATTCCTTCTGAGAAACGGCAAATAATGGAATTTATATTCAGCATGGTCATACACAGGAGATGAATGAGATCCATGAAATTGGAATAACATTGTCACAAAGAGACTTCACATACTTTCTTTGATATAACCAAAATTGCATTTTCTCTTAAAAGCATTAACTTAAAAAATGAAAAACATTAAAAAAATTATATCCAAAACAAAATAATCCCCAATGTTCAAAATTAAGGGGTGTTCTGGGATCCTTCAGCTTTCTTGCTAGAGCATTCTACTCAGAAGAAGTTATGGATTACCAGTGTTCCTGCTTGCTTTTGAAACTGCCAGTCCTGGTGGACTGGCAACTCTAAAAATTACCAGTCCCCCCTAATTTTTGCCAGTCCCAACATTCAACAAATAAAAAACCCATTTTACATCATGTTCAGTGCAAAGATGTCATCTCTGAAGTAACTTTGTTAGATCTATACGTCATTCACACAAACTTCAGTCACAATTTTCCCTATTTTTTTTATATATTTCGAGACGAAGTCGCTACAAATGGATATTTAACCCTGATGGTAACAGACAAGCTGACTTTGTTCGAAAATTGTACTTGAATAAATATCACCGATGTTTTGTTCAACAACAAAGATTAATAAGGTACTTTATTTGACGGTCCACAGGGACTGGCAGTCACATGAATAACCCGTCCAAGCCTAATTTTACTGGTGAAAAACTGGTAATTACCGGTAAACAGGAATGCTGGATCACCCATCTCTTTCATACAACTACAGGTTATCCGTCATGGCATGACACATTAAATATAGTAATATGAAAGAAAAGGGTGATTGATAACTTCTTTCGAGTAGAATACTTGAAACTACGGAGCCCAAAATGTTTAACTTTTTTAACATTAGCTTCATGACAAGGACCCCCAGGCTTTCATGCTTAATTTCCAACACGGGTATTTCATCATGTCCTACTCTCTGGCTATTTCAGCATTGACATCATCAGGCAGCAGGTTATAGTCCGACACCACATAGTCATAATGCAGACTACGCTGGTCGGGGAAGAAGTCGGTTGTCGTTGGCAGTGATGCTGGAATTGTTAGCGACTTCCAGTCAACACCTGAAAATACATTCACCACTGTAGATCTCTGTGAAGCTATGATCTATGATCTCGTAATCCTAGGCCCCATTCCACAAAGCAATCATAACGCCTGGATCATCGTAACTCTCATGCCTTATCATAGACTTACTACAGTCTAAGCGCTAAGACCATCGTAACTCTCATACCTTATCATAGACTTACCACAGTCATAATGCTTGGATCATCGTAACTCTCATACCTTATCATAGACTTACTACAGTCATAGCGCTAAGACCATCGTAACTCTCATACCTTATCATAGACTTACCACAGTCATAATGCTTCGATCATCGTAACTCTCATGCCTTATCATAGACTTACTACAGTCATAGCGCTAAGACCATCGTAACTCTCATACCTTATCATAAACTTACCACAGTCATAATGCTAAGACCATCGTAACTCTCATACCTTATCATAGACTTACCACAGTCATAATGCTTGGATCATCGTAACTCTCATACCTTATCATAGACTTACTACAGTCATAGCGCTAAGACCATCGAAACTCTCATGCCTTATCATAGACTTACTACAGTCATAATGCTAAGGCCATCGTAACTCTCATACCTTATCATAGACTTACCACAGTCATAATGCTAAGACCATCGTAACTCTCATACCTTATCATAGACTTACCACAGTCATAGCGCTAAGACCATCGTAACTCTCATACCTTATCATAGACTTACTACAGTCATAGCGCTAAGACGATCGTAACTCTCATACCTTATCATAGACTTACCACAGTCATAACGCTAAGACCATCGTAACTCTCATACCTTATCATAGACTTACCACAATCATAGTGCTAAGACGATCCTAACTCCTACTCTTAAACATAGACTTATGACAGTCATAGTGCTAAGATGTAACTCCTATACTTAAACATAGACTTATGACAGTCATAGGTCTAAGATATCATAACTCCTAGACTTTAACATAGACTTATGACAGTCATAGCGCTAAGACGTAACTCCTAGACTTTAACATAGACTTATGACAGATGTGGGGCTAAGATGATCATAAATCACATACTTTAACATCCACCTAAGACAGTCGTAGCACTAAGATGATCGTAATTCCCATACTTTAACATAAACTTCCAACAGTTGTAGCACTACTATGATCATAAATCCTATACTTCAACATGGACTTACGGCAGTCATATTGCTAAGACAACCGAAACTCCAATACTTTAACATAGACTATGGCAGTTGTAGCTCTAAGACATCATAACTCCTATACTTTATCATAGACTTACGACAGTTGCAGCGCTAAGATGTCTGCAACTCGCATTCTTTAACATCACAATCATAGGTTTCTGGCGTGCCCAAGGGATGCAACTCTGCACAGCGAATCAACTTGGCCACCTGTGCCCCTCTTTAACATAGACTAACGACAGTTGTAGCGCTACGATCGCTTAATGGAATGAGGCCCTGTCCTACACTATCTGAAGTCAATGACCTTGATTGCCCGCAGTAAACTAACCCTTCCTGTTTCTTAGAACACATTGATTTCTGCCCATTTGATCCAGCTATAGATACGATATGTTATTGCTCTGCATACATCTGTTGACAAACAAGCATTTACTCAAATACTGGGATTTGTATTATGTTAGTTGTGTTTGTGCGAGTTGTGACCATGGTAACATTTAATTGTTTCAATTATTATCGATATATTTGTTTATTCTTTTCCAAAAATCATAAATATTTGAATTAATCAAGATGTCGACAATCATACATTAACTCATGTCTTTTCAAGAGCAATTCTTAGATATAATAATTACCATCACCTCCAAAGTGAGGTGTTTCTAACCAATTCTGGGACTGCCAACTAAACAAAATTAAATATTCGTATTTCCAGTAACACAAAAAGAATACAAAAGTAGAGAAGTAATAGCATGCACTGATTCCAAGACCTCCAACAAAATAGGGAATAAGTAGATATTATTTGCCGAGTGGGATTCCATATAATAAATATCATATTTTTTACGATGCAAAACTTCTGAGAGCCTTCAAACTTCTACTGGTCCAATTGCCTGCCACTAATAAATTGTGTGGACAAGTACTAATCCTGATGGTAGTCCTCACTGACCAGTAGCATTTGAGGGCCATGATTCTGAATCAGTTCTCAGCGCTTCAATTGTGCTACAAATTGGTCAGAATAAAACTGCAAATGTAGACATAGTAAATATTTTTGTCTCATTCCAATAGGACTAGCTACAAGTGAGTAAGTGTTATATCTTAAGCTGCTTTTTGCAATATTCCAGCAATATCACAGTGGGGGGACACCAGAAATGGGCTTCACACATTGTACCCATGTCGGGAATCGACCCGGATCTTCGGCATGACAAGCGAACACTTTAACCAGTAGGCTACCCGACTAGCTACAAACTCTGAGGACATTTGAAATAATGTTAACACTAGTCCTCTGGACAAGTCTTAAAAAAGATACATTTCTAAAATTGATAATACATATTGTGTATTCCTAATGTATGATATTTATGAGATGGAAACACACATTGGTTATAATCTCTTTATCATATAATATCATTCTTAAAGTAATCAATGTTTAACACAAATTCCCACTCACTGAAGTAACAATAGAAACCGCGTATGAATACAATGTTTGAGTGAACCGCCCTATTTATCAAATAGTGCCAAATGATTTACAGCCATGTCTGTCTACAGAAAAAAAAACATATTGGGAAACCTTATAATTGTATTGGCCAAGAATACATTACATTGATGGATAGAGCTTAAAGTAGTTCCTGCCAGGTAACCTCATTTGCATATTATCGGATCGTGATACCAAGTTTATCCATCGGTTTAGAGCATCGATGACACTACCCATTGTGTGATAAAATAATAATTACAATGTCAACATTGATGGAATAATAGAGTAAATCACTAACTAGACTGAAACGCAGCCTTGTTGCTATGGTAATGGTAACCATGGCAACAGTAAGGTCAGGCTTGTTCACTATGGAATAGTACAGTTTTCATGCTGACTAATTCTAGGGCTTGACTGGTTCCATGCATCTACACCTCTCACAACTATACTACAACATGTACACGATGGTTAAACTAAACCTTGGCTAAAGGAGACTGTTAGGGTGGTTAATGTAGCCATGGTAACATCAATAAAACATTCCATGCAAGACATAACGACAATTCAAAAGATTCCATTTGGCTATTCCTGTATCACTAACTAAAAGGTTTCTATGGAAACACTCATCTTCCCAATCAACTCACTATACTACAAAATGGCGAAAGTGATTGTTTCCATGGTAACCTGCTATATCTAATGCTATATTAGTTAATATTCCCATGTAAATTGTGTTCAAAGACCACAACCATTGTCAAAATTATTGCTTAAACTAAACCTTATCATCAGCTTGTGTCATTCTTTCAGCATCATGATACAATACATATCATATACAGCACATTGTAAGATGGTGTACCCTCTAAGCCTAACTCAGAGCTCCAGATAAGCTGCGTATCTGCGTAAAATACGCATCAGAAATGCAGAAATACGCAGTAAAATAAAATTCAAGCATATCAAATACGCAACGCACATTACAAAAATAAAACTTGTGCGTATCGTCAAAACATTGTGAAATAATCCTGTGTATTCAACTAGCAAATCAGAAATTTATTTTGAAATTATAAACGGGCATTCCGTCAACCTTGCCAAACTCCACGATGACAGTTACATCACGATCATTTGCCACTTTCTTGTGGAAGTATCGTGGTATCATCCTATAAAGCTCTCGAACCCACACGACACCAGTTTGCAGGGACTAGATGAATAGTGTTTTTAAATATTTAACTTAAATACCCACATGCGTAAAAGCTAGTGGGTAACGGAATTTGAATACCCAAATAGAATTACTGATACCCAATGATTTTAAGATGCATGGGTAAAATACCCACAACACCAAAAGCTTATCTGGAGCTCTAACTCATTCTAGCCTGTCTCACAGTCCCTGAACCATGTTATTTTCCTTCCCTCCAACCCTTACTGTAATGCTATAGCCCTAAATGAAGCAAGTCTATATTTCCACAGGTTCTGAATCTCCCATCTCACTGGGGCTCCTTTTCAATTTAAATGGAGTTGTTGTGTTGATCAAAATTATATTATGGACTACTAAAGCATAAGTCTAAAATCATTCCTGACAGTCGTATGTCTATCTTTCAGAACTAGCAATAGTACAATTAAATCTGTCAATCGTGCACTATAGCCTTCGTGTGATACAAGTGGCAGCCATACAATAACAAGATGACATGAACCTTGTACTACTAGTCATCGTAGAAGAGTAAACAGTCAATATTGCATGACTAGCCATACAATAAGATCATATCAACCTTGTACTACTAGTACATGTATGTTTGAATTTTAATGCTGCACTCAGCAATATTCCAGCTATATGTGATGGCAGTCTGTTAATAATCAAGTCTGAACAACACAATCCAGTGATTGACATCATGAGCACCGATCCACACAATTGGGATACGATGACATGCACCAACCAAGTCTGCGAGCCTGACCATCCAATTCAGTTAGTCGCCTCTTACGACAAGCATGGGTTGCTGAAGACCTATTCTTACCGGATCTTCCCTGGTTGTACTACTAGTCATCGTAGAACAGTAACAGTCAATATTGCCCGACTAGCCATACAATAACAAGGTCATATCAACCTTGTTTTACGAGAACAATAAATCTGTGAGTAAATAAACTGTGCCAGTCTATGACTGGTCAAGTCAAGATGACAATGTAAGCAGTCTGAAAGAGAGGAAAGCAGAGAGATATTAGTAGCTGTAGAGATGACAGGAGATGATGCAGCGGCAAGCCGACAGCCCTACATCCAGCGAAGCTCTGGAGCACTAGGATACTAACAACTGACTCAATGACCGAGTAAGCAAGGCTAATTGTATCACGGCAGCCTGAAAAAAGATGCTTGGACTACACAAACCGAGGGATGATAGTGTGAGCATGTCTACCTTATTTGGGGATCATATGGAGGCATTTTCAGGGCCCACACCTCGTCCAGGAAGGCCGTGAAGCCGTGCCCCCATTTCCTATACAACTTTAGATAGTGATTCAATTATTACTTTGTCAGCCAAAGTGAAAAAATGAGTGTGTGTGAGAGTTTGGACAGTGTTTCTGTTTTATTATGGCATATCTGCTTGATGTAGGAGGAATGCCCTAAGCAGGACTCGATTTAAGGAGTGAGTGAGTGAGTGAGTGAGTGAGTATGGTATATTCCTGCAATATCATGGCGGGGGACACCAGAAATGGGCTGAACACATCGATGACATGCATAAACCAAGACAGCAAGCCTGACCACCCGATCCCGTTAGTCGCCTCTTACAACAAGCATAGTCGCCTTTTATGGCAAGCATGGGTTGCTGAAGACCTATTCTACCCAGGATCTTCACGGAACAAATGATGTAGTTAGGTCACTAGAGAGCAAGAGAGAGAAAGAGCGAGAGAGAGAGAGTGTGTGTGTGTGTGTGTTTTCAAAGATCAATGATCAAAAGAAAGAGTAAGTCACACACAAATTTGAATTGTTTACTTGCACTTAAGTAGCGCAAATATTAGGTTGCATTTTTCAGTAATAGGTTACACTGGTGCATGTTTTATATAGCTAAAATCGAGCCCTGATAAATGATGCAGATCTTTGATGTTGACCATGTTGGTGAAACCCATGAGCACTGCCACTACTGAGTTGACATCCTGGAAACATGTTCAGGGTGAACCAGGATTCAAATCCACGATCTTAGACTTGTGGCATTGAGATGGATTCATGTAGTGAAGTGCAGTGTGCAGCGTCCTAGATTAGTGGGGCACCCATTACCAGTAGTCAGCCAGAGCAGCTTTAGACCTTTAACCTATCGACCATAGGAACTGGGGACTTATTCAGAGCCCTATTTAACAGTCTCCTATAATGGTGGTAGGAACTGGGAATATATATATCTAACACCAATTAAGCTGTCTCTTACAGCAAGCACTGTGGCTCAGGACCTACTCAGACCTCCTTTAACAGAATAAACTGCCTCTTTAGGCAGACATAGGAAACTGTGGACCAGTCTGATACCTATTTAGTCGTCTTCAACAAGAATATTCGGTCTATGAAGTATATCTAAAGTCCTTATTGCTCAATACAGTATCCAGAGATCTCCATACAGTACCCAGATATCGCCATACAGTACCCAGAGATCTCCATACAGTACCCCTCATAACAGATATCTCCATACAGTACCCAGAGATCTCCATACAGTACCCAGATATATCCATACAGTACCCAGATATCTCCATACAGTACCCAGATATCGCCATACAGTACCCAGATCTCTCCATACAGTACCCAGAGATCTCCATACAGTACCCCTCATAACAGATATCTCCATACAGTACCCAGAGATCTCCATACAGTACCCAGATATTTCCATACAGTACCCAGATATCTCCATACAGTACCCAGATATCTCCAAACAGTACCCAGATATCTCCATACAGTACCCAGATATCTCCATACAGTACCCAGATATCTCCAAACAGTACCAAGATATCTCCATACAGTACCTAGAGATCTCCATACAGTACCCCTCATAACAGATATCTCCATACAGTACCCAGATATCTCCACACAGTACCCAGATCTCTCCATACAGTACCCAGATCTCTCCATACAGTACCCAGATCTCTCCATACAGTACCCAGAGATCTCCATACAGTACCCAGATCTCTCCATACAGTACCCAGATCTCTCCATACAGTACCTAGAGATCTCCATACAGTACCCAGATCTCTCCATACAGTACCTAGAGATCTCCATACAGTACCCAGATCTATCCATACAGTACCCAGAGATCTCCATACAGTACCCAGAGATCTCCATACAATATCTAGATATCCCAATAGTCCTCCCATATATACCGATATGCATACTTGACCCAGTAACCTAACACTCTGCCAAGACATATTAATACAGTCCAGTGAAGCTGAAAGTCAGCTGTATCTTTCAGAGAATTCAAATCACTGATCTAGATTCTAAATACATACAGAAGTGAACACAGTAATCTATTCTAAAAACCTATTCTAACTCATCCAATCCTTCAGATGATAATCTACACAAGTTAGTAGGCGATACATGTTGCTGTGTGCACAAAAGCTGTGTACAAAGCCGATTAGACATCATATTGTGTGGCGGCTACAACATATTAGTTCCAAACATGCAGATGCTGTTAGTCTGAAGAGTAGTTACTGTTACACGGCATACACTCATTATACTGAAAACATATAGTTAGGGATCATGAGTATTTTGGGGGATATTTTTATGAAATTGTGTGATTAGTCTTCACTACAGAAAAATATCCCCCAATTTGTCATAATCCCTTATGGGTTTTTTGTTCAGTGTATATACCAAAACTTCTCTCAACACAAACCACAAACCAATCATGCTGGTAAAAATTCCAAAATGATAAAATATTGGTATTACTGACAAAGGCACTGTTACCTTCTCCACCAGAAGCTCCGTCGTGAACCATTCTACCAATTTAACTATTTTCAGGGCGTAAATGTCCTGGTATTAAATTACACACTTCCTGATACAACATTCACAAATAAATATCTGTTGAGAAAAATAAAGGTGACACAACCTCCAAAGCAAGCATGGTACAACAATATTACTAAAATAACTCAATTCAGAGTATAAAAGCCAGTACAAAACACCAAAAATATTAAATGAAATATTTCCTCCTTGGTATTCCTGTGCAGAATCATCAAAAATATCATTGGAGTTGAAGGTTCAAAATTGATTATAATAATTTTGATTCATTCATCTTTTGAATTTCATATTTTTGAATGCACCTTATGTCATTGGTGAATTGTTCAACCACAATGCTCTTCCATTTGTCAGATGGTCTTGTTGTTTAATTTCATGAAAAAAACCCAGAAGGTTAAAATGCAAATCGGTAACGATTATTTGAAGATGTGTTCTAAAAGTAGAGAAATTATTTTTGTGGGACAGGAGAAGTCATGAGGAAATATTTTACAAAGAGCTGTAAATGTTCGTTCCTTGCATGGCCAATATTTATCATATGAACAGCACCTTTTGGTGAAAGAAACTTACATAATGTATTCCAAAGAACTATCTTTCATAACTTCAAAATTTCTATCACATTTAAATGATCCAAATTTGAAATTTACCAAATTCAACAAATATTGAATGGATTGTTTTATATTCATTAACATTACAAAAAGAAATACAATAATTTCATAGATATAATAATTTGTCATTAATTCTATTTTATCCTGATGTGTTATGTTTAAGAGACACTACACCATCATCAATGGCTAAGATTAAAAATAGTTAACAAGCTCCTCGCAGCGATAGCCCGTTTGCGGAGCTCTCTATACTATCGCTGCCACCAGTCAAAACTCCCCACAGTGATAGATGACTACAACCATGCTTGGAGTTGAATTCGCAGCCGATTGACCGTTATGTTTACAAACAAGTGACGACTGTCGTGACGCCAAATACACTTACCCCTGTTAAATTACTTTCTTTGTTTGTCAATTTGAATTTCTATTTCATTAAAACTATCATGTAATTGATAAAGTGAGAATGTAAAATAGAAGTTGGTTGATTTTCTGTTAGTCTGCAATCTCGAACCAATCTGATTATACAAACAACAAAGTAAATTCATCTGGAAAACATGGTCAGTCGTAAACGTTTTCAAAATGAACTATGATGGCATTCCCAAACATGTAAACAAAAGTATGAATGTGACTACATTTGGGGTTAGAGGGCAAATTTCAAGATTCTTGTAATGGCCGTGCCCACACTGGTGGCAGCGATGTTACCGAGAGTGTAACGAAGGTGTCACGCGCTGGGAAGAAGCTAGAATAGTTAACAGAGAAGGGAGACAACTCAATCATCTAAAGATGCTGCATATACAAGCCATGTATCCAGATGGACATTTACAGCCAACACTCTCCACGCACAATCATAAAGCAAGCCCATGTGTACTACACTAGATGACCAAAATGGCGGAGGCAACAGTGAGGGTGAAGGTCGTACTTATTCCTGCACAGAAAGTCTGACTGCTGGGGTCAGAGGTTAGAATGGGCTTGATGAGCTGAGAGTCAGCTCGCTCTCGCTCCACCTGTGTCAAAGGTCGCCAGTCCCACCCTGAAAGCAAGTCACATGTAACAAGGTTACACAGGTCAAGGTAACTATATCAGTCACAGGTCAAGGTCAGGAATGACTGAACATGGCTTATACCAAACTGACATAAACTGAAAAAGATGTTATTACCACTAGACTTTTTTTTTGCTAGATAAATCATTTAAAAGTCAAACTAGAAAAGAATATATATATTTTCATATCAGTCGTTTCAAAAACAAATCAACCATTGACTTTAAAATTTACATAAATGTCTCTCAGGATTAATTTATAAACATACACAAAAAAATGGGATTTTCAGATTAAAAACAATGTTTTATTGGTCTGTTTTCAGTCGTACAATTGGGTATCTCATACCTCTAGTCGCACGTTAAAAGGAAGCCAGAAGCTGGAATGTAAACAATAAACTTGTTTCCGTCCGGTTGCGCACGCACCTCCCGATGACATGCCACAAATCTCGAAGAATAAGCCATCAAGCAGGACTGGACTGGATTACTTCCCAGTGGGGATGGCTGGGTGGGAACGTACGACTGAAAACAGACCAATAAAACATCGTTTTTAATCTGAAAAACCCATGTTTTAGTCTGTTTTCAGTCGTACAATTGGGTAGAATTCGACGGAACACTGGAAGGAGGGTCGGGAAAGTAATCCGGAAGTGACCTCTGTCACGTCGAATGTACCAAGTTCCTCACCCCTGTAGTGACAATAGAACATTCGACCAGATGCACGGACGAGACAAATTGTTTATCACGAACGCACAGCATGGTTAATGCTCATCGACACACAACTAGTTATCGATGCGACAGGACAACTGCACGCGTCAGTTGAACTGCGATCGAAGTGGTCGACGTATAGTTTAGTTACAGAGCAACTCGCAGTATACAAGGTAACTAAAACAGCATGTTTAATGCTCTTCGACCCACAAGTAAGTATCGATGCGACAGGACAACTGCACACGTCAGTTGAGGTGCGATCGAAATGTGGTCGGCTTATAATGTAGTTACAGAACGACTCGTCGTAGGCAAGGTAACTAAAACAGCATGTTTAATGCTCTTCGACACACTACTAATTATCGATGCGACAGGACAACTGCACGCGTCAGTTGAACTGCGATCGAAGTGGTCGACGTATAGTTTAGTTACAGAGCAACTCACAGTATACAAGGTAACTAAAACAGCATGTTTAATGCTCTTCGACCCACAAGTAACTATCGATGCGACAGGACAACTGCACACGACAGTTGAATTGCGATCGAAGTGTGGACGTTATATAATTTAGTTTCAGAACGACTCGTCGTATCCAAGGTAACGAAAAATAGCATGGTTAATGCTCTTCGACACACAACAAATTATCGATGCGACATGACAACTGCACACGTCAGATGAATTGCGATCGAAGTGTGGTCGGCGCATAATTTAGTTACAGAGCAACTCGCAGTATACAAGGTAACTAAAACATACGAGCAGTACTTCTTGTCTGAGACAATGTCGAAGGCGACCTGATCGAGAGGCTCGTAAGTCTAACTAGACAGGTAGCGCAGAACGATATCGAGGTCCCAGGCCGGCAGTCGGAATTAATGTGACTCATCTTCAACCATGAAGGCACGTAGAATTTTCTGCAATTCCGGTATTTTAGTGAGCCTGTCGCCCGTAGGAGACGGCTCGTCTAGGTAGAAGGCGACCCTGATCGCCTGCCGATGGAGCCATTCTACGACCGTCTTCATGATCCGTGTGATGAAGTCTTCCCCCTACCGGTAGCTCGTCTAAAGGTAGTAGGCTCCGACGACGGTGACGGCGGGGAAAAGGGACCTCACTACCTCCCCCGCTGGCTCGCTGTCGACAGCATAGCAAGCGGTTGTAGCTGGAGACGAACAGCAGTGTCCATGGATCCCCAATGCCTGTCTACTACAAGAATCTTGGAGGGCGCTGGTTTCTTGAAGAGTAGCCCCCAATCCAAGTCCCTTCTCATGAGTGACGAAAACGGCATGCCAGAGATCGGGTAACGCGATCGAACAGGTGGTTTGCTGAAACTCTGCCCCGGCAGAGCAGAGGCAAGTTCTGGTCCATATCGTGAGCCATGGCTCTGAAGACATCGGGAGGAGACGTCGATTGTGTGGATGTGGATGTAGATGAAGGTACTGGTGTACTGGTCGATGGTCCATGGACCTCCGACGTAGTCGAATCCTTCTTGGTCGACGCCGTCGAGGCGAGTACCGCCGTCGTGATCTGGGCTATCAAAGCCGGGTCGATATGAAAGTGAGACGAGGGTGCCGATCGGTCATTATCTCTACGACGCTGTCGTCACAATCCATCGTCGACGTCGATTGTGTAGGCGTAGATGAAGGAACCGGTGTACAGGACGATGGTCCATGGACCTCCGACGTAGTCGAACCCTTCTCGGTCGACGCCGTCAAGGCGAGTACCGCCGCCGTCATCTGGCCTATCAAAGCCGGGTCGATATGAAAGTGAGACGAGGGTGCCGATCGGTCATTATCTCTACGACGCTGTCGTCACAATCCATCGTCGACGTCGATTGTGTAGGCGTAGATGAAGGAACCGGTGTACAGGACGATGGTCCATGGACCTCCGACGTAGTCGAACCCTTCTCGGTCGACGCCGTCAAGGCGAGTACCGCCGCCGTCATCTGGCCTATCAAAGCCGGGTCGATAGGAAAGTGAGACGAGGGTGAGGATCGATCATTATCTCTACGACGCTGATCTCCCAAAAACTCCCTTCGAGAGCGTCGCACGTCCCCGTGGGGATGAGGGCTACGATCTCTTACTGTAGAAGCACTACGATCCCCATCGTAGTTATCGTCCGAATCGAACTCCCGACGACCTCGAAGGCGACGAACGTCCTCGTGTCGTTTACTGTCTCTCGACGAGGCACTCGACCTGTCGTCCCGTGAACGGGAACGACTTCTAGAGAGGGATCTGTGTTCACTGTCGACCCGCACGTCGTAGGTAGGACGAGAGACGGACCGACTTGGGACCGTAGTCCCCTCGTGGTCCTCGTCACCACCCGGTCCCGTCGTAACGGGGGTGGCTGAGTGACGCTCTCGATGAACCGATTGACGAAGATCAGTCGTGCGGGTAGTATCATCAGCAGGCGAACGGTCACGTGTCTTGTACAAAACATAAGTTGACTGAGGCGGGTCTTTTTCAACTGATTTCTTGGGTGTGGCCGACGCGCCACCCCCAGGGCCTGACGTAGGGGGTGCAGAGTCCAAGGATCCAACCGATGACCTCCTCTGCTTGTAGCGCTGGTCAGTAGCCCGCTTCGCCAACGCACGAAGATACAAGTTAAAGTTGATAGAAGACAAATGCTCACATTCTTTACAACGTTTATTCCACGAACACGCTGAAAACCCATCCTTATTTATGCAGGAAGGACAATACTTGTGAGGATCTACTTTAGACAGTTTTCCTTGACACGAGGCACAAATGCCCGCCATGTTGCCACATGTATAATCAAGTGAAACACGTGTTGAACCCAAACAATGGATTACCAAGGATTACATTCCAGGAGTCTACAGGTAAGACATATTATTATTACTGTATTAGAACAACAACTGTAAACACACAATAAGTACTAGTAGAATACAAACTAGCAGTCTATCGCGAAAGTCCTTCTCGAGCGACCAGCTCAGAGGCGCGCTGAGAGATTTGTGGCATGTCATTGTGAGGTGCGTGCGCAACCGGACGGAAACAAGTTTATTGTTTACATTCCAGCTTCTGGCTTCCTTTTAACGTGCGACTAGAGGTATGAGATACCCAATTGTACGACTGAAAACAGACTAAAACATGTTTTTTACAACAGTAGACAGACTTAAAACCAAATATCTAACACATTAAACTACAGAAATAGTTACTTTAGCGGATTAATCAATATTGCCATGGTTACTGGATATTCCTGAAAACAAAGTCTGTCATCACGTTTACTCTACCATCATACAGTGAGTCACAGTTGGGTAGGATTTGTCATCAACATCAAAGACTACTTCTTGTAAAATGATTACTGTTAAACTCTTCGTACCTTGGAACAGGTTTTCATGAAGACGTTCGCATGAACATGGGGTACGAAAAATGCATGAAATGGACAAGGGGACAAAATCATGCACATTGTCATGCATGCAGACAGTCAAGAAACTACACCAGACGAACAAAAAGAACTTTTTGTTTGTTTAATGCCCACTCAGCAATATTCCAGCTATATGATCGCAACCAAGCCTGACCACCCAATCGTCATAGTCCCTTCGTACGACAAGCATCGGTTGCTGTGGTCACAGAATATCTGGAATACCCATGGGGTGAAAAGTAACTTCACAGGTGGAACGTTATATCATAAATAGGATAAAAAACATACACTACAGGATAACAAATGGAAACATAGAGAATAAAAAAAATTCAAAAGTTTTCAAACAACAGTTTTCAAAAAAGGTTCATTCATGCTAATGGCAGACAATACACAATTTTCACTGATGTAAATCGTAAATACTATTAAAGGAAAACTAACTATTATATGGAAACACAAGTGGACGTACAGTGACATTTAAATTATTTCAACATAAAATATAACTGAGATATGTATAAGTAGGGAACATGCATTTAAAAGAATTTTATCAACACAATCATCAACACATAATAATAAATGAATGTGATGATTAGCTGATAAGATGATTGGTTAAGCATAGCATTTTAGTTCCTGATATAGAACACACAACATAAACAATCATGCAAATGCATGCAAGTTTGAAACAAAACAAGACAAGAAAACAGAACATCCCCTGAAGAGTACATGAATAAGAGAAACACTGCCTGAAACTCGATCTGTATCGGCTAGCCATTTCAGTGTCATGTTGTTACAAAAGTTGTTGTGTGGAAGGTTGTATCTACCTGTTGTCATGTCTGGGCTCCAAGGTTGCTCTCCTGTTGGACCCCAGAGCCAGAAGCCATCTTGTGACGTCATCTGACCTCTTGACCCACAACGACCTTGACCCACAAACAAATATATTTTTAAGTGGCATTTTAGAAGAGTTGACATGGATTTATTTCTTTGTTTGTGTGTGTGTGTGTGTGTGTTTGTCTCTGTGTGTGTGTCTGTGTGTGTGTGTGTGTGTGTGTGTGGTATGTGTGTGTGTCTGTCTGTGGTGAGTGTGTATATGTGTGTGTGTCTGTGGTGAGTGTGTGTTTATGTGCGTACATGTCTATGTGTAAATGTGCATGCATGTGTGTCTCTGTGTGTCTGCTTGTATGTGTGTGCACATATGTGCATGTCTGTGTGTGCATGTCTGTGTGTGCGTGTCTGTGTGTCTGTGTCTGTGTGTGTGTGTGTGTGTGTGTGTGTGTGTGTGCATGCTTGTCTGTGTGTATATGTGTGTGTGTTTGTGTTGTACTGGTACAAGCTAATACCAGTTTTATAGTGCTAGCCCACTGAGAAACCACGCTGCAGTGAAACATTGATACCTAACTTAGACATAGTATCCTATATCCAAGCCGACCAGTCCCTGGCTCAAATCCTCAATGCCAGGCAGGGTAACACAAGCACCATCTTTTAACGTCTTTTGGTATGACAACAGTGAGTGAGTGAGTGAGCTGGGTTTAACTCTGCTTCAAAAAGTATTTTAGTAACATCATGGCACATCAGTTTGATGGCGAGACCAAAATTTCACAAGACCTAGTGCCATGCCAACAGATCAAGTAACATCACTGTGGCAATTCAGGAATACAAACCCATGACCTGCAACGTGCAACTAACGTACCAAACTCTGCGGAGGCTGAGGACAGGACGTGATGGAGGGTTGACATGGTGAGTGTCGAGTGACTGGGAGACACGTTGCTCAGCTCTGCTAGACCGTCCAGGCTGTGAGTTGACACAACAGAAAACAGTGTTCAAATTTCTTTATTTGTTGTTTAACGCCACACTCAGCAATATTCCAGCTATATGATGGCGGTCTGTAATAATCAAGTCTGGACCAGACAATCCAATGATGGACATCATGAGCATCAATCTAGGCAATTGGGATACGATGACATGCACCAACCAAGTCAGTGAGCCTGACCACCCGATCCCGTAAGTCGCCTCTTACGATAAGCATAGTCACCTTTTATGGCAAGCATGGGTTGCTGAAGACCTATTCTCTACACGGATCTTCACGGATCTGTGTTCAAATAAAAATACCGAAGTATGCATGTGACCAGGTGAAGTACATTAATGTACAAAAGAAAGCATTTTTTACAGATAAAGTCTCAAATTGGTCAATTGTATTTATTTTGAATAAAGAATGAATACCGTATTCGACGTAATAAGCGCCCCGCTCTAATAAGCGCCCACGGCGATATTTGCTGATATATTGGCTAGTGAACAAACCCAATTAGCACCCCTTCCGATTGATCAATGTACACAAGACTTATTTATTCGCGTATAATACGCACTTGTGTGTTATATACACCCTTTATGGGCAAATAAATTCTGGAAAAATATATCTATGGTATATAAACATTTCAGGCTGTCAGCATGCACCACGAACTTTATCTTTTAACTGTTTTTTTTTTCACCAAAATAATATTCTAATAAGAGCCCCCTATTTCTAATTTTGAGAGCGCCCTGGGCGCTTATTACGTCGAATACGGTAAGTGCATTTGAAGAGGATCGTTTTTATGTTGTTCCCCAAATCAGTATGAAGTTGCAAGACAACCCAAGGTGACAGTCAACAAAATAACAGCTTACAGTGAGTGAGTATGTTTCTACGCCGCTTTTAGCAATATTTCAGTAATATCACGGCGAGGGACACCAGAAACGGGCTTAACACAATGTACCCATGTAGGGAATCGAAACACTTTAACCACTAGGCTACCCCACCACCCCTACAGCACAAGGTCAGTGTGGGTTTTGAACCTATGGCCATCAGATATTGGTAATACTAAGGGGCGCAACTCTGTAGTGTTAACTGAAATACCTTAAATGAAACATGAAGAAGTGGAAACATGTTCCTACCTGTGATCTTCCCCAATATCGTCCAGACTCTCCTGTCGAGACACCGATCTTCGTTTGCGAGACTCAACCGCCATCTGGGCACCCTAGAAACAGTCATGTGACCTTGACCTTTGACACTCTACAGATGTGGAAGGACAAGTTTCGTGACGCTTGGGAGGGAAAAACATGCCTCAGAAACCGAAGACACAATCTTTTTTTTCACAATAATACAGTTACCTTGACCTTTGACCATATCCCTAAATGATGAATATATTTGGGTGATAAATACAAAATAGTTTGAGAAATGGTAACCACAATTTGAGACAGACTCTTTAGCATTTTCACTCAGCATCATCAAAATGTGACCCTGACCTTTGACCTCAATGAATTATGACCTTTAATTCTTGCCTAACCAGAATCCAATCAACAACATAAAAAGCATAATACCCACAGAAATCTTGAGTGATTGAGTTGGGTTTAACGCCGCTTTATCTAGACTTGCACAGAGGCTGATATTCGGCCCCATGTATGTTGATACAAACTGTTTCAGTCCAGTCGTCCTCATAATTACATATAGCAAAACCTTGGCAAAAAGGTGAATTTCTTTTAGTCTTAATGATACCTTAACTATTGGGCAGTTGGGTAAGGACTATTGGACTGGTGCCAATTTCTAATGCTGATGGTTAAAACTAAGGTTTTTGGCGTGCCAAAGGGACGCAACTATGCACAGCGAATCGCCGTGCCTTAGACGACTTAGACGACTGCCTTTGACCTCTGCTGACCTACTGACCTGTATAACCTCTCGGGTTGGCTGCTGCACAGAGAGGTCATCTGTGTCGTCCGAGTGCCCCGACCCTAGGTAGTGATGTGTCTGCACCGCTGCACCCTGGGGGTCTACACAATGGAGTAGCAGCATGACAACAAAATTTTCCAGAAAAAACATATGATTACAGAGCATGATTATATTGTCAGTTTTTCTTTCCTATTACGAAAAAAAAACACAGACAATTTCAGTTTTCCAAATTTCAAACAGTTATGGACAAAATAAAAACAAATTTCATCCTCCTGTAATTCAGACTCGGAGACCTTGTTTAATGTCATCCAATTATATGTCAGGAAAACTCCCTAGGGGTATAACAGTATTCCAGCTATATCATGGCGTGTCAGCTTAAATTGGGAGGAAAGCCCGAAATGATGCAGGTCTCAGACGTTTACCACTTCGGTGAAACCCACGAGCACGGGTATGGTGCTGACAAACCTAGAAACATAATCAGGGCGAACCGGGATTCAAACCCTCAATCATAGATTTCTGGTGTACCCAAGGGACATAACTCTGCACAGAGAATCACAGCACCTTAGACGACTGGGCCACCCGTGCCCCCCATATCAGGTATGAAGTCTTGAACATCTGTCATAAGCAAATGGGTGAGAAAACCAATTGTGTCAGAAGTCAAATTTGAGCAAACACATAAAGCATGCGTTTAACATAATAAATAGTAAACATAAGACATAGATGAGAACAATTTTTGCACTAGTGCACCTGTAGGGAAAGCATGGACCCAGCGTCTGCGGTTTGATGTCATCTTGAAGCGCATCCTGGATGGTGCAAAGGGGTTGATGAGGGCCCTCTGGGGTCGAAAGTTCTGCAGCCGATGTGAGAAGCCGACCGGGGATCCCGCACTGCCGACCACGGGACGAGTGTACAGGAACTCCTCGCTCTCGGAGGAGTTAACAGACTCGCGACTCAGGGTCTTTTCTGAAGATAACGAGCAGATGAATTTGATCAATACAGGATTTTCCACACCACACTGGTATGTTTGTTGTTTAATGCTGCACTCAGTTTAAAACAAGCTATATAACAGAGGCCTGGAGATAATTAAATCTGGACAATGATCCATGCCATCGGAGTTTGATGACAAGTAATCAACCAAGTCACCAGGCATGATCATCTCGTCAATTTAGTCTAACAACCAGTTCTAACACGGAATCTTCACAGGGATTATTTAAAGGGCAAGTTCACACGGAAATGAACCTATTTTTCTTGTACTTTTTCCACATTAAAAGTGTTAACCTAGAAGTGTCATAGACAAAAATATAAAAATATCACAATTAATTAACATATTTTTCGCATTAAAACGATTTATATTTTTCACATTTACCAAGTGTTCTATTTCCACAACAAAAACACCATGGCTTATGCCCCTTGCAATATGACGTCATTGGTGCCAATTGATAAACATTATGACGTCATCATGCTTTGTTAGAGCCGCTTCACGTGGTGTAGGTCCAGGTGTGTGATTCTAGCGTCTCAGATGCCAGCCAGCATACTGTTATGCTGAGTCACCACTGCGCCGGAGTGTGCCGTAGGCCATGTTGTTTTACCGCAAACTGGTACTTGATATCTTTTGCGTTGAGAATAGACAGGGACCCAGTTGAATTGGCACCAATTACGTCATAATCTAAGGGGGATAACTCAGGCCTGTTTAGCTAGAAAAACGAAGGCCTCATAACGGCATATCATTTTCACACTATTGTGAGCTTCCTACTTTCACTGTGAAAAAAATGAGTGTATATTTTCAAACACAGATACTAATTAATTCTAAAATTGCGTTTTGTTTAGAAAAAGAAAGAAAGTGATTTTTGCGTGTACACTTCCCCTTTAATGAGCTAGAGATACAGGCTAATCAAGAGTTGGTGCAAGTCAGAGGAAAAGGGAGGTGAGGTGAAATGGGGTTCAACATTGCGTTCAAGATTATTGCACTTATATAGCAAAATGCATGCACGTGTGTGTGAGTGTGTGGCTGCTTGTACGAGTCTGGAGTAATGCCAATTTTATAGCGCCAGCCCACTGAGATACCATGACCAGTTTTAACATGAATACCCCATTCAGACACAGTATACTGACTCCGAGCCGACCAGTCCTTGTTTTAGACTCTTAATGCCGAGCGCCAGGCAGGGTAACAAAAAAGTACCATCTTTTAACAACTTTCAGTATGACACGGACGTGGATCTGCTCTCTGGCGGACACACCAACACTAGACTACAGAGGTGGCCTGTGGGGAGAGAGGGGGAGAGTCACTGAGTACTCAGGACTGGGGAATAACTCACACTAACCTACACGTTGACAAACAAGCTCACCAAAGATGGGATAACATCCAGCTGACTGCGAGAGATCTTCTCCCATGAGAGACCTAGATGGAATCCCTACGGCCGAGGAGGACGACTTCTTCACCACCTTGTCTGCACAGTGTTCCATGAAGTCATCGGAGATGTGCCTGATCCGGGATCCCGGCATGCCCTGGCCGGCATCAGTGGTAGACTTGCAGTTACGTCTGCGGGCGTGGGTGCCGTAGAAACTCGAACTGCGGCCAGAGCTGAAAGGAACATGTTTGTTTGTTAGTCAGTTCTTTAACACCTCACTCAGCAATATTCCAGCTACATGATAGCAGTCTGTAAATTATTCAGTCTCGACTAGACAATCCAGTGATTAACATCATGAGCATCGATTTACGCAACTGGGATACGATGACATGCATTAACCAAGTCAGTGAGCCTGACCACCTGATCCCATTCGCCTCTTGTGACAACCTCTGGTCGCTGAAAACCAAGTCTAACGCTGATCTTCACAGGGAGAGAAAGGAACATGCAGTATTGGAAAGTGGTTGCTGGCATTTAGTTTTGCTGCTAGAGTATTTAAATCATTAAGGTTGTAACAGTAGTGTGGTATTATTTTTAGAGGCTAGATATAGGCAAGGTTGCCTCCCTTTTGAAGCTCTCTGTGTGCAGAGAGAATAATTTAACTTCTGTTTCACCTCTGATGGTGCGAAACTGACCATGCAATGTACTAAGAACGGCTTCAGTGGGTGTATGCTTGAGATATCTATGTATTTTCACAAAACTACCGTTCCTGTAATTACGAAATGCATAGACAAACTGATTTGTGCTGATGACAACGACCGGCAACAACTTCGACAAAGATGATAACCTATTGACTTTCAGGTTTAACTTCAAACACTAATTAGGGATAATCTCTCACCAGTAAGTCAATGTCATAAGTCTGAGTATCTTTGTTACCAATGGTGAAATTCAATCAATTTACAAATATTACAAATGGCTCCTGGTCATTGACCAGTTTGAAATCAGCTATGCTGAGTCTTAAATCCCCAAATGAGACCTTTCCCCTTCGAACACTTACACGGCTCTGGGTGCTGTCCTGGACGGAAGTTTGAACACCTGAGCATCATACTCATCATAATCAACAAAGGGGAACTTGTCATCGTCCGCATCATTGGAAGTGTTCACCAGTGCTGGATGCAAAAAAAAAGAGTTCAACCATGAAACGTGTCTGTGCTGATTTTTATTCAGAAATGTTGTAGCTATGTTGTGGAAATATCAAAGAGAGGAAAGTGAAGTATAAATTGTGGGCCTAAACTACCGCTAATGGGCCCAGATGGCCCAGTAGCCCAAGGCACCACAATTCACGGTGCAAAGTTGTGTCCCTTGGCCATGTCAGGAAACAACGATTGTAGGTTTTAAACTAGATTGGTCATTCTGTTTCTTAGTTTGTCAGCAAATACCCATGCTTGTTGGTTTCACCAAAGAGGTAAACCTCTCACATCAAGCTGACATACTGAGACATAACTAAAATATTGTAAAAGCAGCATTTAACATTTCTCACTGACTGGCTCCATTACAGAACATAGACGTCTAAGACCTACATCACATCAGGCTTTCCTTCCACATGATGCTGGGGGCACGGGTGGCCCAGTCGTCTAAGGCACCACGATTCGCTGTGCAGAGTTGCGTCCCTTAGGCACGCCAGAAACCTATGATTGTGGGTTCGAATCCCAGTTCGCCCCGATTATGTTTCTAGGTTTGTCAGCACCATACCCGTGCTCGTGGGTTTCATCGAAGTGGTAAATGTCTGAGACCTGCATCACTTCGGGCTTTCCTCCCACATTAAGCTGACACGCCACGATATAACTGGAATATTGTTAAAAGCGGCGTTAAACCCAACTCACTCACTTACTCCACATGATACTAACTATGATTTACCTAAAATACTGATCAAAGCGGCATTCAAACCAACTGATGCACACTACCCCTTTGCACTTCTGTTACCAGAAGGGGACCTGTTGCATATGGCTGCTATATTGTGAGGTGAGGTGAGGTGAGGTGAGGTGAGGTGAGGTGAGGTGAAATCGGGTTTTACGTCGCGTCCAAGATTATTGCACTTATATAGCTACGTGCATGTACGTGTGTGTATGACTGCTTGTACTAGTCCGGACTCATGCGGATATATAGTGCTAGCACACTGAGATACCATGCCGCAGTTATACATGAATACCCCACTCAGACACAGTTAACTGACTCCGAGCTGACCAGTCCTTGTTTTATCCCCTTAATGCCGAGCGCCAGACAGGGTAACAACAAGTACCATCTTTTAACGTCTTTTGGTATGGCGCGGCCGGGGATCGAACCCCGGACCTTCCGCTCTCCGGGCGGACGCTCTACCGCTAGACCAAGGAGGCGGTCCTGCTATATTGTGACTAACTGCTCTCATCAGCTTAATACCCTACCTAATTCTACTCCACTCTTTAAACTCGCAAGTATATTTACAACTAATTAGAAGAAATGAGAGAAAAAGATTTTAGAATAATTGTGCTGCTTACCTATTTCATTATTTTCTGGTTCCTTGGCCAGGAATTCAAGCTGAAAAACAAAAATGTAAATTTTACAATAAATTGTATATTAATAATATTTATCCTATCTCACACTGCATTTCTCTTTCTCCTTTCATTCCTAAGTGGAAACGTGCCTAAACAAAGGTTTCCAGCTTCTTACAAAACAATTCACCCGTATACACCCAGTATCACCATGGTCACCTCCCAGCAATCTGGGTCATGCGTGCTTTATTTGCCGGTTACCCCACGAGCGCTGAACACATGGTTTCCCCCGCCAGCTCATTCTCTTTCTGGAGCTTAATAGGCTAGAGGAATTGTGATGCAGCAAGGCCGTAGTTAACTTTTTTTGACAGGGGGGGCAAATATATGTACAAGTATCACTTGTCCCCAAATTGATTCAAATAAAACTGTTTTCTATAAAAAATCCAGGGGGGGCAATTGCCCACCCTGCCCCCCTGGCTGGCTACGGCACTGTGCAGGGATGGACGGGTGGGCACGTTGCGTGTGAGATAGGATAAGTCCCCAATTTGGTACAGGAAAATCTCCTTATTCTCATTACAATATAGAAAGGTAAAAACATTCATGTCATCATCACATTTGGAAAAACAGCTTCTGAGATAAAAAGATACATGAAGGTAATCATGAATAAATAAATTCTGTGGCATTTGATTGGCTAACCCAGCAATATATTCTGTGTTAATGTTTCCCTAAACCGAAAAAAGATTAGGCCATGCCCACTCATTAACTTCTGTTTCCTGATTGGTTGATAATAGAATGGGTGTGGCTTGTGTTGAATCATAGCGCTGAACGATGTGAATGATGTCACAGTTTTGTGTGTGTTATCATTAAATATGCAGTCTGTGAACTTATTTTAGTGACATATTTATTTATAAGAATTAACTTCAATATGTATTTGCGTTTATCGAGTTTTAAACATAAAAAAGGTGTGCACAATTTGCCTAAATCTGCTAAAATGATTTACACAGTTTGCACACGGGTTTTTAATTTTATACCTCCATAAACACAAAATATATTGAAGTCAGTTTAACAAGAATACCCCACTCAGACACAGTGTACTGACTCTGAGCTGACCAGTCATTGTTTGAGCCCCTTAATGCCAGCAAGTAACACTCACCACTTCCGGAGGGGGTTTGATCCGTGGCACAAACATAGGGCTCACTCACCACTTCCGGATGGGGTTTGATCAGCATCACAAACATAGGGCTCACTCACCACTTCCGAAGGGGGTTTGATCCGTGGCACAAACATAGGGCTCACTCACCACTTCCGGAGGGGGTTTGATCCGTGGCACAAACATACCACTCACTCACCACTTCCGGAGGGGGTTTGATCCGTGGCACAAACATACCACTCTCACAACTTCCGGAGGGGGTTTGATCCACGGCACAAACATAGGACTCACTCACCACTTCTGGAGGGGGTTTGATCCGAGGCACAAACATATGACTCACTCACCACTTCTGGAGGGGGTTTGATCCATGGCACAAATATAGGGCTCACTCACCACTTCTGGAGGGGGTTTGATCCGTGGCACAAACATAGGGCTCACTCACCACTTCCGGAGGGGGTTTGATCCGTGGCACAAACATAGGGCTCACTCACCACTTCCGGAGGGGGTTTGATCCGCAGCACAAACATACCACTCACTCACCACTTCCGGAGGGGGTTTGATCTGCGGCACAAACATAGGGCTCACTCACCACTTCCGGAGGGGGTTTGATCCGTGGCACAAACATAGGACTCACTCACCACTTCCGGAGGGGGTTTCATCAGCGTCACAAACATAGGGCTCACTCACCACTTCCGGAGGGGTTTTTTTTCTCGGGCACAAACATAGGGCTCACTCACCACTTCCGGAGGGGTTTTGATCCATGGCACAAACATAGGACTCACTCACACTTCTGGAGGGGGTTTGATCCATGGCACAAACATAGGACTCACTCACCACTTCTGGAGGGGGTTTGATCCATGGCACAAACATAGGACTCACTCACAACTTCTGGAGGGGGTTTGATCCATGGCACAAACATAGGGCTCACTCACCACTTCCGGAGGGGGTTTCATCAGCGTCACAAACATAGGGCTCACTCACCACTTCCGGAGGGGTTTTTTTTCTCGGGCACAAACATAGGGCTCACTCACCACTTCCGGAGGGGGTTTGATCCATGGCACAAACATAGGACTCACTCACACTTCTGGAGGGGGTTTGATCCATGGCACAAACATAGGACTCACTCACCACTTCTGGAGGGGGTTTGATCCATGGCACAAACATAGGACTCACTCACAACTTCTGGAGGGGGTTTGATCCATGGCACAAACATAGGGCTCACTCACCACTTCCGGAGGGGGTTTGATCTGTGGCACAAACATAGGGCTCACTCACCACTTCTGGAGGTGGTTTGATCCATGGCACAAACAAAGGGCTCACTCACCTCTTCCGGAGGGGGTTTGATCCACGGCACAAACATAGGGCTCACTCTCCACTTCCGGAGGGGGTTTGATCCGCGGCACAAACATAGGGCTCACTCACACTTCCGGAGGGGGTTTGATCCACGGCACAAACATAGGACTCACTCACCACTTCTGGAGGGGGTTTGATCCGAGGCACAAACATAGGACTCACTCACCACTTCAGTAGGGGGTTTGATCTGTGGCACAAACATAGGGACTCACTCACCACTTCTGGAGGGGGTTTGATCCACGGCACAAACATAGGACTCACTCACCACTTCCGGAGGGGGTTTGATCCGAGGCACAAACATAGGGCTCACTCACCACTTCTGGTGGGGGTTTGATCCGAGGCACAAACATGGGACTCACTCACCACTTCTGGAGGGGGTTTGATCCATGGCACTAACATAGGGCTCACTCACCACTTCTGAAGGGGGTTTCATCAGAGGCACAAACATAGGACTCACTCACCACTTCCGGAGGGGGTTTGATCCACAGCACAAACATAGGGCTCACTCACACTTCTGGAGGGGGTTTGATCCGAGGCACAAACATAGGACTCACTCACCACTTCTGGAGGGGGTTTGATCTGAGGCACAAATATAGGCCTCACTCACCACTTCTGGAGGGGGTTTGATCCGTGGCACAAACATAGGGCTCACTCACCACTTCCGGAGGGGGTTTGATCCGAGGCACAAACATAGGACTCACTCACCACTTCTGGAGGGGGTTTGATCCGAGGCACAAACATAGGACTCACTCACCACTTCCGGAGGGGGTTTGATCCACGGCACAAACAAAGGGCTCACTCACCTCTTCCGGAGGGGGTTTGATCCACGGCACAAACATAGGGCTCACTCTCCACTTCCGGAGGGGGTTTGATCCGCGGCACAAACATAGGGCTCACTCACACTTCCGGAGGGGGTTTGATCCACGGCACAAACATAGGACTCACTCACCACTTCTGGAGGGGGTTTGATCCGAGGCACAAACATAGGACTCACTCACCACTTCAGTAGGGGGTTTGATCTGTGGCACAAACATAGGGACTCACTCACCACTTCTGGAGGGGGTTTGATCCGAGGCACAAACATAGGACTCACTCACCACTTCTTGAGGGGGTTTGATCCGAGGCACAAACATAGGGCTCACTCACCACTTCTGGTGGGGGTTTGATCCGAGGCACAAACATGGGACTCACTCACCACTTCTGGAGGGGGTTTGATCCATGGCACTAACATAGGGCTCACTCACCACTTCTGGAGGGGGTTTCATCAGAGGCACAAACATAGGACTCACTCACCACTTCCGGAGGGGGTTTGATCCACGGCACAAACATAGGGCTCACTCACACTTCTGGAGGGGGTTTGATCCGAGGCACAAACATAGGACTCACTCACCACTTCTGGAGGGGGTTTGATCCGAGGCACAAATATAGGACTCACTCACCACTTCTGGAGGGGGTTTGATCCGTGGCACAAACATAGGGCTCACTCACCACTTCCGGAGGGGGTTTGATCCGAGGCACAAACATAGGACTCACTCACCACTTCCGGAGGGGGTTTGATCTGTGGCACAAACATAGGGCTCACTCACCACTTCCGGAGGGGGTTTGATCCATGGCACAATCATAGGACTCACTCACCACTTACGAGGGGGTTTGATCCATGGCACAAACATAGGACTCACTCACCACTTCCGAAGGGGGTTTGATCCGTGGCACAAACATAGGGCTCACTCACACTTCTGGAGGGGGTTTGATCAGAGGCACAAACATAGGACTCACTCACCACTTCCGGAGGGGGTTTGATCCATGGCACAAACATAGGACTCACTCACCACTTCCGGAGGGGGTTTGATCCGAGGCACAAACATAGGACTCACTCACCACTTCCGGAGGGGGTTTGATCCACGGCACAAACATAGGACTCACTCACCCTCCTGGAGGGGGTTTGATCCGAGGCACAAACATAGGACTCACTCACCACTTCCGGAGGGGGTTTGATCCATGGCACAAACATAGGACTCACTCACCACTTCTGGAGGGGGTTTGATCCGTGGCACAAACATAGGGCTCACTCACCACTTCTGGAGGGGGTTTGATCCGTGGCACAAACATAGGGCTCACTCACCACTTCCGGAGGGGGTTTGATCTGCGGCACAAACATAGGGCTCACTCACCACTTCTGGAGGGGGTCTGATCCGTGGCACAAACATAGGACTCACTCACCACTTCTGGAGGGGGTTTGATCCGTGGCACAAACATAGGGCTCACTCACCACTTCCGGAGGGGGTTTGATCTGCGGCACAAACATAGGGCTCACTCACCACTTCTGGAGGGGGTTTGATCCGTGGCACAAACATAGGGCTCACTCACCACTTCCGGAGGGGGTTTGATCCGCGTCACAAACATAGGGCTCACTCACCACTTCCGGAGGGGGTTTGATCCGTGGCACAAACGAGGAGTTGAAATGAGTCTGGATTTGGTTCTTGGATGTGTAGAAACTGAAACAAGTGGCAGCAGCAATCTAAGATAGTTTTCACATGAGGCACCTAGTACATCTCTAGATCTAGACATGAAATAAGATTCAAAATGAGTCTCTGTAAAGCTGGGAATGGCACTTTTACAAATGACAAATGGAAATGATTATTGACGACTGAAGACTACCCATTCGATCAACTAGATGTAACTAGTTTCCCAGAGAGATACCTTGTCTACAGTAACGTGAAGCCCTGTGAGTGGATACTCTGTTAATATGGAAACCCTGCACTACTTTTTCTGAAAACCCTGCACTACTTTTTCTGAAAACCCTGCACTACTTTTTCTGAAAACCCTGCACTACTTTTTCTGAAAACCCTGCACTACTTTTTCAGGGAATCTCCCTGTCATTTCTATTGCCAAGCCCATCTTCCCAGAGCAAGGGAGTTAACGGACTGTAAAAGTTCAGTTTGCACCCTTGCCAAACAATGCTGGAAGTACTGGGATTGATCGTAGCGCCACATATGGCTATTACAAGTTCTGTCCATTCAATGTCCCCTCTTTGGAACAATCAGATTTCACATTTTATATCATTTGCATTAAAAACAAGAAATGATTTTGAAAATATATGTTGATGTACAGTACAGTACACATGTTTTGCAAATCCTGAAAATTGACCGAAATCTTCACAACACCTAACGAACCGGATGTCGATTTTGTAACGCGATTTCTTTTATCTGATTGTGCACAGACTGGTTTGTACAGCCAAAATATAACTCCATAATTCCAGCCTAGTTCGGCAAGGGTAAAACTGGACTTTTGTGATCAGTTAACTCCCTTGCCTAGAGAAGTTGGGCCAAGCTAGGAATGTACATATCATTTTGGCGGCTCTTGAAATACCAGCATGTATTTCTGAGAGAACGGTCTGTCCAGGATCACACATATCGTTTTTACATCCTTGCAAACGTCGACCATGTTTTGCTCCAGAATACCAGACTTTGCAACACATATTCCATAGTTTGCATGTAAATAAAAGAATTGGTAAAAATATCTCATATTTCTGAAATGAAGTCCTGATGATATCAATATGATCACCCAAAGATGAATGATTGAAATATCAATCTGTAAAAGTCATCACAGAATATAAGGAAGGAATTGTCAAAAAGGGAGTGCAAATTTGGTCTGTTTCATCCCAATCTGATTGTGCTCTCGAAAAAGATACAGGTAATGATTTAGGTGTGAAGGTCTAATTGGTAGTGTCCAGATTAACAGGGTTTTGCTGTACAGAGAGTGATGGCGATACCTGTGGTTCATCCAGTGAGGGATGTTGTAGTCGTCGCCCACCTCCAGGCAGTTCTTGGCATTCTTGCTGTGGAACTGAAGCAGACGACAACAAACAACAGTCAAGTGAGGGAAGCTATAATCTTTTAGAGAGAGTTTTGTTACTGGTACCAAATTTCAGGCCAGAAGGTTGAATTTGTCAAAGACAGGCTGTCTTTGGGGAAACTGGAAACTTCTTCTTTTTTTTTCCATAAGGGTTAAAGAAATAAGCCTTATTTGTTAAAAAACCAAACATACTTCACCAGTTTTGTTTGTTTGTTTGCTGCACTCAGCAATATTCCAGCTATATGACGACAGTCTGTTATAAATCGTAAGTCTGGACCACAAAATTCAGTGACTGACATCCATCTACGCAATTGAGATACGATGACATGCATCAACCAAGTCAGCAAGCCTCACCACCCGATCCCGTTAGTCGCCTCTTACGGCAAGCATAGTCGCCTCTTACGGCAAGCCTGGGTTGCTGAAGACGTATTCTACCCCGGATCTTCACGGGTCTATTTCACCAGTACTATTGATTCATGAAGCAGCGTGCTAAATGTAGTGACAGATATGTGTCACGCGGGTAATTCCCTGACCTTGAAGAGTGGCGCAGCATGCAGTGGTTGTTCTCCCATACAGACCAGGTCACTGCCCACACCTGAAGCACAGACAGACATGCTGGCCAATAATAATATCATCATCATAACAACAACAACAACAACAACAACAGTGTGCTCTGAAAAGTAATTCTCAACTCCCTGGGGAGTATACAACCCAAGCTGCCTGTGAGGCATTAAAAGGTAAGAATTCACATTACCATCTCATCCTACCAGGTACCCATATACTAATGGGTGAACAGAGGCATATCTCAAAGTCACTTGCCTCAGGAGACACCTAAAGTAACATGTGTCACAGTGTGGGGCTGGACTGAAGCTCTCAGGAGTCCAGCTCTACTTGGTCATACACCCACCTACTTCCCGTGACAAATGTTGTTTAACTTTGCTAGGAAAGACCTGTTTCTCCAAGGTCAATATAATCAGGTCCATTACTCTTGAGGTCGGTTCAGGGTGAAACGTCCTAATCAGCCAACTGAGTGAGTGATGCATTCAAACAAGCATATCTGATTTCTGTACCTCAACAATGAACAAGTTTGGGGGTTTCCAAATGCAAATAAATAAAGCTGGATTATTGTATTGTTGTAGATATTTAATACCTCCTGTTGTTTCTGAGCGCCATGACATATAGATCCAAAAGGATCCACTACAGAGGGTATACTTGTGTTCTGTGGCATTTTATGGTGCTAAGATTGAAATTTCCAAAAGAGGTGACAAAGAAATGAAGTTGAATCGTTTCAGAAAGCTGACATCTGATTGGCTCAGGAACCCCCGCATCCTTCATTTAGACTGTGCAGTCAGAGGTGAGGTGGGGTGAAATGGGGTTTAACGTCGCGTCCAAGATTATTGCACTTACATAGCGACGTGCATGTACGTGTGTGTGTTTGTGTGGCTGCTTGTACTAGTCCGGACTGATGCCGATTTATAGTGCTAGCTCACTGAGATACCATGCCGCAGTTAAACATGAATACCCCACTCAGACACAGTATACTGACTCCGAGCCAACCAGTCCTTGTTTTAGCTCCTTAATGCCGAGCGCCAGACAGGGTAACAACAAGTACCATCTTTTAACGTCTTTTGGTATGACGCGGTCAGGGATCGAACCCCGGACCTCCACTCTCCAGGCGGACGCTCTACCATTAGACCACGGAGGCGGTCTCTGTGCACTCAGAGTTCGCACACCTGTACTGGGCCCCTGTCAATACTCACCAGTCAATAGTCCTCTGTTTGGTGATGTTGGTCAGCTCCCGGTCCACCTCAAACACCCCTGTACTGGGCCCCTACCAATACTCACCAGTCAATAGTCCTCTGTTTGGTGATGTTGGTCAGCTCCCGGTCCACCTCAAACACCCCTGTACTGGGCCCCTACCAATACGCACCAGTCAATAGTCCTCTGTTTGGTGATGTTGGTCAGCTCCCGGTCCACCTCAAACACACCTGTACTGGGCCCCTGTCAATACTCACCAGTCAATAGTCCTCTGTTTGGTGATGTTGGTCAGCTCCCGGTCCACCTCAAACACCCCTGTACTGGGCCCCTGTCAATACTCACCACAGTCAATAGTCCTCTGTTTGGTGATGTTGGTCAGCTCCCGGTCCACCTTAAACACACCTGTACTGGGGCCCCGTCAATACTCACCACAGTCAATAGTCCTCTGTTTGGTGATGTTGGTCAGCTCCCGGTCCACCTCAAACACCCCTGTACTGGGACCCTGTCAATACTCACCACAGTCAATAGTCCTCTGTTTGGTGATGTTGGTCAGCTCCCGGTCCACCTCAAACACCCCTGTACTGGGCCCCTGTCAATACTCACCAGTCAATAGTCCTCTGTTTGGTGATGTTGGTCAGCTCCCGGTCCACCTCAAACACCCCTGTACTGGGCCCCTGTCAATACTCACCACAGTCAATAGTCCTCTGTTTGGTGATGTTGGTCAGCTCCCGGTCCACCTCAAACACCCCTGTACTGGGACCCTGTCAATACTCACCACAGTCAATAGTCCTCTGTTTGGTGATGTTGGTCAGCTCCCGGTCCACCTCAAACACCCCTGTACTGGGCCCCTGTCAATACTTACCACAGTCAATAGTCCTCTGTTTGGTGATGTTGGTCAGCTCCCGGTCCACCTCAAACACCCCTGTACTGGGCCCCTGTCAATACTTACCACAGTCAATAGTCCTCTGTTTGGTGATGTTGGTCAGCTCCCGGTCCACCTCAAACACCCCTGTACTGGGACCCCGCCAATACTCACCAGTCAATAGTCCTCTGTTTGGTGATGTTGGTCAGCTCCCGGTCCACCTCAAACACCCCTGTACTGGGACCCCGCCAATACTCACCACAGTCAATAGTCCTCTGTTTGGTGATGTTGGTCAGCTCCCGGTCCACCTCAAACACCCCTGTACTGGGCCCCTGTCAATACTCACCACAGTCAATAGTCCTCTGTTTGGTGATGTTGGTCAGCTCCCGGTCCACCTCAAACACCCCTGTACTGGGACCCTGTCAATACTCACCACAGTCAATAGTCCTCTGTTTGGTGATGTTGGTCAGCTCCCGGTCCACCTCAAACACCCCTGTACTGGGCCCCTGTCAATACTTACCACAGTCAATAGTCCTCTGTTTGGTGATGTTGGTCAGCTCCCGGTCCACCTCAAACACCCCTGTACTGGGCCCCTGTCAATACTTACCACAGTCAATAGTCCTCTGTTTGGTGATGTTGGTCAGCTCCCGGTCCACCTCAAACACCCCTGTACTGGGACCCCGCCAATACTCACCAGTCAATAGTCCTCTGTTTGGTGATGTTGGTCAGCTCCCGGTCCACCTCAAACACCCCTGTACTGGGACCCCGCCAATACTCACCACAGTCAATAGTCCTCTGTTTGGTGATGTTGGTCAGCTCCCGGTCCACCTCAAACACCCCTGGCCCTGGCGTGATCACCACGGACACTTTCCCCGTCCGGTCAAAGTTACGGTCAAGGTAGTAGTTCTCAAACACTGGAAGTAAAGGACATCACGCAGGACATGCCATTAGGAATGTTTGTTTGTTTGTTTGTTTGTTTGTTTGTCTGTTGTTTAAAGTCACACTCAGCAATATTCCAGCTATATGACGGCGGACTGTCAATAATCAAGTCAGAACCAGACAATCCAGTGATTCTACCCCGGATCTTCACGGGTTCCATTATGAATGAACAAGCTTTGACTTGCAAGGTTACATTGTTCAACTGTGGTCAAACATCGACTGACACTCATCTCCTTTAATGCAGCCTCATTTTGTCTAGTTATCACATACAGTCTAGTTATCACATACTGTCTAGGTATCATATACTGTCTAGTTATCACATACAGTCTAGTCATCACATACTGTCTAGTAATTGCATGTGGTCTAGTTGTCAAATAATGTCCAAATAATTTTTTTAAAAATCCCAAATTATCAAAAGGCACCAGTTCACCACTAGACCTATCTATGTACCAAGTTTGGTTAGGATATCTCTCGTGTTTCTTTAGTTCTGCTCCGGAAACGAAATGTAAGGGACGGACAGACTGACTGATGGATAGACAGACAGCCAGTACCAATTCCTATATACCCCTTCCACTTTGACGCGGGGAATAGTAACCCTATGGTGTAAGAGCTATGCATCAGTACAGCCCAACTCACAGTTCAGGGACATGTTGAGAGTTTCCAGGAAGTTGCCCTGAGCTGCCTTCGAGTTCCAGGCCGGCGGCATCCGAAAACCCCGCTGCTTATGGTAGTGCAGCACTCGCATCTGATACCGGTTGAAGTACTTGCGCAGCAGCTTCAGGGTGTTGGTCCACTCTTCATAGCGTTCATTCTGGATCACAACCCTAGAACACAAGCCAGTCATCAAGCATTCTGCAACACCACAAGGCTTGACGGCCATGCAAATTCTTAAATCCCATAAAATTTGAAAGAGAAGGAGCAAATAACGATGTTATCCTGAAAGTGTTTTGAATTTATAACGTCAGAGTCCAGTCAGAGTAGATAACTCTTGGCAAAACAAACATATGCATTTATTCTTTGTAGGTGTTAAATGTAAGATTTAACAAAGTTTAACATATCTATATCAACTACAGAGAGTGTGTGATAAACAATACCTGTAGAAGTCTTCATAGATCCGGCCTTGGTAGTCGACCTGAAGACACTCTTGCACCTCCGTGGGGAAGTCATCTGAGTCAGACAGTGAAAACACATGTACTGGTTTGGTTGTTTGTTTGTTGTTTAACGCCGCACTCAGCAATATTCCAGCTATATGATGGCGGTCTGTAGAATAATCAAGTCTGGACCAGACAATCCAGTGATTGACATCATGAGCATCGATCCACGCAATTGGGATCGATGACATGTATCAACCAAGTCAGTGAGCCTGACCATCCGATCCCCTTAGTCGCCTTTTACGACAAGCATAGTCGCCTTTTACGGCAAGCATGGGTTGCTGAAGACCTATTCTAACCCGGAATCTTCACGGGTCACATGTACTGGTAGTAAGACACATAGGGCCTGACATTAACACTAGCCCACTGACCTGAGTGAGTGAGTATGGTTTTACGCCGCTTTAAGCAACATTCCAGGGGCAGGGGACACCAGAAATGGGCTTCACATATTGTACCCATGTTGGGAATCGAACCCGGGTCTTCGGCGTGATGAGCGAACGCTTTAACCACTAGGCTACCCGACCGCGCCCCCCCACTGACCTGAACATTTCTACATGGGTTTGCTTATTGGTTTCAACATGTTTGTTTGTTGTTTAATGCTGCACTTATCAGTATTCCAGCTACATGACAGCGGTCTGTAAATAATCAAGTCTTGACCAGACTATCCAATGATTGATACTGTGAACAACAATCCACGGCGTCAGTGTACGATGACACACCATCAACCAATAAATTGATTCTGACACTCTAATCCATTTGGTCGCTTCTTACAACCAGCATATGTTGCTGGAGGCCTATTCTAACCCAGAATCCCAAGGAATGAAATTGTCGTCTTCAATGAATATCATCCAGAATGCAGATATCATCAAGGGACGGGGTAACTCACCAAGGGACGGGTAACTCAACAAGGGACCAAGTAACTCACCAAGGGATGGGGTGTGGGGTTCGGGGGGTGGGGGTGTGTGTGTGGAATACCAAGGGACCAGGTACCTCAAAAAGGGTTGGGGGGAAACACCAAGGGACCAGGTAACTCACCAAGGGACCAGGTATCTCACCAAGGGATGGGGGGAAACACCAAGGGACCAGGTAACTCACCAAGGGACCAGGTAACTCACCAAGGGATTTGGGGAAATACCAAGGGACCAGGTAACTCACCAAGGGACGAGGGGAAACACCAAGGGACCAGGTAACTCAACAAGGGACCAGGTAACTCACCAAGGGATTGGGGGAAATACCAAGGGACCAGGTAACTCACCAAGGGATTGGGGGAAATACCAAGGGACCAGGTAACTCACCAAGGGACGAGGGGAAACACCAAGGGACCAGGTAACTCAACAAGGGACCAGGTAACTCAACAAGGGACCAGGTAACTCACCAACGGACGGGGGGAAACACCAAGGGACCAGGTAACTCACCAAGGGACCAGGTAACTCAACAAGGGACCAGGTAACTCACCAAGGGACCAGGTAACTCACCAAAGGACGGGGGGAAACATCAAGGGACCAGGTAACTCAACAAGGGACCAGGTAACTCACCAACGGACGGGGGGAAACACCAAGGGACCAGGTAACTCACCAAGGGACCAGGTAACTCAACAAGGGACCAGGTAACTCACCAAGGGACCAGGTAACTCACCAAAGGACGGGGGGAAACACCAAGGGACCAGGTAACTCACCAAGGGACCAGGTAACTCAACAAGGGACCAGGTAACTCACCAAGGGACCAGGTAACTCAACAAGGGACTGGGTGACTCAACAAGGGACCGGGTTACTCACCAAGGGACCGGGTAACTAACTAAGGGACCGGGTAACTAACTAAGGGACTGGGTAACTCACCAAGGGTTTGGGGGACTCGCCAATGGACGGGGGGAAACACCAAGGGACCGAGTAACTCACCAAGGGACCGGGCTCCATAGAATGTCCTTGAGAAGAGTACAATAGTAACATCATGGCAACAGTTTTGATCCTGGAAGGAAATAAAAGAAAAGGCCTTCCTCAAATATCTCAACATAGACATGAAGCATTACTTCAAAGATCCTCACATGTGAACTAAGTTCAGCTTAACCACAATGGTCTGTATACATGGCGCATGTCAAGGGTGATTAATTATTCAAACAAAGAGTGAAACACGCAAGTGAATCTGGTATGTAACAGTCAGCTCTAGTGACAGCAGTTATCTAGGAACTAAGTGTCCCAAACAATTGCAATTTTGTTCAAAATTAGGATTTTTATAAGTTCTTATTTGTTACAATTCAGAGGTTACACTTCACGGTATATTAACACTACAGTTGATGAAGTGATGTCAAACTAAACATGAAAGCCTCTTCTTCTGTATTGGCCGTTATTCATGTGTACAAATCACCTCTACCAAGCCATCCCATTAGATACAACTATACAGTGTATGTAGAAACATCACTTTGGAAAGTCGCAATTCTTATTTCAGGATTTTTACTGACACTTGATGCAGATTTGGGGCCGAATATCAGCCTCTCAGCAGCTCTAGATAATCACTGGCTGCAGCTACATCAACGTGACAACGTCTGTATCAGCATCAGCAACAACCCACGTCTTTGACGTAACACATAATCTGCCAGTTTACAAGTAATAGTGAGGGAGTTGGGTTTAACGCCGCTTTTAACATTATTCCAGTTATATCGTGCAGTGGCAGCTTAATGTGTGAGGAAAGCCCGGAATGATGCAGGTCTCAGACGTTTACCACTTCGGGGAAACCCACGAACATGGGTATGGTGCTGACAAACCTAGAAACATAATCAGGGTGAACTGGGAATCGAACCCACAATCATAGGTTTCTGACGTGCCCAAGGGACGCAACTCTGCACATCGAATCGCAGCGCCTTAGATGACTGGCCCACCCGTGCCCCCCTTTACAAGTATTAAGTATACCTGATTGTTGCTTTATTTGCTATAAGGAAAAGTTTGGGTATTTGCCCCCGAATCCTCATAGTTGATCAGATGTTCAGATTTATTCCAAACCTAGCACACTGACTGATTCTTATCCAACAAGGTAATGACATAAAACAGAATGTCCATCAAAAACATCACAGAACATCCTATTGCCATGTGTCTCCAGGATAATACCCAAATGATCTTACATATTATTCATGACATGGACTTACCTTCCACTTAGCAAAGAGATCAGTGAGGAAGCCGTTGACCGCCTTCTCGAAGTACAGATCACCATTGATGTCGAAGTCCCACATCTCCGTGCTCATCTGTATGAAGATCTGTACCACGGCTGTAGATGATCTGAAGACAATCTGCAGACAGGCAGGGAATACTCACATACACGAGTCATGAAAAGCTTTCATAAAACACAAGTAGGAAGATATGAAAATCAGTAAAGAAATCACACATATACTTTTCTTGTGAATTCGATTTTTTGTGAGTAAGTGGATCCTATAGGGTCATCAGTCAAAAGGCCAATCCAGTAGGTGAGGGTGGCATGGTGGGTGGTATAGGGTGGTTGGTGTGGGTTGGTTTGGGAGGTGGTTGATATGGGAGGTGGTTGGTAGGAGAGGTGGTTGTTAGGAGAGGTGGTTGGTAGGAGAGGTGGTTGGTATGGGGGGAGAGGGGTGGGGTATGGGAGATGGTTGGTATGGGAGGTGGTTGGTTTGGGAGGTGGTTGGTATGGGAGGTGGTTGGTATGGGAGATGGTTGGTATGGGGGTGGTTGGTATGGGAGGTGGTTGGTATGGGAGATGGTTTTGTATGGGAGATGGTTGGTATGGGAGATGGTTGGTATGGGGGTGGTTGGTTGGGAGGTGGTTGGTGTGGGGGGAGGGGGGTGGGGGGGGTATGGGAGGTGGTTGGTATGGGAGGTGGTTGGTTGGGAGGTGGTTGATGTGGGGGGAGGGGGTGGGGTATGGGAGGTGGTTGGTATGGGAGATGGTTGGTATGGGAGATGGTTGGTATGGGAGGTGGTTGGTATGGGAGGTGGTTGGTATGGAAGGTGGTTGGTAGGAGAGATGGTTGGTATGGGGGTGGTTGGTTGGGAGGTGGTTGGTATGGGAGATGGTTTGTATGGGAGGTGGTTGGTAGGAGAGGTTATTGGTTGGAGGTGGTTGGTATGGGGGTGGTTGGTTGGGAGGTGGTTGGTATGGGAGGTGGTTGGTAGGAGAGGTGGTTGGTATGGGAGATGGTTGGTTGGGAGGTGGTTGGTATGGGAGGTGGTTGGTATGGGAGGTGGTTGGTATGAGAGGTGGTTGGTAGGAGAGGTGGTTGGTATGAGAGGTGGTTGGTAAGGGAGGTTGTTGTTAGGAGAGGTGGTTGGTAGGAGAGGTGGTTGATGTGGGGGGAGGGGGATGGGGTATGGGAGGTGGTTGGTATGGGAGATGGTTGGTATGGGAGATGGTTGGTATGGGAGATGGTTGGTAAGGGAGGTGGTTGGTAGGAGAGGTGGTTGGTATGGGGGTGGTTGGTAGGAGAGGTGGTTGGTATGGGAGATGGTTGGTATGGGAGGTGGTTGGTATGGGAGATGGTTGGTAAGGGAGGTGGTTGGTATGGGAGATGGTTGGTATGGGAGATGGTTGGTATGGGAGATGGTTGGTATGGGAGGTGGTTGGTATGGGAGATGGTTGGTAAGGGAGGTGGTTGGTATGGGAGATGGTTGGTTGGGAGGTGGTTGGTATGGGAGGTGGTTGGTATGGGAGGTGGTTGGTATGAGAGGTGGTTGGTAGGAGAGGTGGTTGGTATGAGAGGTGGTTGGTAAGGGAGGTTGTTGTTAGGAGAGGTGGTTGGTAGGAGAGGTGGTTGATGTGGGGGGAGGGGGATGGGGTATGGGAGGTGGTTGGTATGGGAGATGGTTGGTATGGGAGATGGTTGGTATGGGAGATGGTTGGTAAGGGAGGTGGTTGGTAGGAGAGGTGGTTGGTATGGGGGTGGTTGGTAGGAGAGGTGGTTGGTATGGGAGATGGTTGGTATGGGAGGTGGTTGGTATGGGAGATGGTTGGTAAGGGAGGTGGTTGGTATGGGAGATGGTTGGTATGGGAGATGGTTGGTATGGGAGATGGTTGGTAAGGGAGGTGGTTGGTATGGGAGATGGTTGGTAAGGGAGGTGGTTGGTAGGAGAGGTGGTTGGTATGGGAGATGGTTGGTATGGGAGGTGGTTGGTAGGAGAGGTGGTTGGTATGGGGGTGGTTGGTATGAGAGGTGGTTGGTAGGAGAGGTGGTTGGTATGGGGGTGGTTGGTTGGGAGGTGGTTGATGTTGGGGGAGGGGGATGGGGTATGGGAGGTAGTTGGTATGGGAGATGGTTGGTATGGGAGATGGTTGGTAAGGGAGGTTGTTGTTAGGAGAGGTGGTTGGTAGGAGAGGTGGTTGGTAAGGGAGGTTGTTGTTAGGAGAGGTGGTTGGTAGGAGAGGTGGTTGATGTGGGGGGAGGGGGGTGGGGGATGGGAGGTGGTTGGTTGGGAGATGGTTGGTAAGGGAGATGGTTGGTAGGAGAGGTGGTTGGTATGGGAGATGGTTGGTATGGGAGGTGGTTGGTAGGAGAGGTGGTTGGTATGGGGTTGGTTGGTTGAGAGGTGGTTGATGTGGGGGGAGGGGGATGGGGTATAGGAGGTGGTTGGTATGGGGGTGGTTGGTATGGGAGGTGGTTGGTTTGGGGGTGGTTGGTATGGGAGGTGGTTGGTATGGGAGATGGTTGGTATGGGGGTGGTTGGTATGGGAGATGGTTGGTATGGGAGATGGTTGGTATGGGAGATGGTTGGTATGGGAGATGGTTGGTATGGGAGGTGGTTGGTATGGGAGGTGGTTGGTATGGAAGGTGGTTGGTAGGAGAGGTGGTTGGTATGGGAGGTGGTTGGTAGGAGAGGTTATTGGTTGGAGGTGGTTGGTATGGGGGCGGTTGGTTGGGAGGTGGTTGGTATGGGAGGTGGTTGGTATGGGAGGTGGTTTGTAGGAGAGGTGGTTGGTAGGAGAGGTGGTTGGTATGGGAGATGGTTGGTATGGGGGTGGTTGGTATGGGAGGTAGTTGGTAGGGGAGTTGGTTGGTATGGGGGTCGTTGGTATGGGAGGTGGTTGGTAGGAGAGGTGGTTGGTAGGAGAGGTGGTTGGTATGGGAGATGGTTGGTAGGGGAGATGGTTGGTATGGGAGATGGTTGGTATGGGAGGTGGTTGGTAGGAGAGGTGGTTGATGTGGGGGGAGGGGGGTGGGGGATGGGAGATGGTTGGTATGGGAGGTGGTTGGTATGGGAGGTGGTTGGTAGGAGAGGTGGTTGGTATGGGAGGTGGTTGGTATGAGAGGTGGTTGGTATGGGAGGTGGTTGGTAGGAGAGGTGGTTGGTATGGGAGGTGGTTGGTATGAGAGGTGGTTGGTAGGAGAGGTGGTTGTTGGTTGGAGGTGGTTGGTATGGGAGAAGGTTGGTATGGGAGATGGTTGGTATGGGGGTGGTTGGTATGGGAGGTGGTTGGTATGGGAGGTGGTTGGTATGGGAGATGGTTGGTAGGGGAGATGGTTGGTATGGGAGATGGTTGGTATGGGAGGTGGTTGGTATGGGAGGTGGTTGGTATGGGAGGTGTTTGGTATGGGAGATGGTTGGTATGGGAGGTGGTTGGTAGGAGAGGTGGTTGGTATGGGGGTGGTTGGTTGGGAGGTGGTTGGTATGGGAGATGGTTGGTAGGAGAGGTTGTTGGTTGGAGGTGGTTGGTATGGGAGAAGGTTGGTATGGGAGATGGTTGGTAGGGGAGTTGGTTGGTATGGGGGTGGTTGGTAGGAGAGGTGGTTGATGTGGGGGGAGGGGGGTGGGGGATGGGAGATGGTTGGTATGGGAGGTGGTTGGTATGGGAGGTGGTTGGTAGGAGAGGTGGTTGGTATGGGAGGTGGTTGGTATGAGAGGTGGTTGGTAGGAGAGGTGGTTGTTGGTTGGAGGTGGTTGGTATGGGAGAAGGTTGGTATGGGAGATGGTTGGTATGGGGGTGGTTGGTATGGGAGGTGGTTGGTATGGGAGGTGGTTGGTATGGGAGATGGTTGGTAGGGGAGATGGTTGGTATGGGAGGTGGTTGGTATGGGAGGTGGTTGGTATGGGAGGTGTTTGGTATGGGAGATGGTTGGTATGGGAGGTGGTTGGTAGGAGAGGTGGTTGGTATGGGGGTGGTTGGTTGGGAGGTGGTTGGTATGGGAGATGGTTGGTAGGAGAGGTTGTTGGTTGGAGGTGGTTGGTATGGGAGAAGGTTGGTATGGGAGATGGTTGGTATGGGGGTGGTTGGTATGGGAGGTGGTTGGTATGGGGGTGGTTGGTATGGGAGAAGGTTGGTATGGGAGATGGTTGGTATGGGGGTGGTTGGTATGGGAGGTGGTTGGTAGGGGAGTTGGTTGGTATGGGGGTGGTTGGTTGGTATTGGAGGTGGTTGGTTGGGAGGTGGTTGGTGGTTGGTGTAGGAGGTGGTTGGTGTTGGTTGGTATGGGAGGTGGTTGGTATTGGGGGTAGTTGGTGTAAGGGGCGGTTCGCATAAGGTGGTTGGTATGGGAGGGGGTTGTTATGAGAGATGGCTGGTATAGAGGGTGGTTGGTATGGGAGGTGGTTGGTATGGAGGGTGGTTGGTTGGTATGGGAGGTGTTAAGTATGGGAGGAGGAGGTGGTTGATGACAGTATACCCATTCCATTGGCTACTTATCACACAACAGTCACACACAGACACAGCAATCACACACAGCCCTGCCAGTAGCTTCCAGTATTACAAATAGCCACAAGTGACACTGGCACCAAGTGGTCACAGGAATACATGCACTGTTTAGGAAGAGAAAAGCTACAGGCGCCATAGCGGGAAGTCAGTGAAGGAATTGATTAATGGCATTTTGTGAACTTTGAATTGCACACTGTCTGGACGTACCCTGGTGTCCTCGGAGATGACGCCACAAGCCACCATGTCTCCCTTCGACCACATCTCGTTCACAGTGGCTCTGCAAATACCACGCTACAGTCAGTCAATGTCATCAATACAATGCAAGTCTTTGAATTGATTCGGGGGAGGGGGGAAGAAGAGAGAGATGTTTGTTTGTTCCAGAATATGTTTTACCCCTGCTTCAGGACATACAAAGTTTTTTCTAAAAGGATGAGCCAAACCTTTTTCACTCCAGCACTTTTGTGAAGTGGTCATGTATGGTGGTAATAGAATGAATCGAGGACAATTTTCACAATGAATCCTAATCCAGAGACAACCAATACAATCTGCTGGATGCTAAATGACTGATGTAAAGCTCACCGCATCTCTGCTGGATACTAAATGACTGATGTAAAGCTCACCGCATCTCTGCTGGATACTAAATGACTGATGTAAAGCTCACCACATCTCTGCTGGATACTAAATGACTGATGTAAAGCTCACCGCATCTCTGCTGGATACTAAATGACTGATGTAAAGCTCACCGCATCTCTGCTGGATACTAAATGACTGATGTAAAGCTCACCGCATCTCTGCTGGATACTAAATGACTGATGTAAAGCTCACCGCATCTCTGCTGGATACTAAATGACTGATGTAAAGCTCACCGCATCTCTGCTGGATACTAAATGACTGATGTAAAGCTCACCGCATCTCTGCTGGATACTAAATGACTGATGTAAAGCTCACCGCATCTCTGCTGGATACTAAATGACTGATGTAAAGCTCACCGCATCTCTGCTGGATACTAAATGACTGATGTAAAGCTCACCGCATCTCTGCATATTCTATTTTCTTGTTGAGGTAAACACATTTCCCAACCTGGAATGTAAAGAAACAAACAGCATGACTCCATCTTTGACATATGACATGAGCTATTAGCTGAAATATCATCTGAAACATAGACATGTTTTGAAATAAACAAAATACGAAAAGTATTCAGCAGCTACTTTGATCAACAGATCTCCATTACAGTCTGCTCTTATGACAAGCTTGACATGATGGGGACCCTTGTTACCCTACAAACATCCTACCGGGTACCCACCTGACTCTTCTTCAACAGATCCCCATTCACTTTGCTCTTATGACAAGCTTGACATGCTGGGGACCCATGTTACCCTACAAACATCCTACCGGGTACCCACCAGGCTCTTCCTCAACAGATCCCCATTCACTTTGCTCTTATAACAAGCTTGACATGCTGGGGACCCATGTTACCCTACAAACATCCTACCGGGTACCCACCTGACTCTAGAGATCCCAATTTTAGTCTTCAGACAGGCTTGACTTATTTAGGACCCAACAACATTGACACACTATATCAAGCTGAACATACTGGGGACCTCTGTTACCCTACGAACATCCTACCGGGTACCCACCACTCTTCCTCAACAGATCCCCATTCACTTTGCTCTTATGACAAGCTTGACATGATGGGGACCCATGTTACCCTACAAACATCCTACCGGTACCCACCACTCTTCCTCAACAGATCCCCATTCACTTTGCTCTTATGACAAGCTTGACATGATGGGGACCCTTGTTACCCTACAAACATCCTACCGGGTACCCACCTGACTCTTCTTCAACAGATCCACATTCACTTTGCTCTTATGACAAGCTTGACATGCTGGGGACCCATGTTACCCTACAAACATCCTACCGGGTACCCACCAGGCTCTTCCTCAACAGATCCCCATTCACTTTGCTCTTATAACAAGCTTGACATGATGGGGACCCTTGTTACCCTACAAACATCCTACCGGGTACCCACCAGGCTCTTCCTCAACAGATCCCCATTCACTTTGCTCTTATGACAAGCTTGACATGATGGGGACCGATGTTACCCTACAAGCATCCTACCGGGTACCCACCAGACTCTTCCTCAACAGATCCCCATTCACTTTGCTCTTATGACAAGCTTGACATGATGGGGACCCTTGTTACCCTACAAACATCCTACCGGGTATCCACCTGACTCTTCTTCAACAGATCCCCATTCACTTTGCTCTTATGACAAGCTTGACATGCTGGGGACCAATGTTACCCTACAAACATCCTACCGGGTACCCACCAGGCTCTTCCTCAACAGATCCCCATTCACTTTGCTCTTATAACAAGCTTGACATGATGGGGACCCTTGTTACCCTACAAACATCCTACCGGGTACCCACCTGACTCTTCTTCAACAGATCCCCATTCACTTTGCTCTTATGACAAGCTTGACATGATGGGGACCCATGTTACCCTACAAACATCCTACCGGTACCCACCACTCTTCCTCAACAGATCCCCATTCACTTTGCTCTTATGACAAGCTTGACATGATGGGGACCCATGTTACCCTTCAAGCATCCTACCGGGTACCCACCACTCTTCCTCAACAGATCCCCATTCACCTTGCTCTTATGACAAGCTTGACATGATGGGGACCCATGTTACCCTACAAGCATCCTACCGGGTACCCACCAGACTCTTCCTCAACAGATCCCTAGTCAAGTCTTCAGACAGGCTTGACTTATTTAGGACCTAACAACATTGACACACTATGTCAAGCTGAATATACTGGGGACCTCTGTCACCCTACGAACATCCTACCGGGTACCCACCAGACACTTCCTCATCCAATTTTAGTCTTTTCTTCATACAAGTTTGACTTATTTAGGACCTAACAACGTTGACACACTATGTCAAGCTGAATATACCGGGGACCTCTGTCACCCTATGAACATCCTACCGGGTACCCACCAGACTCTTCCTCATCCGCCACATGTCGCTGCGGCTGTAGTACTGCTCCTTGTACAGGAGCTCCACCAGGTCCAGGGCAACATGCTGCAACACACACAACACGTACAGTGAGTGAGTGAGTTTGGTTTTACACCGCTTTTAGCAATATTCCAGCAATATCACGGCGGGGGACACCAGAAATGGGCTTTATACATTGTACCCATGTCGGGATTCGAACCCGGGTCTTCGTCGTGACGAGCAAACGCTTTAACCACTAGGCTACCCGACCGCCCCAACACGTACAGAAAACCCTACCCGCTGCGAGGGATCACACAGGGTACGATTTCATTCTGTTTACCACCTGCACCAGGTGCAACCAAGTAAACAAGTGAGGTTGCACCACCAAAATATTGGCTGCACCAGTGGATCATAAACAGAAACTCTGTATGGTCAGTTATGTGGAATAATAAACAAATTCAAAGAGAAAATAAACTTGTGAATGTGCTCCAGTATTTTATTTGGGGTAAATCTGTTCATGGCTTTTCACGTCATGATATCCAGTATACAGGCTTAAAAAGAAGTTTCAAAGTGTCTGTTTGATGTGATTGTAACCTCATGAGTGACTGTTCTAGTGGTAGTTTGTGAAGAATTAGTCCTGCAAGTTCACTGTATTCAGACCTGTGTATTTCACTAATTTCATGAGCTTTTGTTTCCTGGAATCAAAAATATTTAAAGCCAGTTCTAAAAGAATTCAATTTTCCACTTTTATCAAACACAACTGCTGCCGTGCACTTGTGGTGGGAAATGTTACCGGCACTGGGTGCAACCTCACAATAAAGGTTACCTGCACTAGCAATGCTTTACCTGCACTGGTGCAGCTTGGATATAGCAAAATCGATCCCAGTTACCAGTGTTTGTTTGTTTGTTGTTTAACGCTGCACTCAGCAGTATTCCAGCTATATGACGTCCCTCTGTAAATAATCAAGTCTGGACCAGACAATCCAGTCACTGACATCATGAGCATCGATCCACGCAATTGAGATACGATGACATGCATCAACCAAGTCAGCAAGTCTGACCACCCGATCCCGTTAGTCGCCTCCTACGACAAGCATAGTGGCCTTTTACAGCAAGTATGGGTTACTGAAGACCTATTCTACCCCAGATGGGATAGAATTTGTTCAGACCTGTGTATTTCACTAATTTCATGAACTTTTGTTTCTTGGAATCTAAGCCAGTTCTAAAAGAATTCAGTTTTTCACTTTTTTCAAACACAACTGCTGTCGTGCACTTGTGGTGGAAAATGATTCTTGCACTGGGTGCAACCTGGCAATAAAGGTCACCTGCCCTAGCAATGCTTTACCTGCGCTGGTGCAGCTTGGATATAGCGAAATCGATCCTTGTTATGGCCTATCTGTCTCAAGTGAATTTATTTTGTAACATTCCAACATTAATTCTCGCAGAACATATAATTCATTAATCTGAGTTGCAAGTAGGTTAAAGTATTATCACCCTTTGTTCATAGTTACCAATACTCTTCAATTATTGGAAACAATGTGTTCATGTGATGACAAACATGAGACCTGTGAAGATCCGGGGTAGAATAGGTCTTCAGCAACCCATACTTGCCATAAAAGGCATTTTGCTGTCATAAGAGGCGACTGAGATTGGGTGGTTAGGCTTGCTGACTTGGTTGATGCATGTCATCGATCCCAATTGCGTGGATCGGTGCTCATGATGTCAATCACTGGATTGTCTGGTCCAGACTCGATTACTTACAGACAGACGTCATATAGCTGGAATATTGCCGAGTACGGCGTAAACAACAAACAAACAAAACGTACACAATAAAGCGTTGCAGGTCTAAAAGATGGACAAAACTATTATGGTTGTGACAAACCAAGGACCACAATCTAACCAAATCCTTGATAACATGTACACAAAGAAAGACATGCATGCTAATGTTCTTAACGGAAACATAATTTACATAGGCAACTATAACAAAGAAGATACCATATTCGACGTAATAAGCGCCCAGGGCGCTCTCAAAATTAGAAATAGGGGGCTCTTACTAGAATATTATTTTGGTGAAAAAAAACTGAGTTGAAAGATAAATATCGTTATTTATGCTGAAATATTTATGTACGACAGATATATTTTTCCATAATACAATTACCCCTAATTAAGGGTGCATATAACACATAAGTGCTTATTATACGCGAATAAATGAGTCTTGCGTACATTGATCAATCGGAAGGGGTGCTAATTGGGATTGTTCACCAGCCAATATCTTAACAAATGTCACCGTGGGCGCTTATTAGAGCGGGGCGCTTATTACATCGAATACGGTACCTGTTGCATCATCCTGCTTACCTTGGGGTCAATCTTGTTGACGTACACATCCTGGTAGGCTCTCAGCTGGAAGGCTGTTGCTATCGTCGTCTCTATACTCACAGTCTCCGCTACAGGGAAATATCATTGTTTATGTCAAAGACTTTTACTTTACAAGTTCAAATTGAAAATAGGGTGAGATTTTATTTGCTTTGTAAATTTGTTGACTTCATCAGTTTTTATCAGCTAATGAATTAGTAAATAGGTTTTATAAAGTTGCTGTCACTTAAAGCCAAGAACACCCATCTGGACATCTGGAGGAGAATAGAACCCAGACTTACTGCAAGAGGTGAGGAGTGGTGAAATCGTGTTGAACATTGCCCCCAAGTTTACTGCACTTATATAGCATGGGTGTGGCTGCTTGTACTAGTCTGGATTGAGGTCGATTTATAGTGTTAGCCCACTGAGATACCATGCTGCAGTTTAACATGAATACCCCACTCAGACACAGTATACTGACTCTGAGCCGACCAGTCCTTGTTTTAGCCCCTTAATGCCAAATGCCAGACAGGGTAACAGCAAGTACCATCATTTTAACATCTTTTGGTATGATGCAGCTGGGGATGGAACCCCGGACCTTCCGCTCTCTGGGCCGACACTCTACCACTAGACTATGGAGGTGGTCTTTACTGCAAGAAAAGCACCCAACTAAACGGTCTTGAAGGTACTGGTTGAGTTGAGTCAACCTTGAGTTGATATGTTCTGTTATGCTGCAATCAGCATTATTCCAGCTATATCATGGTAGCATGTCAATATCTAGGACAATGTCTGGGACAGACAAACCAGTGGTTGACAGCATGAGCGCCCATCCTGTTGAGGCACCATGACACACAATCAACTCATAACCACCTAATCCTCACTCGACAGCTCTTACGGTAAACATCGGGTACAGGAGACCTAATGTGCTTCAGAATCACCAGGGGGAGATAAGCATGATGTGCTTTTGGCCTGTACTCTCCAGAATTACCAGGGGAGAAAAGCATGATGTGCTTTGAGCCTATTCTGTCCAGAATCACCAGGGGGAGATAAGCATGATGTGCTTTGGGCCTGTTCCGTCCAGAATCACCAGGGGGAGATAAGCATGATGTGCTTTGGGCCTATTCTGCCCAGAATCACCAGGGGGAGATAAGCATGATGTGCTTTGGGCCTAGTCTGTCCAGAATCACCAGGGGGAGATACGCATGATGTCCTTTTGGCCTATTCTGTCCAGAATCACCAGGGGGAGATAAGCATGATGTGCTTTGGGCCTATTCTGTCCAGAATCACCAGGGGGAGATAAGCATGATGTGCTTTGGGCCTGTTCTCTCCAGAATCACCAAGGGGAGATAAGCATGATGTGCTTGGGCCTATTCTGTCCAGAATCACCAGGGGGAGATAAGCATGATGTGCTTTGGGCCTAGTCTGTCCAGAATCACCAGGGGGAGATAAGCATGATGTGCTTTGAGCCTATTCTGTCCAGAATCACCAGGAGGAGATAAGCATGATGTGCTTTGGGCCTACTCTGTCCAGAATCACCAGGGGGAGATAAGCATGATGTGCTTTGGGCCTATTCTGTCCAGAATCACCAGGGGGAGATAAGTATGATGTGCTTTGGGCCTGTTCTGTCCAGAATCACCAGGGGAGATAAGCTTGATAAGATTGGAGCCCATTCTGTCCAGAATCACCAGGGGGAGATAAGCATGATGTGCTTTGGGCCTAGTCTGTCCGGAATCACCAGGGGGAGATAAGCATGATGTGCTTTGGGCCTATTCTGTCCAGAATCACCAGGAGGAGATAAGCATGATGTGCTTTGGGCCTATTCTGTCCAGAATCACCAGGGGGAGATAAGCATGATGTGCTTTGGGCCTGTTCTCTCCAGAATCACCAAGGGGAGATAAGCATGATGTGCTTGGGCCTATTCTGTCCAGAATCACCAGGGGGAGATAAGCATGATGTGCTTTGGGCCTAGTCTGTCCGGAATCACCAGGGGGAGATAAGCATGATGTGCTTTGGGCCTATTCTGTCCGGAATCACCAGGGGGAGATAAGCATGATGTGCTTTGGGCCTATTCTCTCCAGAAACTCAGAGGGGAGATATGCTAATGTACTGAAGCCCATTCAGCCCTGGGATTCCCAATCAGGTGATATCAAGACTTGCATTCCCACAGGAAATGCTACTGCAGTGCCCCACTACGCTGAACTTGAATGTGTCAATTATGCTCTTACAACATACATAAAACACTGGGGACTTTTTCTGCCCCAGAATGATCATGAGACACTAGAGCTGGAGCTGAAATCAACATTTCCCATACACAGTTTACACAGTGGCGGCCATGTATGTGACAAATACCTTTCAACTGTTGTAGCCCTTCCTCTGGCAGCTTGGTGATCTGCACCAGCAACCGACTGCAACAAACCATCGCAACAATAAACATAAATGTCACCTGACACGATGGCTAGCCTTAATAATCAATTTAAAAACAAAAAACTTGCTAAATTTAACATTTGAAACCTCACGCTGCGCGTTCGGTTCCAAATTCAATTTAGCGAGGTTAAATCTACAGGTAACCTAGCTCTACATTGAAAACACAGTATGTTTATCTCCTAATTACACAGTAAGGAAAGTTTTTGCAAGTTTCCTATCTATTTGATCAAAGTTAAAACAAATTTTAGCATTACTCTGGCCAGAGGATCATTGCATATCCATAAACAATGGAGACTGAATGTTAGCTAAAGACCCCTCCCATAGTAAACAAATGGTCATGATTTTCATTTCTGGAGGTATTCAAGGGAGACTACTCCAAGCCTACACCTGCAGTGTGGTCACTGGAGTAGAACATTCCATCACGGAATAAGGCGAGCAGAGCAGGCTAAGCTCGGGATTATCGGCTCTTGTTTACAAACAAAGCTTCAGAACTGTCAATGTCCAGTGCCTTTAAGTGTAACATCTGGTACAAAAAAATAAAGGAAATCATTGTAAAACATGTCAAATGCAAATTGTCGAAACAGGCACAATTGTTGAAAATGCTTCACCAAAGACCCTGCAGACACAAAATGACATGCACACAAAGATGGACACTTTAATGCCTTGTTGAAATAGATGATGTTTTAAGACTCACCTAAATTCAACCTCAGGGTTATAGACCTCCAACACATCTCCAGCACGGACATTGGGGAAATCCTTCAGGCTAATCTGGATGTCAGCAGCTGCAATGTACAACAACAAAGAACAACCTCAACAAAATCCCTTTCTGTTTTTGTGGTTTTGATACATATAGAAAGCCACAAATAAGGACATTTGTTTCTCATAACTGACCGTCCCTACACAAAGAAACCAAAAAAGCAGTCTGTGCCCAAAACTCTTGAGTTTACTTGCCTTGATCTTGGCTCTAAGTATAATTTTCAATAGATTTTACTGTTATAATATAGACTATTAATAGCTGAACTTACAAGACTTAATAGAACATAACTAGACTCAGGATTCTGACTAGTAGCTACAGTCGAGGAAGCCATTTAGATGACAACAAATCTTTGGAAGATTGGTACACAATTCACACACAAAATGGCTGATCAATACACAAATTGGCCTACCCATACACAAACTCTCTGAACACAACTATAATCAAGCACACAATTAATTTTGTTTGGTTGACTCGAACACATACACAAAATCTCAATTTGCTTACACATACTTTATGAGATATTTTAATGTTTAGTCAACATATTCAGACAACCATAGAAACACTGTTGGTCAGCCAAAGTGTTTGTGAACTAGTCTCTCTGAACAGGTTGTAGCTAAATGGCACCTCAGCAAAACATCACCAAGCAAAAACAGCACCGCTTGGCGAAAACGGCACCTCGCCTAAAGTGGAAACGGCTACTATTGCCTGGCGAAGATGGCACCTTACTTATTTTTTTACTTTGGTACTGAAATAAATGAAATTAAACTCACATGGTCACGTGCAAACACCTATAATTGTGAAATGTTAAAACAAGTTAACATTAGAAATTAGCCTCTACTCCACTTTACTTGCCAACTCTGATTGGGAGGTGCAAATAAATTTATTGTGAGAACATAACACGCTTTGAAGTAAAATAAATAAAATTAAACTCACATGGTCACTTGCAAACATAGATAATTGTGAAATGTTAATCGCCTTAAAACAAGTTTAAACTAGAAATTAGCCTCTTCTCTGACTGGGAGGTGCAACTAAACTTATTGTGAAAACATCATATGGGCATAATAATAGGGCATGTAAAGCTTATTTACAACTAATTTTTATTAAAAATATAGGTGCCGTTTTCGCCTGACAAATAGCCGTTTTAGACAAATGAGGTGCTGTTTTCGCCCAAGAAATTGTTGCTCCCCTCTGAACGTGTTCTGTTGAATATCCCATTTATCATCATACCAAAAATCTTTAGGACATTTGGAAGAAAAATCCTATCAACAAGTTGCAATCAAGGTTACCCGAATTCTGTCATTTGTCATTCTTATGCAAGTTCACCATCAACCAATATGTCTAAAAGTTATTGACAATTTATGCAAGAAATGTTCTAGACGATATTGTTTCTTGCTTGGTGACTAGAACATGTCAAATTACAAGCATACAGGCGATCGGGTTAAGGCACTTTAAGTTCAATAACTGTCAGCTGTACACATTATATGGCAACGTGTCCACAACTGTCAACATGACTTTGACCCGATCGCCCCTATACACCTGCATACACTGCAGATCAGCTGCTGATAGTCTGTGGGTTACGTCAAAGCAAATGGTAAACAACGCAAGCTGCCAACATGGCCAAAGGTGGGCGACGTTGCCATAGGACTTTGATGAAAAACATGAAAATTACTGAAGCAATAAATGCAAAATCAACGCAGATTTCAACCTCAAGTATTACACCACTTAAATGACACATATGTGTTTGCATCAAACGCCTGTCTCACCATTGTCCTTCCTTTGATGTTGGACAAGCTTAAAAGTTTTCATGATTCGCCCATATCGTGCGTTCTCGATTAGAGTTACCCGCCCTTGGATATGCAGAAAACAGTTTTACAATTATCATTATAAAACTTATCCTATCGTATCATGTGACTTAGGCGACCTAAACTATATGACAGATTATTGTTAATGATCGATGATAAATTCGTGTAATAATTATTTCGTTTTCCCCCTTCAGTGCGGACCTGTTATTCAACAAGTACTTGTTCCGGTACCAAATGCAGCATGTTTGGAAGTTTAGTTAGAAATCGAAATGGCCTGTCAAAACTGACAGATTTTGGTATTTCTTCGCTTAAGTCATTCAAAGGTAAGGTTTTATATCATACATGTCAAACATACATGCCAACCTGAATATGCAAATGTAATGTAACTGTGTATTCAAAAGAAAATACGACCTTTGCTTGGTATGTCGGAGGTGAAAGCCCTTGGCACAGTTGCCTCCCTTAGCTATGCTAGGATCTGCTGTACATGATTTTGGATGCCTGATTCACCCCGATTATTATCTTTGATTTGTCAGAACTGTTTTTTGATCAGGAGTTGTATTCTTTTTCTGGACACACTTCCGTCCGTAAACAGTCGACAGGGGATGTGGATTACGAGATTTACCGATACCACGATAATATAGAGTCGTACTATATATGTGGCCCGTGAAGATCCGGGGTAGAATAGGTCTCAAGCAACCCATGCTTGCCATTAAAGGCAACTATGCTTGTCGTAAGGGCGACTAACGTGATCGTGTGGTCAGGCTCGCTGACATGGTTGATGCATGTCATCAATCCCAATTGCGTGGATCGATGCTCATGTTGTCAATCACTGGATTGTCTGGTCCAGACTCGATTACTTACAGACAGCCGTCACATAGCTGATATTGCTGAGTGCGGCGTTAAACAACAAACCAACCATATATGTATGCATTTCCGCTGTCCTTTTTATCATATATATATTTTTAGATGAAAAAGAGGTCATTTCAGATATTTTGTTGTGAAATGGTTTTCTGAATATATTGCAAACAGTTTAAACATCTAAGACAGCTTATGATGTGCATCATCTTCATTTTTCCTGCCACATTTATTATGATTAATTTTACATTCTGTGAAATACTGTTTGATGTCTCCCTCATTGATGTTAATGATTGTAATGCAGGTAATTCTATTTCCAGGTCTGCCATGTGCTGTTACGCAGGTGGCCACACTCATGAAGCTTGAGGATCCTCCAACATATGACCGTGAGTGTCCAACCCTGTCGTCATCATGCCATGCTTCTCAACTGCTGACTGAAATGAGTATCTTATGTTTACTGTGTGTGACCTGGATGATTGGACCACCTCCTTGGTCTAGTGGTAGAGCGTCCGTCCAGAGTTCGGAAGGTCCAGGTTCGATCCCCGGCCGCGTCATACCAAAAGACGTTAAAAGATGGTACTTGTTGTTACCCTGTCTGGCGCTCAGCATAAAGGGGCTAAAACAAGGACTGGTCGGCTCGGAGCCAGTATACTGTGTCTGAGTGGGGTATTCATGTTAAACTGCGGCATGGTATCTCAGTGAGCTAGCACTATAAATCGGCATCAGTCCAGACTAGTACAAGCAGCCACACAAACCCACACACGTACATGCACATTGCTATATAAGTGCAATAATCTTGGACGCGACATTAAACCCCATTTCACCTCACCTCACCTGGATGATTGTGTGTCATTGTATCTTTCAGGCCTTCAGTCTGGTTTGTGTGTCGCAGACATGATTATTGTGGCAATGTGGCATAGCTGTAATATCGCTTCATCAAACAGCATGCATCAGAAGATTAAGCTGAGTTAAAGTGGTTAAAGAGTTCGCTCGTCACGCCGAAGACCCGGGTTTCGATTTCCCACATGGGTACAATGTGTGAAGTCCATTTCTGGTGTCTCCCATAAAACCATACGCACTCACTCTAGTGTATTCATGTATATAATTGGCCCATTTGAATTAGTAGACCCTGTAACCATGGTAACTATAGTGACAAACATTGGAGTTGGTCATATTCCAATGAACACTTCTATCATGTGTCTACAGTGTTTCTGTTCACCATGTGACCAACAGATAAGACACCCACCGGAAATGCCACTTGATGATTGATTTTATCTTCTTGAGGCAAGGGAGTTAACTTACTGTAAAAGTCAAGTTTCCAGACATGAAAAAATTTGGAAAATATTTGTTAACACCGAGTTGGAGGTACACATCCTTTGCAAATCCTGCAATCAACCGAAATCTGCATGACAGTTTATGAACCAGGTGTCGATTTCGTTATGAGATTTGGATTTGACTATGCATAGACTCGTTAGTCCAGCCACAATATTACTCTATAATCATGATCATGATAATTCCAGCCTAGTTCAGCAAGGGTGGTAACTGGACTTTTATAGTCAGTAAATTCCCTTGCCTTGGGAAGATGGATTAATTTTTGATTGATCATGTATGAGATGCGTTCAGAGCAAATGTCATGGAATCACTTGCAGTTTATTTATATGCCAGTAGCTTTGCAATTTTTAAAAATTTGTACCCAGCAACAGACACATGATATAGCAACAGATCTGGAAATCTGTCATTAGATTTTTGTGTTTAGAATGTTTTTTTTCAAGTTTTCAATCTTCCCTACATTTGCAAATAATCAATCACATATTTCATGATTGATTTCTTGGTTACCTTGGTTGATAACTGAAACCAATAAATCATGGACTGAATGGATTAATTGAAAAAATAGTTATAAATTTACAGGTTCACTGGGTTGCCAGCATTTAAAAATACTGGAACATTCAATATTTTGGACCGAGAGAATTACATTTTTCTGGAATATTGCCTAGTTTACAGGTAAATTACCGGTAAATACTAGAAACAGGAAGAAACTCATGCTTCACGTATATATAGGCCTTGCGAAAATGTTGAAGTGAAAACCAGCATCATGGTATGGTACTCTTTAACATTACTCTCTTTTTTTTACACACTGAATACTCCAAAACTTCAATTAGGGTTGGCATCTCTGAGCCATGTCATGATATGTTTTCATTCTTGTTTCCAGATGTGGAGTTTCCTGAGAGGAAGAGGTTGAGGTTCTACGAGAAAGTCCCTCAGCTACAGCAAGGTGTGCGGGCACCAAAAACTCCGAAAGATCTCCATCTGATGCGAGGCCCAGACAAGCTCCACAACAAGCTGCAGTATGGGCAATACGGCATTCAGGTACACGTCATAATGCCCTTGTTGGAGCACTGGGTTGAAATACAAATAACCATCTGTGTTTCCTATCCCGGATATGGACAGATAACTCTACTCTAGGGCAGTTGAATCCCTGGTACTCCAGGCTTACTGAGCTGTCAAAATATGGTTTTGGTTTTTAAGAGTTGCAGCAGTTTATGCAGTGTTTGTTAGGTTCGAAAAGGAGGACATCCCATTAGGGGTCACGTCAGAACGACCTTTTATCCGACCAATCAGAGCGTTGCTTACCACTACCAGATCATGAAAGTGAGAGTCTGAATGTGATTCCTAATGTTGCAACCTCAAAAACTTTAACACGGGGTATTCCAAACGATAGTTACAGGCTTAACGACTGAATCCATACAATCTAGACCATCTGTAACTCTGTTAGCCATTCCAGAATGTTCTTTTGTTCAGGTTTCAAAGTTTTAATCGAGAATTTGTCAAAAGCATAGTTGCCAATTTGAAATTAGTGCCGTAGGCACGAGAAAGCTGCGTTCTGATTGGCTAATGTCGACTTCTTGTCAGTCATTCAATTGGTCGGTCAAAGTTCGTGAAAGGTTGGTCTGACATGACCCGTAATGGGATGTCCTCAGATCTTTGGTTAGTGGTAGCGAGAACAGTTAATGGTGCTGGAATTTCGGAGTTACATTTTGGCTGGACTAAATAGTCCGTGCCTTGTCCAAGCAAAATCATGAAGCCAAATAGACATCCGGTTCGTAACAACATAGCGAAGGCATGCAGATGTCCATCGACTGCAGGATTTGCAAAGCCTGTGTACTGTCAACTTGGTGCTGACAGATATGTTCCAAATCTGTTCATGTTTTTATTCAAGGTGCTTAAGTGACTTGATGCCCTTCGCAATGTAAGACCCGTTTTGTTACAATATAGATCTTGATTATCGATCAGATCGTCTTGGCTGGATGTCGCCATTTTGTTTAAAGCAAATGCAAGTGATATGAGAGGTGGAATCTGACTGGTCAATAGGAGGGACAATAGAAGGGACATAACTCATAATAGCCACTGGTAGCGCTACAATCGAGCCCAGAAATTCCAGCCTACTTTGGCAAGGGTGGAGACTGGATTTTTACAGTCAGTTAACTCCCTTGCCTCGCAAAGATGAAATTAATCATCCAGCGGTGTTTCCGGTGGGTGTCTCATCTGTTGATCATTTGATGAATGGAAACATATTGCTGACATGACCACATATTGCGGACATGACCAGATATTGCTGACATGACCATATATTACTGACAATGCCATATTTTGCTTACATTGCCATATTTTGTGGACATGGCCTTATATTGCTGACATGGCCTTATATTGCTGACATGGCCTTATATTGCTGACATGACCATATATTACTGACATGGCCTTATATTGCTGACAGACATATGTTGTTGATGTGGATGTTCTCTTGCTGTTCTGGTTTTTGTATGAAATATACTGCTGACATAGCCGCATATTACTGACAGCTGTTATTTTGCTAACATGACTGTTGTTTCTGATGTCTGTAATCTGTTGGCATGTCTGGTGACTGCTAGGGCTGCAACGATTACACTATGAGGCGAATACGATTTGTATCACGAATATAGCGCAATGAATACGAATATTAATTCACAATTACAATAACAAGTCAGCAGTTTATGTATTATTTTTTATATTCAGTGAAACAATAACATCATAATTTATTTGACATGGTTTGTTAATTATTAATTAATTATACATTTATATACTGCACTAATCCAGGTACTAGTATCTGCTCAAATGCGACAATGACCAGTGAAAACAATACTATCAAATTAAATATTATTAGAGTGTTATCATTGAAAGAAATCTATGCATTTAATATGTTGTAATGGATATTTTTAGGTACAGGGTATGTAAATATACATGATAGCATATTCATAAATATTCGATTCTAGTGGCAATGAATAACGAATCAGTTCATGAATGGTTACGGTTCGATTCACCGAATACGCGAGTGAATCGTAACAGCCCTAGTGACTGCTGATATGGCTGATAGATATCAGTAGTAACTCATCCCAAGTGAACAAATGAGAGGATCTGTTTGATCTTACACAAGCTGCTTGAAAACTTCTGCAAGTTACAGTTGCTGACTAATACTTTGATCCCTCCTAGGCATTGACTGGCGGCAGGCTCCGATGGGGCCACTACGAGGCGCTGCGTCTGACGATCGGTCGAAGGATGGATGAATCGAGGATGTTCGCCATCTGGCGCATCGACCAGCCGTGGAAGTCTGTGTCCAAGAAGGGGATCGGTACACGGATGGGAGGAGGGAAGGGCAACATCGACCACTACGTGTACCCATTACGAGCCAACAGGATCCTTCTGGAAATGGGGGGGAAATGTGAATTTAAGGAAGTAGAGAAAATCTTGAAACCTCTAGCCAAAATCATGCCTTTTCGAGCCCGTGTTGTGAGTCATGAGATTCTTGCAGAGGAAGCTAAGCAGGAAGCATTCATGAAGAGGAACAATATCAACCCTTTTACCTTTCAGCACTGTGCTCAGCACAACTTCCTGGGGTGCAGGACATGGATGAGTCCCTATGACTTCCAGTGGCATGGCAAATATAGATGATGATGATGATGATGCTGGCAGTTTTTGAAACACATGCGACTCTACTAGCCCTCGAGACCCGTGAACATTTGGGGGTAGAACAGGTCTTCAGCAACCCATGCTTGCCGTAAAAGGCGACTATGCTTTTAGTAAAAGGTGACTAACGGGATCGGGTGGTCAGGCTCGCTGACTTGGTTGATCATGTCATTGATCCCAATTTCGTGGATCGATGCTCATGATGTCAATCACTGGATTGTCTGGTCCAGACTCGATTTTTTACAGACCACCGTCATATAGCTGGGATATTGCTGAGTGTGGCGTTAAACAACAAACAAACCAAACCAAACCAAACTAGCCCCCGACTGCTGAGAACAAGTATACATCCTATGATGGCCGTCCTCTTTGACTGGTGGCATTTGAGAGCTGCACTTTTGAACCAGTGCTCAGTGCTTCAAGTTGGCTACAAGTTGGGACTGAATAAAGTGACAGAAAATTTTAACATATTAAACTGTTAGCTGCAACCTCTGAGGAAGAGTGAAATAAAGTTTCCTCTGGTATTCTGGACTCGTCTTTAAAGACCCCAATTTCTAAGGCTGTTGCAGGGTTTCTCAAGTGCTATAGGGGACAGTGGGGAAGCTGGGTTGTTAAGACGTCATCAAGCAGAATGTTAGGTGTGACATGGGTACAATGGTCGAAGCCAATTCCTGGTGTACCCCTGGTGATATGGCTGGAAAATGCTAAAAACGGCTTAAAACCCATCTCACTCACTTACATGCTATAGGCATGAACCAGATATGGAAAAAAACATGGTTATAACAAACACTTATAACATTCTAACTGTTATAACCAACTATTCCAAATTCCTGACTGCTGTACTATTACTAAATTTAAGTGCTTTTTTTCTTTCATTGCAAATGTCATGCTAAACTATTTACATAAATACCAAGAATACCTAAATGGTGTCGAGGTTTCCAAGTATCGATCTATTATGAACACATTTTAAAAGTCCTTTCAAGTTAGTTTTAACCATGTTTTACTGTATAATGAGTGGGAGAAAAAAAAAGAATTTGTCAAGGGATAGGATGTTTTTTTCAGAGTTGCATTTTCTTTCTTTTTGTTGCTGCTTGAACAGCAGTGTGATAGATATGTGTAGATTTTGTGATGTTTGAAAGGAAAATGTGTGAAAATAAACCAGAATAATTTGACTTAATGTTTGTGTTTGTTCATGTTTGATTTTTTGTCGTATTTTCAAAGAAATGCTAAGAAGATACAGGCTACAATAGGTCTTCAGCAACCCATGTTTGCCGTAAAAGGCCACTATGCTTGTCGTAAGAGGCGACTATGCTTGTTGTAAGAGGCGACTAACCGGAACGGGTAGTCAGGCTTGCTGACTTTGTTGATGCAAGTCATTGTGTCCCAATGCTCATGATGTCAATCACTGGATTGTCTGGTCCAGACTAGATTATTTACAGAACGCTGTCATATAGCTGGAATATTGTTGAGTGCGGCGTTAAACAAAAAAACCAAAAAAAACCTGCAGAATCCAGTGTTCCCATTATTATTATTTTGCCAGTAAAATTAGGCTGGACCAGTGATTCATGTGACTGTCAGTCCCTCTTGATTAGCAAATAATTACCTTATAGTTCTTTGTTGGTGAACAAAAGATCGGTGATAATCCATAAAGTATATTTTTTTAACGAAGTCAGCTTGTCTTTTATTAGAGTTTATCATTCAAATGGCTTTGCAAACACTACTTTCATACAACATCAAAGGATTCACTCATACGATTTGTGCAGATTGGGCGGTCGGGTAGCCTAATGGTTAAGGCCTTCGCTTGTCACACCAAAGACCCGGGTTCGATTCCCGACATGGGTACAATGTGTGAAGCCCATTTTTGGTGCCCCCCCCCCCCCGTGATATTGCGGGAATATTGCTAAAAGCGGTGTAAAACCTAACTCACTCTCATTCAGATATGGAACTAGAGACAACTAAGGTCAAGATCGTGGACACAAACGTGAATATTTTTATCAGATTTTGACGTGAGGCATCGTATTTATGATGGCCCAGAGAGTGTATATATGGCTCTGATAACATAGGCTCACACAGGCACATCACACTTTCACCCTCAAGATGGGTTGCCAACTTGTAATGTCATGTCTTTAAGGTGAACCCTTTACACATAGTGAGTGAGTGAGTTGGGTTTAACGCCGCTTTTAACAGTATTCTAGTTATATCACAGTGTGTCAGCTTTATGTGGGAGGAAAGCCCGAAGTGATGCAGGTGTCAGACGTTTACCACTTCGGTGAAACCCAACGAGCAGGGGTATGGTGCTGACAAACCTAGAAACATAATTGGGGCGAACCGGGATTCGAACCCACCATCATAGGTTTCTGGCGTGGCCAAGGGACGAATCTCTGCACAGCGAATCGCGGCGCCTTAGACGACTGGGCCACCCGTGCCCCCACAAGATGACATGGACCTTGTACTACTAGTCATCGTAGAAGAGTAAACAGTCAATACTGCATGACTAGCCATACAATAAGATCATACACATAGTCTGAACACAACTTTTTCCAATCAGTATATCCCTGGGGTTTCCCGGTAAGACCAGAGGCCCCCAGCTACATTATGCTGCTCGTAAGAGGCGACTTAATGGATCGGGTGGTTGGTGTCTTGGTTGAACTGACCGCGTAGATCGTTGTTCACAAGATCAATCATTGGATTCACACAGACACGAATATTTTCAGTCATATAGCAGACATATTACTGCTGAACGAAATGCGTCAGGTCCAGCCCAAGTCGCATCCTATTCCAACACCAACATCTCTAAACGTGCAGTCAGATTGTTCCCCACTCAGAATATTCCTATCAAATGTAGAATAGTATTGAAAACAACCTGGTGAGTGTGTGTCATGGAACAGCAACAGTCAGCGTCTGTCTGTGCTCTTGCCTTCAACCACTAGTCCAGGCTAAATATTTATATGTTAGAATTCGTCTTCAACAACATTTGTTTGTCGTAAGAGGCGACTAACGAGATCAGGGCCCTCTTGCACAAAGCGATCTTAGTGCAACAACTATTGTAAGCCCATGTAAAAGTATGGGAGCTACGATCATCTTAGCACTAAGATCGCTTTGTGCAAGAGGGTCCGGGTGGTTGATTTGGTTGATGCACGTCATCGTAACCCATTTGCGTCGATCGATGCTCATGATGTCAACCACTGGATTATCTAGTCCAGACCGCCATCATAGAGCTGGAATATTGCATAGTGGGCGTTAAACACCCACCTAACAAAATTCACTGTCTGCCATCATATAGCTTAACTATCGACTGCAGCTGTAACAGCATTCTCACACTTAAGTTAGAACAAAGGTCGTCATGTTTACCCTAAATGGTATCTTATCTCCAGGTACTCAAACACCTGTTGCACCTGAACGTCAATGGTCGGCACCGAAAGACGCTTATCTATGAACCAAAATGGCGACTCGGTATTACTACCACGTATTGACCACACTGCTTATAACAAACAGACTATTCCCGGTTTCTACAGAAACTGTACTTGGTGAAAATGTGGATGAGGAATTCGACTTTGACGGCCTCCCCGGAGTTCAGCATGAGTTCAAAGTGGAGGTAGCGGCGGGGAAGGAGGAGTGTTTCTACCAGTTCGCCACGCAAGGGAGCAGACTCTATGTGTCTTATGATGTACGGGGTATTTATGGTATTCATTAAACTTTGGTAAATGTATGTACACAAAGGTAAAAATAATTGGATCTTATACATTTTACCAAGGGTACTTCCGGTGTAGATAGCGTCCGCCCGGACAGCGGAAGGTCCGGGGTTCGATCCGCGGCCGCGTCATACCAAAAGACGTTAAAAGATGGTACTTGTTGTTACCCTGTCTGGCGCTCGGCATTAAGGGGCTAAAACAAGGACTGGTCGGCTCGGAGTCAGTATACTGTGTCTGAGTGGGATATTCATGTTTAACTGCGGCATGGTATCTCATTGAGCTAGCACTATAAATCGGCATTAGTCCGGACTTGTACAAACAGCCACACAAACACACACACACACGTACATGCACGTCGCTATGTAAGTGCAATAATCTTGGACGCGACGTTAAACACCATTTCACCTCACCCCCGGTGTAGATATATCCTGAGTACTCCATGATTGTCGCACGCGATCACTACATACAGGGTTGGTCATATATACTTTACCAATGAGACTCCCGGTTTAGATATTTCCCAAGTACTCCATGCTTTTCGTAAGGGATCACTTCATAGAGGGTTGGGTGGTAAGGCCAGGTCATCTTCCCGAGGCAAGGGCGTTAACTGACTTTAAAAGTCCAGTTCTTTTTACTTTTATAGTCAGTTAACGCTCTTCTTTAGGGAAGATGGGATCGGTGGATTGCGTGTTATCGTGCATGTTACGATAGTGTACATCACAAATCGGTAATTAAAACAATCAGACATGTCACCAAAACGAGTATGAAGAAATAAATAATGGCTGAGCAAAAGTTAGATTTGAAATGTGAATTTTGATTTGAAGTTTATTTGAAAATAATCAAATTCTTTGGCAAGTCTACGGGCCACCTTCAGCCCAAATGAATACAAGTATCCCCCCCCCCCCCCCCCCCCCCCCCCCTCTCGTATCTCATACCTGTTGCAACAGCCAGCCAAATGAGGATATGTTGGTCACAGTGGCTGTTAAAATGAAGTACTTGTCTGGTGACTTGCTCACGCTATTGACCACTAGTTGGTCTGACCTGGTTGCTATACATGGACTTTGAATGCCTTTGCCCAATGGGGGATTCCGGGTTAGAGATGCTCCCTAGCAACATATGCTGGTCGTCAGAGGCCACTAAGGTGGTCAGGCTCAGTGAGTGAGTGAGTGAATGTGGTTTTACGCCGCTTTTAGCAATAGTCCAGCAATATCACGGCGGGGGACACCAGAAATGGGCTTCACACATTGTACCCATGTCGGGAATGGAACCCGGGTCACACATTGTACCATGTCGGGAATCGAACCCGGGTCTTCGGCGTGACGAGCGAACGCTTTAACCACGAGGTTACCCGACCGCCCGTCATGCTCAGTGACTTGATAGCGTATCATGTAGACCCGGCGGCGTGTATCGCTGCTCATAATATCAATCGCTGGTTTGGTTTGTCCATACCCGAATATATACACAAACCTGTGTTAAAATATTACGTAATGCATAAATTCAATTCTTCATGGGGACATAACTCAATGTTATCTGTATTTTACGGTTTTTTTTCGTTATGTGTATGAAGAGTTGACATAACTGTTATAACTCATTATACATGCTGTGTATTCTGGATTCTTTGTCATGATTCCAGGGTAGACGCCGCGCCATTCCCATGCTCCACTTGTATAGATAAGATAACACGACCCAATTCACAGCTGCGGTGTTATCCCATGGAATACAAGGGAATGAAGGGGTGTATGATGTAATCAAGAATGAAGAAACTTTCACGTTGTGTTAATTTGGAGAGTTTGTACATAGTATTGAAAGCCTTATTTTAAATTTAAAGCATCGCTCTGCTGTTAAACATCTGTCAGTTTATATAAGTAAGGGGTGGCCGTGACAGGTGGTTGTTGGGAACTAGCCCTTGCTCTTTTCATATTAACCATCTCGATCTGCTTGGATTCTGGTAGATTGAGAATAATGAAAATATTAATGTTAGTGATACTGATATAACCGCATTTATAACGATGTAAAGAAAAGGTACATTGATGCGCAAATTAAAACTTTTAATCAGTTTGGAATAAACGTTTTAACTATTTGTACAGATAGTGTATGGATCTTTATTTCAGTCAGTGTGCGAATGGCACCAAGGCAAGGATTTCGTGAATATTGAAAATATGATATATACAGTTTCAGCATATCGTTCATCTTCATATTTAATGATAAGCTCTCGCTTCATGTGATTGGATTATATATAAATACTTTCTTTGTATCAAATCTTTCTTTAAAGGTTATCTGATAGTAATTTCATGTGAAGTATATTGAAACCATGTTTGCTTTGTATAGTTGTGGGTGGAAATGTATATAATGGATTTCTTTCTTTTATGTCTCATTTCCTTTGCATGACTTTTCTATTTTGTTTTTTATCTATTAAATAAATTTTATAACACAACGTGAACTGAACACCAAGTAAAGGATACACTGCTGATCGCCTATACATATAAAGAAAATATACATATCAAGAAAATATACATATCAAGAAAATATACATATCAAGAAAATAATTATTTGTTTGTTGTTTAACGTCTCTCTCAAAACATTTTCGGCCTGTAAATAATCGAGTCTACACAAGACAAACCAGTGATTGATATTATGAGCAACTGCTACGTAGTCGGTGTATGATGACTCACGTGGAGCCAAGACACCGAGCCTAAACACCGGAACCATTTAGTCGTCTCTTACAAACAAAGGTTGTTGGGGATCTATTCTAATTTGGAACCCCTACCGGACAAGATTATAACAAACTAGTAATAAGTTTAAACTCTGCTTCATCCAGGTGTTGAGAGGCGGCGACAGGAACATCAACTTCTTCCTCCTTGACCAGAACCAAGTCGTTGTAGAGTCCCACTACGACAAGCCAGACGCCATGGTGGAAACAGATGTCAAGGAACAAGGTACTGTGGGCGCTTCATATCGCCGACAGGTTATGTGGAAAATACACACGTGAAGGCCGGCGTTATGTTGCATTTGAAAAGGGGCTTGGCTCGGGTCAGATGGCAGTCCAAGCTCTGTTCGAACTTAACCTCAATTTTGTGTGATGTATATTGATCTAGGTCGCGTTCAAGATTATTGCCCTTGTATTTGTGTTAATGCCGGTTTTATAGTGCCAGCCTAGTGATATACAATGCAGCAGTTACATGAGTCCAGTCCTTGTTTTAGCTCCTTAATGCCGAGCGCCAGGCAGGGTAACAACAAGTACCATCTTTTATCGTCTTTTGGTATGACGAGGCCAGGGATCGAACCCCGGACCTTCCGCTCTTCAGGCAGACCTCTATCCATTAGACCAAGAAGGTGGTCCGTATATTGGCCATCCTCATTACACAAACACAATGTTTGTTTGTTTGTTTGTTTGTTGTTTAACGCCGCACTCAGCAATATTCCAGCGGCCTGTAAATAATCGAGTCTGGACCAGACAATCGATCCACACCATGAGCATCAATCCACGCAATTAGGATACGATGACATGCATCAACCAAGTCAGCGAGCCTGACCTAATCTCGTTAGTCGCCTCTTACGACAAGATTAGACAAGCATGGGTTGCAGAAGACCTATTCTAACCCGGAGGCTTCAGGGGACCACAAACTGAATGTCTCAGTTGATTTACAGGCCGAGTGTGTTTCTGTATCGTAAATATTATTTTTAAGGAATATAAATTGTATCATGCAATCTTTTAGCGATTATAATTGATATTTTATATCCTTGATCATTGATATTTACGATACGGAATCACACGAGGGTAATAATGTTTGAGGTTCAAGACGTTAATTCACCCACTGAAGGAACTTCGTATAAATTCAGTGCTAGTGTAAACCGCCTAAATATCATACATTGCCATATGGTTTGAAAGCATTTATTTATTTTTACAAGTCCAATGCTCTCCATCATATACGAGTTCAAGGCCTTAGTAAAAGTTTAATGAAAGACACAGTAGGACATTGTCGATTCAAATTTGACGCATCAGTATCAAAAATGATGTTCGATGCAATTCTCTATTTTGACTTGTTCCGCGTGTTCTTGTGTTTTTTAGGTGAACAATTGCCTTGCCTTTGCACGTGTTTGTGACGGGTGCCACCTCTAGTACAGGATAAGCCCACCCTTTTCGCGAACACCTGGTATCATCACTATTTGAAAGTGTTTCATGTCGTAAGAGGCGAATAGGTCTTCAGCAACCCATGCTTGCCGTAAGAGGCGAATAGGTCTTCAGCAACCCATGCTTGCCGTAAGAGGCGAATAGGTCTTCAGCAACCCATGCTTGCCGTAAGAGGCGAATAGGTCTTCAGCAACCCATGCTTGCCGTAAGAGGCGAATAGGTCTTCAGCAACCCATGCTTGCCGTAAGAGGCGAATAGGTCTTCAGCAACCCATGCTTGTCGTAAGAGGCGAATAGGTCTTCAGCAACCCATGCTTGTCGTAAGAGGCGACTAACGGGTCCCGGCGGTCAGGCTCTCTATGCTTGATGCATGTCATCGTATCCGAATTGAGTGGATCGATGCTCATGATATCAATCACTGGATTGTCTGGTCCAGAGTCGATTATTTACGGACGGTCATCGTATAGCTGTAATATTGTTGAGAGCGGCGTTAAACAACAAACAAACATAGGGTGCTCATTGTTTTTTGTGATTGGTTCTAGGCTACTACCAGGTATGTTTCGACAACACACAGAGCAGGTTTGGCTCCAGGCTTGTCTACTTCTACCTGGTCACGATCGTCATGGAGAAGTGGATCCAGTACATGAAGGACGTGGTCGACATTCAAGACCTGGCGGTCAACCTCTCAGTGAGTAGTCGGCGAGGCTGGTTTAACGCCACTTTGAACAGTAACAGCTTGATTTGGGAGGAAAGCCTGAACCCATGCAGGCCTTTAGATGTTTACCACATCGGTGAGACCCACAGCGGGGGTGTGGTGTTGACAAACCGAGAAACATAATATTGAACCCACGATCATAAGTTTCCGGTACGCCAAAGGGACGCAACAGCGACATTCGAAGCCTTAGACGACTAGGCCACCTGTGTACAGCTAAGGTTACCGTTGCCACTCATCCGTTCATCGTTTATCAGCTGTTAAAATTTACTCTCGGGGCTACAACCATCCCGATTAACCAGGGAAAAAAACAAGGAAAAAAAACACACAAAAACTCCGTTAACCAAATGGTTAACAATAGACTTACTAAAATATGACCATTTCGCAGTCGTCAGAGCTGGCCAAATGTAACACACAACCAATTTATTCTTACGTTAATAGCAGCATTTCAAGTGTTTTAAATTATCAAGTGATATAAATGTATAAATGCAATATCATGTCAACCATTATTCTACCATGAATTTGGAATTTACTCGATTCTGATTGGTCAATCAGAGGCTATTAAATCACAATAAATCCCCTCTGATTGAAACAGCTGGTTTGACGGCGGCATCACCGCGGGAGCTAATATTCATAGAATAGTACTATTTTCAGTCATTGTCGGTAGGCATATTTAAATAATTATATCTACAATTACAGGTTACAAAATGCACCGATGCGGTTCCTACAATATTCAAAGGATGTGTGGCAATACATATCGTGCAGAAAACATGATAGAAATCTACAAAGGAAATGTATTTACGTTTTGGAGACAACAGAGAGCTTGGAATTTTGGCGCTTTTCTATATAAGACTGTGACGTCATATCATATCGCACGTGCGATGTAGAGTGAAAGCCTTGCAAAGCTTGCTTTGTTTTCTTTAGGGATGCCCACCTCATGTTAGCTTACGAAGTTTTCGTGCTTATATGCTATCAATGCCTGTCATAATTTCGAGTGAAGTGTCACGGTGTACACAAACTGCTTTAGTATATACAGCACCATATTTTGTTCGGTGATTCCGTAAGTCAGATCGATAACCCACTCAAAACACTGGACTCAACCCATGCCGCTTCACTCAGTATATTTGCTAACACAAAAGAGTTCACGTTTTATTTAGTCATGGTAGAATGGAGATGCACATATCGTGTTTTCAATGTAGAGCTAGATAACCTGTAGATTTAACCGCGCTAAATTTATCATTTGAAAGCGCACGCTGTGCGTTCGGTTCCAAAATTCAATTTAGCGCGGTTAAATCTACAGGTAACCTAGCTCTACATTGAAAACACAGTATGTGCATCTCCTAATTATTATGTACTTATATTCTGGTTTCTTAAGGGTGGTCTTAGACACCTCTCTTAATCGGGAATCGAACACGGTCCAGTTTTCTTGACGAGGAAAGTCACCACTAACCAGTTGGCTACCTAACTGTCTGATGTCGCTTGCGGTGCTTGTTCATTGGTGTAAGCAACACATATGAACGGACATTTTAAGAAACAGTCCAAAAAAATAAAAATAAATAAATTAAGGTTTTTCTCCCAAGACTATAACTATTCCCTTCCCAACCGAGGATGGTTACACTCATGTTTGTTTTCAGTCGATACTATATGGCGTGGAGCTGTCTCTGACGGACGTGGACCAATATCAGATGCACAGTCGCCTCAACGTCATGCGGGACTGGTACCTCCTCAACGAGAACCAGCGCTACGTGGGGTACTGGTCTGTGGCCCTGTGTGTGGTAGTCCTGGTGGCGGGGGTGGGGCAGGTGGTCTTCCTCAGGAGGATGTTTAGGATGCCCACCGTCACCCCCACGTCCAAACCCCGGGCGTGATATGGACTCAGAATGTTCCTCTGATATTGTACTAAAGTTGAATGAGTACCCTCCACCTCCACGCTGGAACGTAGCTCTGTATAAGTGATAGCTATTGTTATAATATATGTACAGTCGTCATAATGTTTGAAATCATTTGGAATCCGTTGAATAACGTTATTTTGTTACATTGTACAAAGATTTAGGCATGCTTTCTTTATGTTACTGGGGCAGTAAGGTAGCCGAGTGGTTAAAGCGTTCGCTCGTCACGCCGAAGACCCGGGGTCGATTCCCCACATTGGTACAATGTGTGAAGCCAATTTCTGGTGTCCCCCGCCGTGATATTGCTGGAATATTGCTAAAAGCGGCATAAAATCACACTCACTCACTCTTTATGTTACGTGTGTTCAAATCTGCAAAGTTTTTGTGCAGACTTAGGGGCCCTGATTACCCATCTTGAGATCCCAGTATATAGTCATTAGTTGTGGATGTTTATGTTAAAGGACGGGGCGTGTAATGTACCATCCTCGTTTATCCAGGGTACTATATCTCCATTTTGATTATGATAAATACTTTGGACCCATTCGCCATCATTGCTTCGTTTCGAAAGTGACGTTACCACCTCAATAGTTTTCAAACTTAGCTCAGAATTTATCTCGCCCATGAGTGTAGTTTGATTGGACAGCTAGTTTTAGCTCAATGCGATTTTGTTTGTTGTTTAACGCCGCACTCAGTATTATTCCATCCATATTCGGTCTGTACATAATGGAGTGTGGACCAGACAATCCAGTTATTGACTTCATGAAGCAGCGATTTACGCAGTTGGGATACGATGACATGCTTCAACCAAGTCAGACAACCTGACTACCCGATCCCGTTAGTCTCTTCTGACAGCTGACGGGTCGAGGGTATGAACACAATATATACACCTATAGACTGGAAAATGTATCTAGAATATATGCACACTGATTGTGATTTCCCGAATAATGTGTTGTGTCTTCTTCATATTGATAATCGTAAATAAATAAACATGATGAATACAAACGTTGTTGTTATTCACTATTTATATGACAAAGAACCTGATGAGGCCAGGTAAGTCTATTCATAAATTTTACAAACGTTTTGGTTCGATTACTGGTGACTATGAATTTGTTTCCCATCATCATTATACAAAAATCTATAAGTAGACAGGTTCTTGTCGTATACTGATCAAAAGAAGTTAAGACCTACCTAATTCTTTCATATTGCTTAAGTTAATCTGTCATGACATGACATATTAACCATAGTAGTATGACATAACAGATCAACCATAGTAGAATGACAAGACATTAATTATAGTAGTATGGCATGACAGATTAACTATAGTAGTATGGCATGATATATTAACTATAGTAGTATGACATGACAGATTAACTATTGTAGTATGACTTGACAGAATAACTATTGTAGTATGACATGATATATTAACTATTGTAGTATGACTTGACAGATTAACTATTGTAGTATGACATCACAGATTAACTATAGTAGTATGACATGACAGATTAACTATAGTAGTATGACATGACAGATTAACTTTAGTAGTATGGCATGACAGATTAACTATAGTAGTATGGCATGATATATTAACTATAGTAGTATGACATGACGGATTAACTATTGTAGTATGACTTGACAGAATAACTATTGTAGTATGACATGATATATTAACTATTGTAGTATGACTTGACAGATTAACTATTGTAGTATGACATCACAGATTAACTATTGTAGTACGACATGACATATTAACTATAGTAGTATGACATGACAGATTAACTATTGTAGTATGACATGGCAGATTAACTATTGTAGTATGACATGACAGATTAACTACAGTAGTATGACATGGCATATTAACTATAGTCTGGAAGGTAATTTAAGGTACCGACGTTTACAACAATATCTGAAAAACTATCGGACCTACTCCAGTCAAAGTTGGTATGAGATTATTAAACAGTCATACATAACTGGATATTACATTTAAAGACAATCGATGCATGAATAAAAAATCTGTCTATTTAGCTATCACTATATTTCATCAACAACCAGACCAGTTCGTCACGGATGGAACGACCTTTCATTGAAACACAGTTGAACCAATCAACTCAACTCGAAAGGGTGCACGGGAATCACGCACGCACGGATACGGTGTTAGCGTTGGGCGTCTCAACGTGCATGTTTCCCGTGCACAGAGACAGAGACGTCTGAGACCTGCATCACTTCGGGCTTCCCTCCCACATTAAGCTGACACGCCGTGATGTAACTGGAATACTGTTAAAAGCAGCGTTAAACCCAACCCACTCGCTCACTCACATGACAGATTAACTCTAGGGGATATGAAGAATGCGGCCATGACAGATTAAATATAATAATATAAAAGAATACTATTAGGGTGATCCTTATCTTCTATTAAGTAGTAGATAGGATGCTTGCCAAGCTTACGGTTGGTTGACTGACACATTCCAACAGATGCGCATTTAGCTAGGCCACACTTTGCAGCTTATGTTTACTTTCATTCTGAAGTAATTGCAATGTTATCGATATGTCTTACGTATAGAGGTCTATATAGTGTGAGTGAGTGAACAAGTTGGGTTTAAGGCCGCTTTAATCAGTGTTTTATATATCTCGGTGTGTCAGGTTAATGTGGGTCGACTTGAAGCAGGTCAGATACGTTTCCTATTTTGGCATTACCTGTGGATATTGGTCTATTGCTGACAAACTCAATCGAATTAAAATCAGATCTTAGTTCTCGCTACCGCTACACACAGACCTGAGGAGATCCCAATACAAACACATCAGGTCGACTTTTCGACAACTTTGACCGACCAATGATAAAACTAACAGGAAGTTGACATTAGCCAATCAGAAAGAAGCTTTCTCGAGCTTTTCGGCGCGGCTTTGAAAAGTATCTTGACAAAGTTCTCGACTAAAAGTTTGCAAACTGAAGAAATAGAACATCATCAATGTCTAATAGATGGCCGAGATTGTACGGCTGTATTTCCCACGGGCTATGGGCAGTCTCTTCCCTTTCAAATGTTTATCCCACTGAAGCGAGAGATAGACGATGCTTTTGACGGAATCAGTCGTACAGCCCGTAATCGTCATTCGGAATTCCTCGTGTTAACCATTTCGAAGTTGCACGATTAGAAAAAGACATTCCGATTGTCACTTTCCAGTCTGGTTGGTCGGATGAAAGGTCGATCTGACGTGACCTGTAACGGGGTGTCCTCAGATCTTTGTTTAGCGGTCGCAAGAACTGAGATCTGAGTTTAATGAAATTGTGACAAACCCAAAATAATAATCAGGACGAATCCGGGATTCAAACTCACGATTATAGGATTCTCGAACGCCAAAGGGACGCAACTCAGTAACGCAATGAGGTAGCGCCTACGACAGTTTACGTGACTATATTGATTACTTCTACCGCTGCAGTGAATCTGTTTTGAGCCGCCATTAAAGTCGTTATCAGTCACCCGTTAAGTTGTTCGGCCAGGAACATGCCCTTATCTTTGGATCAAAATGGCGGCAGGGTGTAAGTACCGCGTTTTATCAATTCTTCTTTTGACGAACAAAATATTCCCGGTTTCTACAGAAACTGTACTTGGTGAAAATGTGGATGAGGAATTCGACTTTGACGGCGTCCCCGGAGTTCAGCATGAGTTCAAAGTGGAAGTAGCGGCGGGGAAGGAGGAGTGTTTCTACCAGTTCGCCGCGGAAGGGAGCAGACTCTATGTGTCGTATAGTGTACGTAATGGTGGACGTGTTTCTGAGGACATTCCTCCATGGTATATTTCTATTCTTTGAACCCTTAACAAATGAAGACATAGGGAAGCGTAAGAACTAGGTGTAACCATCTTCCCGAGGCAAGGGTGTTAACTGACTGTAAGAGTCCAGTTTCCACCCTAGGTCTTTTCCAATATGATTTTAAAAAACGAAAAACAAAAATCCCATCCCAGTATATATTAATTTACACTACCCTGGGGTATTCCGAATGCATAAACAACTCTAGACACATCCTCCATTTTAAAGCTGTTTTAGAAAAAAAATGCTTAAAATGTTTTTGTTTTGTTGTTGAATGTTAGCTTGATTGTTTAAGGTAAGTTTAGAGAATATTTACAAATTATTATATTACAAGAGAGTCCACTCAAGGAATAACGGTGTTTCTATGTACTGCATGCACCTCGCCGTTGTGAGTGTGGACAGATAGGGAGGACATCCATGTGCTGTTGAAGGAATTGTTCACACGCTCGGGCGATTCGCTGTGCAGAGTTGGGCACGCCAGAAACCTATGATTGTAATCCCGGTTCGCCCCGATTATGTTTCTAGGTTTGTCACCGAAGTGGTAAACGTCTGAGACCTGTATCACTTCGGGCTTTCCTTCCACATTAAGCTGACACGCCGTGATGTAACTGGAATACTGTTAAAAGCGGCCTTAAACCCAACTCACTCATTCACTCACTCACTGACACGCTCGGAGTCTGACGGCTCGGTATGGTAAAGCAGGAAACACTCTATTATATACATCATGGCAAGGTACCTGATAACAAAATAAGCGCAAGGCAGTTCCACCTGGTTCTCTTAATTATATCTCACATTTCTTATTAAATACAATGTTCATCAACAAAATACTGTTGGTTATTTATAGTAATTATTTATAAAAGTATGTAATAGTTTGAATACGTTCTAGGTACGATATTAAAGGGATGCTGAAATTATTATTTGCATAATAGTCATCCTGGGGATGTTTTGTGTGTGTGTGTGTGTGTGTGTGTCTATTTGTTTGTGTGTGTGTGTGTGTGTGTGTATTTCTGTTTGTGTGTGTGTGTCTATTTGTTTGTGTGTGTCTATTTGTGTGTGTGTCTGTGTGTGTGTGGTCTGTTTGTTTGTGTGTGTGTATTTGTATGTGTGTGTTTGTGTGTGTGTTGTTGTTTGTGTATGTGTGTGTGTCTGTTTGTGTGTCTGTCTATTTTTGTGTGTGTGTCTGTTTGTTTGTGTGTGTGTATTTGTATGTGTGTGTTTGTGTGTGTGTGTTGTTGTTTCTGTATGTGTGTCTATGTGTGTGTGTCTGTTTGTGTGTGCGTCTGTTTGTGTGTGCGTCTATTTGTGTGTGTGCATCTGTTTGTGTGTGTTTGTGTGTGTGTCAGACTGCAATGACGAAATCAGTTACATGTTCAGTGCATTCATGCAACACATCCCCGCCATTCTAGTATCAGCCAATCAGTAAACAGTAATCCGTTAGTGGGCATGGCCTGAGTTGTCATTCAAATACCACGGAGCCAGAGTTTATCTAAGACTAAATATAGACTAAGTGTAGACTCCAAATTGAATGCTTTAAATGTGAGACCGCAAAGCGGACTGAACCGAGAGTGTCAAGGTGGGTTTGGAAAACCCAGAAACCTTTAATTTTATAGACTGCAGGATATGCAATTTGCTCCTTTTTATTTTTCATTTTCATTGTGTGTTTCTTGTAGTTGGCAATAAGTCAGCATTTCCGTTAATAATGTTCCATCATTGCACCACCATAAGAGCTGTTTTCTGCATTTGTTTCGTCGTGATAATTCAGATGTTCAGAAACAGAAATCCTAACATTAGGAATAACTTTTATGTATTAGTACAGGTAAGTTTGGTGTCTAATAGTCAAATCTTTCAAGACTCAGATCAAGATAATTTTATTTTCATCTCAAATGATGTCAAGGCACCTCTTTTTCCATCTTCCAGCGGCAAAGGTGTTAACTGACTCGGACTTTCTTGTAAAGTCAGTTAACCCTTTACCGCGGGAAGATGCTCTCTTTCAAACCAGTAAACTCTTCGATGACTCTCTCAGTGCTCACAGGAATGTCTCTGTGCTTACACAGGAGTGATCATTCTCCCTGGTACACTGATATCCAGACACAAAAACTCATTTAAAAAAAATATATCATATTTATTTTTTCGAAAATGTATGTGAAAATGAAAAGTGTATGCTTACCGCGGCAAAGGTGTTAACTGACTCGGACTTTCTTATTTAGTCAGTTAACCCCTTTACCGCGGGAAGATGCTCTCCTTCAAACCAGTAAACTCTTCGATGACTCTCTCAATGCTCACAGGAATGTCTCTGTGCTTACACAGGAGCGATCATTCTCCCCGGTACACTGATATCCAGACACAAAAAGTCATTTAAAAAAAATATATCATTATTTTTTCGAAAATGTATGTGAAAATGAAAAGTGTATGCAGTGGTTATTGTGTCTGTAGTCAACTACGCCCCTGACGGGAATCACTTGCAATGAATTTATTCCTTCATGAATCAGGTTGTGAGAGGCGGCGACAGGAACATCGATTTCTTCCTCTTGGGCATATACGGCGAAGTCGTCGACACGCAGTACGACAAGCCTGGAGCCATGGTGCAGACAGAGATGAAGGAACGAGGTGCTGTAGGCGGGGTCTGTGTGTAGCTGAGAGTGAGTGAGTGAGTGAGTTGGATTTAACGCCGCTTTTAACAGTATTCCCGTTACATCACGGCGTGTCAGCTTAATGTGGGAGGAAAGCCCGAAGTGATGCAAGTCTCAGACGTTTACCACTTCGGTGAAACCCACGAACACGGGTTTGGTGCTGACAAACCTAGAAACATAATCGGGGCTTACCGGGATTCGAACCCACAATCATAGGTTTCTGGCGTGCCCAAGGGACGCAACTCTGCACAGCGAATCGCGGCGCCTTAGATGAATGGGCCACCCGTGCCCCCTGTAGCTGAGAGAAGGTGGTGACGGTGGGAGGGGCGTGTGTGGATGTATATGTCGGGGTGGGGTGGGTGAACTCGGAGTCTTTGCTACATACTAAGTTGGTGGGGTGTAAATAAAATAAAAGTGACAAAACCCTTTCCGTATTCATAAGAAATCTCTGCCAAAAGCATAAGCGATTGTACGATTCCCACTATGACATGAGCATGTGTTTATGAAACAGTGATGATACCAGGTGTTCGCGTAAAGGTGAGCGTATCCTGCCCCACCGTTGGCACCGTCATAAACACATGCAAAGGCAATTCAATTATTCACCTGAGAATTTACGGGAACATGTGCTACAAATCAAAATAGGGAATAGTTCACCTTTTCAATTCTTCAGCTAAAGGAAACTACGGTTATAACGAACCCAAAGGGACCACTAATTTTAGTTCGTAATAACCGTAGTTAGTTATAAGCAGCATATAAACAACAAATGGTAGGGACTGAAAAATAGGTTCGTTATATCGGTCAGTTCGTTATAAGCGTTTTCGTTATGAACGTAGTTATAATGTATATACTGTATATAATGGCGGTTTTGACAATGTTTATTGTTAATTCGGCCATTTATTACATTTTATTATAAACTGTGACAAAGTAAATGGGTTAACGCCATTTTGCACAATGTACATGATCATACATGTATAATATCAGCTCAATGTCGGAGGGAAACCCTTTGTGGCATATACTACTCAAAAGAAGTTAAGGATCACCCGATTCTTTCATATTGGTAATGTTAATCTGCCATGGCGTGAGAGATTAACTATTGTAATATGGAAGAATCAGGTGATCCTTAACTTCTTTTGAGTAGTATATATCGTTACTTTTACCACTTTCATGAAGATAAAACGAGCCCAGGTATGGTCGTGACAGACCAAGAAGCTAAATTGGGGCGGACATGGGATGCTAGTATACTGGCGCGAACGGTAATCGGGAGACGCGGTAGGGTCATGTCTTGACTGTCGGACCGCCTCCGTGGTCTAGTGGTAGAGCGTCCGCCCGGAGAGCGGAAGGTCCAGGGTTCGATCCCCGACCGCGTCATACCAAAAAACGTTAAAAGATTGTACTTGTTGTTACCCTGTCTGGCGCTCGGCATTAAGGGGATAAAACAAGGACTGGTCGGCTCGGAGTCAGTATACTGTGTCTGAGTGGGGTATTCATGTTAAACTGCGGCATGGTATCTCAGTGAGCTAGCACTATAAATCGGCATCAGTCCGGACTAGTACAAGCAGCCACACAAACACACACACGTACATGCACGTCGCTTTATAAGTGCAATAATCTTGGACGCGACGTTAAACCCCATTTCACCTCACCTCACCTTGACTGTCGGACCACATAGCGGTTGACGGCTAGAATAAGGTGCACAACTCTACAAAGCCAACGACAGCACCTTACACAACTAGGCCCCGTCCCACAAAGCGATTTTAACGTAAGATGATCATAAATCCCACACTTTTACACTTACGATAGTCGTAGTGCTAAGATCGCTTTGTGGAACGGGGCCCAGTTATAGTAACAAAGAGACTTAAACAGAGTCAGGAAAGTGGGCAATCTATCGTTTTAAATGTTATGAGTTCGAATCGTGAAACTCGCGTACATGTGTCCAAAAACCTTCACTCATGCACTTCTTGTTTTCAGGGTATCGGTCCAGACTAGTATCCGTCTCCTTTTAATTAACCTCAAAATTTAAATCCGAGGGTATAATTCAAATCTCGCCATTGGTGTGTTTCAAAGCATGTTCATGGACGTTTTTCTTTCGTTTTGAAGGCTATATGGAGTTCTGTTTTGACAACACACAGAGCAGGTATGGTTCTAAGTTGGTGTACTTCTTCCTGATGACCTTCCTCATTGACAGATGGAGCCAGTACTTGAAGGATGTAGATGAGATCCGAGGTCTCACTGTCAATCTATCTGTGAGTACAGTACATGGTTAATCTGGATCGAGGTGTTTACGAATGTAGGATACATTGCAACACAATCTTGGCGTACTTCCACAGTGATGTTGCTGCAATATTTCTGCACTGTTGTTGCAATGTTTCTTCATTGTTGCTGCAATGTTTCTGAAATGTTTCTGCAGTGTTGCTGCAATATTTCTGAAATGTTTCTGCAGTGTTGCTGCAATGTTTCTGAAATGATTCTGGAGTGTTGCTGCAATGTTTCTGAAATGTTTTTGCAGTGTTGCGGCAATGTTTCTGTAATATATTTGCAGTGTTGCTGCAATGTTTCTGAAATATTTCTGCAGTGTTGCTGAAATATTTCTGAAATGTTTCTGCAGTGTTGCTGCAATATTTCTGAAATATTTCTACAGTGTTGCTGCAATATATCTGATATGTTTCTGCAGTGTTGCTGCAATATTTCTGAAATGTTTCTGCAGTGTTGCTGCAATGTTTCTGAAATGTTTCTGGAGTGTTGCTGCAATGTTGCTGAAATGTTTTTGCAGTGTTGCTGCAATGTTTCCGAAATATTTCTGCAGTGTTGCTGCAATATTTCTACAATGTTTCTGAAATATTGCTGCAATGTTTCTGAAATATTTCTGCAGTGTTGCTGCAATATTTCTACAATGTTTCTGCAGTGTTGCTACAATGTTTCTGAAATATTTCTGCAGTGTTGCTGCAATATTTCTGAAATGTTTCTGCAGTGTTGCTGCAATGTTTCTGAAATGTTTCTGGAGTGTTGCTGCAATGTTTCTGAAATGTTTTTGCAGTGTTGCTGCAATGTTTCTGTAATATTTTTGCAGTGTTGCTGCAATGTTTCTGAAATATTTCTGCAGTGTTGCTGAAATATTTCTGAAATGTTACTGCAGTTTTGCTGCAATGTTTCTGAAATATTTCTGCAGTGTTGCTGCAATATTTCTGAAATGTTTCTGGAGTGTTGCTGCAATGTTTCTGAAATATTTTTGCAGTGTTGCTGCAATGTTTCTGAAATATTTTTGCAGTGTTGCTGCAATGTTTCTGAAATATTTCTGGAGTGTTACTTCAATATTTTTGCAGTGTTGCTGCATTATTTCTGAAATGTTTCTGCAGTGTATCTGTTGTGCTGTTGCAATGCTTCTGAAATGTTTCTGCAGCGTTGCTGAAAGGTTTAAGCATTGTTGCTGCAATGTTTCTGAAATGCTTCTGCAATGATCCAGCAGCGTTTCTGTCAGTTTACATTTCCGACGTTTCCAGATACTTAGGCAATAAACACAATATCGAGAAATATAACTTTAAATGTCTTGCATTTGTCCGCGATGATAAAGCAGTGACAAGTTAAAATATCAATAGTTAACATCGGTATCGCGCTACACTGTCGATAATTTCTGTTGTTAAAATAACATACTCTTCCCATCGTTTCTTTTTTAGGAAATACACAATTTGTTTGAGGAGAGATTGGTGTGCATTCAGAAAACGTTTATATAAATTATTTGTCAGAGCTACCATTTTACTCCCTAATATTCCGGTCAATACAGTGTCAAATCCTACCAAACCCACCACAAATTGTAACAGAAATAATTTCTCCTGTTTCATGCACAGAAGCCCCTTAAAACAGTAAAAATCAAGGAAAATCTAAGTAGAGGTTTTCAGTTTGGGTATGATCTTTAGGGGGTAAATTAATATAAAATACAATAAAGCCCGAAAATTTAATGTTTCACTTTTTATGTTGTTTAACCATGTCATGTTAGATATCAAAGGAAAGCTGGTATCACAAGCAGTTATTTTGAATCTATAGTTTGTATCTATTTTGTATAAATGTAAAATAATCTTTGTCTTTGAAACAAAAAAAGAAATAAAAATTGGGTGGAAAACACATATATACAAATGTATTCATCTATATAATTTTTGTTAGCCTTAACTAAATTTATTTAATAATATTAACAGTTTGTTCATTTGTTTTAAGCCTTCACTTTTTAAGAACCTGTATGCAAAGTAAAGGTCATCAGTAAATAACCCCTCCTATGATTCTCCCGAACGGTTTAGACTTTGTTGACAGTGAAATCCATATCGCGGGGAGGTAAATAAAAGCGACAAACCCCTGTCCATATTCATAAGAAATCTCAGCTAAAAGCAGAGTCGATTGTAGGATTCCGACTATATCATGATCATGTGTTTAGAATCACTATCAAATAACGATGACACCAGGTGTACGCGAAAAGCGGTGTTTATCCTTCCCCATCGGTGGCACATGTCACAAACAAATGCAAAGGCAAGTCAACTGTTCACCTGAAAGAAAATAACCAAGGGAACATATGGTACAAGTCAAAATAGAGAAATGCATCGGACACAATTTTTTGTCAGTTATTCGTCAAATTTGGAAATGTCCTCTACATGTCTACCATGAAACTTTTTGAAAGCTCTAGTGAGGCCTTGAATGTTGTAACCTTAAACACTCGTTATACCTTTCCACCTGTAGTTGTAATATCACACCGCTGTAAGTCTGACACCAGGCAAGGGGCATCACCTGTGACTGTACGCATTTGCAATCTCTCCAAAATATTTCTGAATTGTCTATTGTTCTTTATTTAATGCGTGGTGTTTTATAACTTTATTTTTATGTTAGGACAATAATAACATAGATAATTGTACGCGAGTGTAAGACACATATTTGCTCTGTTGTATGCCTTACTTAGCAACATTCAAGCTACAACATGGGGACATGTAAAAAAGAGATTCTGGATTCCGGTGATTCATATTAACGTCCCACATCGTCGGGGGTATGTTGCCACGAAGTCAGAGAATCTGACCACCCAATCCTCATTTCAGCTGCATCTTCTGACCATCCAGTTATGTCCTGAAAACCCGAATGGAATAAAACAATTAAAGCTCTTGAAATACGAATTCCCCGACCAGCCGAGGATGGAAAAAAACTGATACTTATGAATTTTTTTCAGTCGATACTTGAGGGCGTAGAGCTGTCTCTGACGGACGTGGACAAATATCAGACGCACACTCGCCTCAACGTCATGCGCGACTGGTACCTCCTCAACGAGAACCAGCGCTACGTGGGGTACTGGTCTGTGGCCCTGTGTGTGGTAGTCCTGGTGGCGGGGGTGGGGCAGGTGGTCTTCCTCAGGAGGATGTTTAGGATGCCCACCGTCACCCCGACGTCCAAACCCCGGGCGTGATAGGGACTCAGAATATTTTTCTGATACTGTACTAAAGTTTTTGTATGAGTATCCTCCACCTAAACGCTGGAACGTAGCTCTGCACAAGTGATGCTTATGCTGGGGTTTTATCGAAAAAAAATTAATTGCCCAGGAAATGCTTGCCAAAATAATTATGCTTCAGCCTGTAAAAAAAATAAGGAATCGTCTGCCAAGAAGAATACATTGTTGCAAGATGTTTTGTTTAATAAAAAGTTTTCTCCTAATGAATTTTATAAAACATATCTGGTTTTGCAAAAATATAACCGTAGTTTGTAATAAGCATATATACAGCATATATACAACAAATGACCGGTGTAAAGTTTGAAAGTATATCCCCCTTTCAAAGTATACTCGGGTAGATTCTGGAGCTCCCACAATCTACCTCCCTTTCCCAGAATCAACCCCCGGGGGTATAATCTGGGAGCTCCCAGAATCTACCCCGGGTTATAACTATAATCTGGGAGCTCCCAGAATATACACCGGGTTATAACTAAAATCTAGGAGCTCCAAGAATCTACCCCAGGTTATAACTATAATCTAGGAGCTCCATGAATCTACTAGTCCATTGTATTGTGTACGTTTTTAATTTTTCGTTATTTTTTTTTTGAGATTTGCATCTGTATATATTTTTACATTCTATAGAGCCTACTTAACATAAAAACCAATGTTTCCAATTTTTGGGGTCCATAGTTTGCGAATAAATGACGCTCAAACTTGACCACTTGATGTCAGTGTAAATGACAGCAATAATGACTAGTTGTAGGTAAATATTATGAAAACGAGTTATCTCCCCTTGTGACATTGACCTTTCAAGTCAACATGGCTGAAACAACTCTGACAAGAAGAGTTTTTCCATCATCATGGAAGGCTTATCATCAACCAAGACCCGCTGAAATTCATCTAAATAGGTGAGTGAATATTAATAGAATATTATGACATGTGCTATCTATGTTGGTTCATTGATAATTATTGAGAAATTGAATGGCAATTATATCTTCATAATAACATGACTGACAACATAGGCTTGATCTGTTTCATTAAAAGTATATTGCAACCATTTGCTACATGTTAAACTTAACTAGAAATGCTTCCTAGCGTATATTCAGTTTCACGAAATTTCGATTTTAGTGTAAACTATCCTATTTAGCTCAAGTTATGGTACATAAAAGTTATATGCTGTCTGATACCTTTGGGCCCGTGTTAGGGATTCAGTATAATTACATTTGTAAAATATTGCAATTATTCTTGTTTCTAAAATTTTTCATAGATAATTCATATACTTTGGCGTAGCATGCCTATCATTTAAACGTACATGTAATAATTTTATATGCGTGCATTAAAAACAATTTTCCATACATCCTTAAAATGGATGCTCTAAGATATTAGAAAAGTTGAGGTAGTTTTTTTGTTAAGAATATGAAATCATTACCTTAAGCATGTCTAAATAACATATGAGTAGGCATAGTATCATATATAAACAATTAAATGACAAAATAAACACCTCAGAAGCCTTAGACTTGACAAATATGGGCAAAAATGGCCGCCAGCTTGAAATTCAAGATGGCCGCCAAATGAATGATGGGAAAATTTAGAAACATTGGTTTTCTTCATCTCTTCATCTGAAAGCTTTCAGAATATGTATAGGTTTGCTAATCTCCAAATTTTTTTAACAAACGTACACAAGGAACTGGACTATACTGCAGCCCTGTTTGATTTAAACATTTTTATTTCATAAATGTACATGAAGTTTTCTTTTGGGGGATGCATCTAACTCAGTCTTGATCTCTCCTGGTCAATTGCTGTAACAACATTGTCATCTGATTAAGTCTACATAAATGCCTTTTCGGTACACATCTAATTAGTTTTAAAACATTCATATCCTGTTATATAAATTGAGAGGACAAAGGTGGTAGCACCAGTTTTCCCAAACAGTATACATTATTACACGGGGGTCCAGTCGTCTAAGGCGCCGCAGAGTTGCGTCCCTTGGGCACGCCAGAAACCTATGATTGTGGGTTCGAATCCCGGTTCGCCCTCCTGATTATGTTTCTAGGTTTGTCAGCACCATACCCGTGCTCGTGGGTTTCACCAAAGTGGTAAACGTCTTAAACCTGCATCGCTTCGGGCTTTCCTCCCATATTAAGCTGACACGCCGCGATATAACTGGAATACTGTTAAAAGCGGTGTTAAACCCAACTCACTCACTCACTCACTCACATGTGAGATGAGAATGTACATGATTGTACATGAAGTTTTCTTTTGGGGGATCATTATATCGACCCATTCGTTATTAGCGTGTTCGTTATAAACGTTGTTTACTGTATTGGAAACGTAAGTCATCCCCCTTGTCATACAGTCTTTACAGAGTTTTTGTGTACTCTGAATCATGCATTTCAATTAAACATATTTGCGATGGTGAAGACATGTTCAAATTATTATTAAGGCCAACACAGTGCTTTATAAGTACATTAGAATAACACAACATATCTGTACACAGAAGAACGAGGGTGCGTCAGAAGTTTGTAAATGTATTTGACAACCGATCGAGAAACCACTGTTGCATTACAACTGCTAACATTATGTGGCCTGGCGTCTCTGATGGGTAATATTATCTGGCCTGACGTCTCTGATTAGTAATATTACCTTGTCTGGCGTCTCTGTTAGGTAACATTACCTGGTCTGACGTCTATGATAGGTAACATTACCTGGTCTGACGTCTCTGATAGGTAACATTACCTGGTCTGACGTCTCTGATTAGTGATATAACCTTGTCTTGCGTCTCTGTTAGGTAACATTACCTGGTCCGACTTCTCTGATAGGTAACATTACCTGGTCTGACGTCTCGGTGTATGCAATATAACCTTGTCTGGCGTCTCTGTTAGGTAACATTACCTGGTCTGACGTCTTTGACAAGTTACATTACCTGGTCCGACGTCTCTGATAGGTAACATTACCTGGTCTGACGTCTCTGATAGGTAACATTACCTGGTCTGACGTCTCTGATAGGTAACATTACCTGGTCTGACGTCTCTGATTAGTGATATAACCTTGTCTTGCGTCTCTGTTAGGTAACATTACCTGGTCCGACTTCTCTGATAGGTAACATTACCTGGTCTGACGTCTCGGTGTATGCAATATAACCTTGTCTGGCGTCTCTGTTAGGTAACATTACCTGGTCTGACGTCTTTGACAAGTTACATTACCTGGTCCGACGTCTCTGATAGGTAACATTACCTGGTCTGACGTCTCTGATAGGTAATATTATCTGGCCTGACGTCTCTGATTAGTAATATAACCTTGTCTTGCGTCTCTGATAGGTAACATTACTTGGTCTGGCGTCTCTGATAGGTAACATTACCTGGTCTGACGTCTCTGTTAGGTAACATTACCTGGTCTGACGTCTTTGACAAGTTACATTACCTGGTCCGACGTCTCTGATAGGTAACATTACCTGGTCTGACGTCTCTGATAGGTAATATTATCTGGCCTGACGTCTCTGATTAGTAATATAACCTTGTCTTGCGTCTCTGATAGGTGACATTACTTGGTCTGGCGTCTCTGATAGGTAACATTACCTGGTCTGACGTCTCGGTGTAGGCAATATAACCTTGTCTGGCGTCTCTGTTAGGTAACATTACCTGGTCTAACGTCTCTGATAGGCAATATAACCTTGTCTGGCGTCATTGTTAGGTAATATTACCTGGTCTAACGTCTCTGTTAGGTAACATTACCTGGTCTGCGTCTCTGACAAGTAACATTACCTGGTATGACGTCTCTGATAGGTAACATTACCTGGTCAAACGTCTCTAATAGGTAACATTACCTGGTCTAACGTCTCTGATAGGTAACATTACCTGGTCTGCGTCTCTGACAAGTAACATTACCTGGTCTGACGTCTCTGTTAGGTAATATTACCTTGTCTTGCGTCTCTGTTAGGTAACATTACCTGGTCCCACGTCTCTGATAGGTAACATTACCTGGTCTGACGTCTCGGTGTAGGCAATATAACCTTGTCTGGCGTCTCTGTTAGGTAACATTACCTGGTCTAACGTCTCTGATAGGCAATATAACCTTGTCTGGCGTCATTGTTAGGTAATATTACCTGGTCTAACGTCTCTGTTAGGTAACATTACCTGGTCTGCGTCTCTGACAAGTAACATTACCTTGTCTGACGTCTCTGATAGGCAATACAACCTTGTCTGGCGTCTCTGTTAGGTAACATTAACTGGTCTGCGTCTCTGACAAGTAACATTACTTGGTCTGACGTCCGTGATAGGTATCATTACCTGGTCTGACGTCTCTGATAGGTAATATTGCCTTGTCTGACGTCTCAGCTAGGTAACATTACCTGGTCTGACGTCTCTGACAAGTAACATTACCTGGTCTAACGTCTCTGATAGGTAACATTACCTGGTCTAACGTCTATGTTAGGTAACATTACCTGGTCTGACGTCTCTGTTAGTTAACATCACCTGGTCTGACGTCTCTGATAGGTAACATTACCTGGTCTGACGTCTCTGATAGGCAATATAACCTTGTCTGGCGTCTCTGTTAGGTAACATTACCTGGTCTGATGTCTCTGATAGGTATCATTACCTGGTCTGGCGTCTCTGGTAGGTAACATTACATGGTCTGACGTCTCTGATAGGCAATATAACCTTGTCTGGCGTCTCTGTTAGGTAACATTAACTTGTCTGCGTCTCTGACAAGTAACATTACCTGGTCTGACGTCTCTGATAGGTAACATTACCTGGTCTGACGTCTCTGATTGGTTATATTACCTGGTCTGACGTCTCTGATAGGTAGTATTAACTGGCCCAACGTCTCTGATAGGTAATATTACCCGGACAAACGTCTATGATGTGTAATTTCCGGTCTGACGTCTCTGATAGGTAATATTACCCGGACAAACGTCTATGATGTGTAATATCCGGTTTGACGTCTCTATGATAGGCAATATTACCCGGACAAACGTCTATGATACCTAATATCCGGTCTGACGTCTCTGATAGGTAATATTACCCGGACAAACGTCTATGATGTGTAATATCCGGTTTGACGTCTCTATGATAGGCAATATTACCCGGACAAACGTCTATGATGTGTAATATCCGGTCTGACGTCTCTGATAGGTAATATTACCCGGACAAACGTCTATGATACCTAATATCCGGTCTGACGTCTCTGATAGGTAATATTACCCGGACAAACGTCTATGATGTGTAATATGCGGTCTGACGTCTCTGATAGGTAATATTACCCGGACAAACGTCTATGATGTGTAATATGCGGTCTGACGTCTCTGATAGGTAATATTACCCGGACAAACGTCTATGATGTGTAATATCCGGTCTGACGTCTCTGATAGGTAATATTACCCGGACAAACGTCTATGATACCTAATATCCGGTCTGACGTCTCTGATAGG